CGCTTACGCGCTCGCTGGCTCGGAGCGAGGGATAGGAAATCGATGCCACTTACACCTCCGCGGGAAGAGAGAGGGGGACCAGCAGGCGCCGCTGACGCTCTCGGCCGCCGGGCGGGGTGGGGTGGCGGGCAGGCGGGGAGGGGGCGGCCCGGCTGGATCGGGGAAGGGGCGCGCAAGCGAGGCAGGGCTCTCCCTCGGCGCAGTTGTCAGCGCGGCTCCGTCTGGCTGCTGCCTGCCTGGCCGGCCGGCTTGCCTGGCTGCTGGCTGGCTCTCTCTCTCGCCCTCTCCTCCTCGGCGCCTCTCTCCTCCTCGCTCCGGCTCAGGCAGGCAAAAATCGATGGGGTTCGCCGCGCCGGGGCTTCCCCATTGATTTACACTCGTCCGCCTCCCCGCCTGCCTCGTTCCCTCGCTCCGCGGACCTGGCGGCTGCCTTCCAACACAATGGAATAATCAATTCAGCCCCGCGCTCGCCCCCCGCCTCCCCGCAGCCACACACACACACACACACAGCTACACGCAGGCACACACACACATACACATACACAGAGCCACGCACCGGAGGGAGGAGCCAGCCGGCAGGTGCAGCCGAGCATCATGGGAAATGTAGTCCCTCCCCCGCCTCCGGAGCTGGCAAGGTCAAGGCTCCAGCAGCAGCCGCCGGCGTCAGCATCGTCCTCTCGCTGGCTGCTTGGATTGCCTTTGTGCCTTTCCAAAGCAAGGCTGCTTCTTCGCGGCTTTGTTGCGCTGCGCACAACCACCCTGCGAGGTAGGGCAGGCAGGCCTGAGTGAGAAGGGAAGAGGTCAGATCAGGACCCAGCCTAGTGCAGCAGCCTGGTCTCCGCAGTGGCCGGCCGGATGCTTGGGGAACACCAGCAAGTGGGATCTGGACACAAGGGCCCTGTCCTCTTCCAAGGACTGGTATTGCTGCCAGAGCACTGCCTTTGTGGCTAGGAGCCGTCGACTGCCCTCTCTTCCTCCACGAATTTGTCCAAGCCTCTTTTAAAGCCATTCAAGTCAGTGGCCTCCTGTGGGAGGGAGTTCCACCGGCTAACCATCTGCTGTGTGAAGAAGGAGTTTGTTTTACCTGTCCCGAATCTTCAGCTTCCTGGCATGACCACGACATCTAGTGAGAAAGGGAGAGAAACCTTTCTCTATGCAAAGCATGATTTTATAAACTTCTATCATGTCGCCCCTGACATGCCTTTTTCTGCAAACTCCAAAGTCGCAGGCGCTGCAACCTTTCTTCACAGGGGGGTCGCGCCAACCTCCCTTGATCAGAGCGCTGTGGCGCTTGGTTTCCTGCTTCCAGGATTCTTGGCCTCTGCAAGAAGAGGAAACCTTATCAAGGAAGAGCCTTTGCTGTGGTCCAGAGTCTTCTGCTGTCCTGTTGTCTTATACCAGGCACAAGGAGTCATCCACTTTGCCTAGTATCTCTGGGCCTGAGAAGAGCTTTCAGCATCACCCGATCCTTTTGGCTGGCAGAATCTCGGACGTCACATTATGAATAATAAGTGGTTTATCACTGAGCTACGGCCCACCCCATCATCGTTATTATAGATGAGATACACCCTAATAAATAATTGCATTTATTCCTCAGCAAGGCGATTGCTTTACAGCATCTCTGCAAGGCCGGTCAATAATCTTCTCATTCTGCAAAGGGCAATAATTTTGCATGGTCTGCCCAGCCCCAGGGTGGTCTCTTCCCTTGGGGGTCTTCTGTCCACCCACAGCGCTGAGCCCGGGATTCCCGCCCTCTTCAGGGGTCTCCAGGGCAAAAGAGGAGAGGGATTTCTGCACTTTAAACTGTGCATAGAAGAATGCCAAGAGCCATAGTGTCATCTACCCAAATTCCCACGCGCACACACACAAGGATTTGAGAGCCCAGACCTCTTTTGCATCTGACCACTCTAAGCTCAGGTCCTGTGATCCGGTGATGGACATTGCTGGTAGAATAGAAGGCAGGGAGGCCAACATTAGGTGGCGCCAGAGAGCCGACAAATTAGTTTTGCGGTGTACAAGGACAAAGGGGTTAGCCAGAGCCACCTGCAAGACTGGTCGTAGGAAGGCAGGGAGATGGAGGCTGCCTTCAGTGAGGGTGGGGGGACAATGACTGCCCCCCATTCATCTTAATGGACTGGGCTGGGCTGCTGAGCTCCTTTTAACCCCAGGGTGGCTGCATCCCTGACCATTGCTCATGCTGGCTGGGACTGACAGGTTCTGCAGTCTGAGAACATCTGGAAGGCCGAAGTGCCCCCCCTGCAATTTTTAACTGGAGCTGTCAGGGTTCTGGTTGTACATCTGGGTTTAGAAATTCTTAGCTTTCCTAGCAAGTTTATGGCACAGGAAATTCGGATCAGGGAATGTCTAGGCTCCTAGACAAGGGTCAGCAAACCTTTTCAGCAGGGGGCTGGTCCACTGTCCCTCAGACCTTGTGGGGGGCCAGACTATATTTTGGAGGGGGGGGGGAAGAACCAGTTCCTATGACCTACAAATAACCCAGAGATGCATTTTAAATAAAAGGGCACATTCTACTCATGTAAAAACAAACTGATTCCAGAACCATCTGCGGGCCGGATTTAGAAGGCAATTGGGCCGGATCCAGCCCCCAGACCTTAGTTTGCCTACCCATGCTCTTAGGGCATTCCCCACTCTTCCCAACTCCTCAAGAAAGCATTCGAAGTTGGTGTCGTATAAGCGCAGGCGCTTTGTTCCTTCCATCCATCATTATTTAAGGCTGCAACCCAATTAGAGGCATTTTTAATTGCTTAATCATATGAGCTGGAGCCGATTAATCAAATAAGTTATCGATTAAATTAGCATACATTTGCATCTGGGCGTTTCTGAAAACCCTGAACTTGATTTCCTTTGTTTTCATCATCTTTATAAGAAGAGGGGTTGTCCCAACTGAAGAGAAAACGCAGAATGCCTCCTTTAAGGTAATCTCCAAAGGAATAGCTGGTTAAAGTCACACCTACTTCATACCTTTAGTGTACTTTCCCACCCCAAAGAATTCTGGGAACTGTAGTTCACACCTCCCAGAGCTATGATTCCCAAGCCCAGCACCCTTAACAAGCCACAATTCCTAGGATTCTTTGGTTGGGTGAGGCGGCTGTGTGCTTTAACTGGATTGCTGTATTCAAGAAAGAGTCTTCTCACAGCTTAGAAGCTAATAAATTAATTTTGTTAAAATTATTAGTATTCTGAACTAGACTTGTTGGTTGCTGACAACACATTGTTGACTTACAACCCATTTAAAAACATTATGCCATTTAAAAAAAAAAAAAGAATTATACAAATCTTGCAGATTTTATAAAGACTCCATCATGCAAAAATTGACTGGCTCTGGTTTGTTCCCAGGTGAAAATTTTACTTGAAATAAACGGACAGTGATCAGGCTAATAGCAAAAGCCCTTTAATAAATGAGATATTATAGTGACCGCTAGCTGGACCAATCTTACAGGAAAAAGAAAGGTAGTTCGATGACACAGGTACTTTTCACAGCCAGGGAGCCACCCCTGACTCTTAATTACGTGTAAAAGTCTTAAAACAATTAATTGCCTCTACTTACAAAGGAACATACCTAAGGACATTCTCAAATTAATTCAAAAACAGGTCTGGCCATCTAGCCTGGAAAAGCAGTCTTGGGAGACACTTTTATTTACAAAAGGAATGTTTGAACAGCATTTGAATTTCCTTGTATTTTGAAAGGGTGGTAAATACAGGTTTTCCTGGGCCTGTTCGGTTCCATCTCCTGTCAATTTCACATAATCCTTCCTGCTCATTATGGGATGTCAGCGCTTGATATGATTTCAACATAATCCACCTTGCTAGTCTACTTTTGCGAAAGAAGCCATTGAACTGCACCTGAGCTTCCTGGAAAACCTAAAGGAGGACAAAAACTGGTTTTTATTTATTTATATTAGTTTTTTAAAAATTGTATTGTGTTATTAAAAAAACCTTAATAAAATTGGGGGGGGGGGGGATAAATAAAACCTAATGGTTAGAGCTATGGGACGACCTTGGGCCGTTCTTCTGAATGATGTTATGATCTTTTCCTGCCATTGTGAAATTTTAGCACCCCATTCTATCTCTGCTGTTTCCCCAAGAGAAGTTGGGGTCCCTGGCAGATCTCCCAGACAGCTTAGCTTCTGCAAAGCTATTCTGTCTATTTGACTAGTTTCAATGAAGTGAAGAGGAAATAAAACCATCCATATTCTGTAGCGATTCTTTGGCTACTTCTGTCTGTGTGGCACACCTGCCTGCCTGGGATTCCTTGGGATATTTGGGGGAAATGGGGTTTGGGTGAGGAAGCCTTTTTACGACGCACAGACATGCCCTTTATAGGAAAGGTGTACAAATGCTGGGAAATATTTCAGTGCAGGTAGATTTGCTTCTCAGTTTCCGGTCCAAGGTGTCAGGATTCATCTCCTGAAGTTTACCTCCTAATCAGCACTACCTGCTTCCATGTCAACTCCTTCTTGTCAGGAGAAAATACAAATATTTTTTAAATAAAAAGCCCATCACCCCAATGAGACACGAATCTTTTCAAATCTGCAGTTAGCAACACCTTTTTTCCTAGCCGAGCAAATATTGTTCAATCCATTCATCTAACGGAGCAATTAAAAAAAACCAAAACCCACCGAAACTTGCTTTTTTGAATTAATTATTATTAGTCACTTTGAAGAGTTCCGTTTCAGAGTGGGCAGGACGCAATATATAGTAGAAATTAAAGGGAGAGAAACGAAGAAGGAAAAAAGGAATTTCTTCCAGGGCTGCAGACAGAACCCAACGTTGCCTCTCTTCCCCATCATCCTTCCAGGGGAACCCAGGCGTCCCGGGCCCTGCCTGGAAGGGGTTAAGCGCGCGCCCCCTCCCTCTTTGGCAATGCACTCCCCCCCCCCCGCTGTTCTTAATTGCAGCTTTCCTGTTGCCGTGGCAACCGTGATCGAGGGAGCGAGACAGGCGCAGGGGGAGAGGAATAAAAAAACAGAGCGCGGAGAGAGAGAGAGAAAGGGAAAAAGCGAAGGAAGGAGGGAGCAGCCGAGCGGCGAAAGCACCTGCTCGCCGGCCTGCAGGAAGGGGCGGGGAAACTACAACTCCCAGGCGCCTTTGCGCCACCCACCAGCAGCCGGCTTCGGCATCCTTGCCACTCTTCCTTTTCCTCCATTTGTGATTTACTTTTATTTTATTATTATTCTTTTGCATGCTTTAAACTAAAAAATTAAATTTAAAAAAGATGCATCGCTTGGTCTCCCTTTAAGGCCCAGTTTGCAAAGTGCATTGATTCGTTTCCTTGCGTTATTTTTGCAGCGCCTTCTTCTCGCTTTCTGTGCATTCCTCTCTGCCGGGCGTCGACATGGCGTCGGGCTCCGATGGCGGCGAAGAGGCGGCGGAGTCTCCGGATTCCCCGGCCGGGAAAGGTCAGTGGGAGACGCCGAGGGGAAACCCCCGCCGCCAGGGGGCGCTGCTGCTGCGCGGCGTGCAGGCGGCTGGCAGTGGAGGGCGTCGGTAGGGGGCGGTGTGGGGCAAAGGCAGAAGCCATGGGGAGGAAGAATGCGGGGCGCAAAGTGGGTATTGTTTCTTTGGGGGGGGGATAATCTGACAGCCACCCCAAGCGGGGCCAGATTAAGGCATGCTGCAGGACCAGTGCCATATAAGCTAAACAAACTACAGTGGTACCTCGGGTTAAGTACTTAATTCGTTCTGGAGGTCCGTACTTAACCTGAAACTGTTCTTAACCTGAAGCACCACTTTAGCTAATGGGGCCTCCTGCTGCCGCCGTGCCACCGGAGCACGATTTCTGTTCTCATCCTGAAGCAAAGTTCTTAACCTGAAGCACTATTTCTGGGTTAGCAGAGTCTGTAACCTGAAGCGTATGTAACCCGAGGTACCACTGTATATCTTAGGGCCCCACTCTCTTGGGGAACCCCGAAAAATTTAAAGGAAAAAACAACAACTGGATGTACATTTCCAAAATATAAGATAAAAAACAAATAAAACAAAACCTACATACAGCAACAGTGTTTTGTGGCTTTAGATACCTATGAGGTCCATAAATGACCATATAGCATATATTCAACACAAAAAAACAGCGACAATTTGTTGCTGACAAAGGACAGCTGGACATACAAAGGGCCCCATTACCTTCAGCGGCTGAGGGCCTCATCAAACCTAAATTCAGCCCTGTGCAGGACCCTAACCTAACCTATGTCACATTCATTAGGACCCCATAGTTATGGCTCTGTGCAATTGTTGAGAAATATAAACTAGAGCCCCAGAGCATTGCCAGGAAAAAGTGCATAGAATGTAAAGAGTCCTACTTGAGGCTCCGTGGGGAGGAGGAGTAGCATAGGGATTACCTTGTTGTAACCCGCCCTGGGAACTTCAGGTGAAAGGCAGGCAATAAATTGAACAAAATATAGAATTAAAAGATGCTTAAAACTAATTACGGTACTGGCACAAGAATGGGGAGGAGGAGATCCTAAAATTTCTGTTCTGTGTCAAAGGCCAGGGTAAAGAGCAGTCGGCTAATTTCTACTCAATGGGGGTATAAATATAATAATGCAGATTTTGACCAGCCCGCCGTTGTTTAGAAAATTAATGAATTAAAAATCAGGGCTTAGGGCGGCCATTAAGAGGATGGCTCTGAGTGCCTTTGCTTGGCAAGCGATGACTTCCCCCTCTTTCCCAAAACCTCGGGGGTGAGAAATTTTTTTCAAGTCAAGGGAGTAGGTAAGACTTGAGCCTGCGTTTATTTTCTGTCTCCTACTTTAGAAAAGCATTTCAAAAATTAAGCGTTCCAAACAGGATGGGGCCGATGCAGAATTGTGTCGGGGAATGTGTAGGGTGGGGAAATCAAATTTTTATATTTATGTACATATATATATATATAGGCTGCATCAGAATTAATTCGTTCCTGCTCCCTTGCACAGATTCCGCCTCAGGCTCCATTGAGGTGGAGCAGAAGTTCCTTTTCGGGCCTGACGCCGTGCAGAAGCTGAAGGGGCTGGGGGCGATGCCGGAAGCCAGCGTCTCCTTCCGCGACCGGTACTACGACGTTCCCGATTGGCACCTCACGCTAGCAGATCATTGGCTCCGGCAGCGCGAAGGGGCTGGCTGGGAGCTGAAATCCCCCCTGCGGCCACTAGAGGGTGCTGCCACTAGCCGGGGGCAGCAGAACCTTCCGGAACCGCCAGCTGGAGCCCGGAGCCACGAGCCGCAGCACCCGCCTCAGCCACTAGAGGGCAGGACGCACCTGGCCACGCAATACCAGGAAGTGACCTGCCCCCGAGACATTGTGGCCCGCGTCTGTGGCCTGCTGGGCGTGGACCCGGCCGCGGGTTGGCAGAGCGACGTGGCCAGAGCAGTGGAGGAGCTGGGCCTGCAGGAGTTTGCCAGCTTCGTCACCCAGCGGTGCAAATACCGCCTAGCCAGCCTCCGCCTGACGGTGGATCTCGATGAGATGGACTTTGGCTATGCCGTGGGAGAGGTGGAGGCAATGGTTTTGCAGGAGCAAGAAGTTCCAGAGGCTCTGGAGAGGATACAGGAGCTGGGAATTCGGCTGGGTGAGGAGTTTGGCTATTTTGACCCAGGAAGTGCCCTCTTAGTGGGGATCAAGCCAAAGGGGGCCCGTCTAGCCCAGCTTCCTGTTCTCAGTGGCCCATCAAATGCCACCCATTGATGCCCGCAGATAGGGCAACATCAGTGCCCTCCCCACTCACAATTCCCAGCAGAGCCATTGTGGCTCCACGAATTTGTCCGATCCTCTTCCAAAAGCACCTAAGGGTCTCGCAAATACCGTATTTTTTGCTCTATAAGACTCACTTTTTCCCTCCTAAAAAGTAAGGGGAAGTGTGTGTGTGTCTTATGGAGCGAATGCAGGCTGCGCAGCTATCCCAGAAGCCAGAACAGCAAGAGGGATTGCTGCTTTCACTGTGCAGCGATCCCTCTTGCTGTTCTGGCTTCTGAGATTCAGAATATTTTTTTTCTTGTTTTCCTCCTCCAAAAACTAGGTGGGTCTTGTGGTCTGGTGCGTCTTATAGAGCGAAAAATACGTTAGTTTAGTGGCAGATTCAGAAATGCAGGGTCCCCTCTGTGAAAGTCACAGCTTCTAAGATCAGACCATAATCTTGTAATTATAATCGGGGGGTGCATCGCAACAATGGGTGCAGATCTCCGCATGTTGCCTTCTAAACTAGATCTACTGTTTTCTGGGCCTGGGTGGATGGTTTGGAGTGCTCCGGAACTTTTTTCCAGGGTGGCTCGAGTGGTGTTTTTCGTGAGGTTCCCTTGTACGTAACAGAATCAGCCTGGATAGCTTGGTCGGTTGGAGCGTGGTGTTGAGAACGCCAAGGTTTCAGGTTCAATCCCCGTATGGGACAGCTGCAAATTCGGGTTGGACTAGATGATCCTTAGGGTCTCTTCCAAGTCTGTGATTCTATAAACTTGCACACAGGATACAGAACAGCTCCGTGTGCGCCTTCTGCAGAGTGACCCTAGGCACCTATCCTCGGGGGCTAAAAAACTCTGTTTTCATGCTTCTTGCGTGGCTGTAGGACACTGGAGATGGGGCTCCTCACTTTGGGGGGGCCTGATTAACAAGTCTTTTCTCCCTCTTCTTAAGCACCCCTCAAAGTATTTTTTTAAAGTACAAAATACAAACGAGAACTGCTTGATGCTTAGTTCTGGGTCTCACCCTGTTGCCAAACTAACGTTCTCCTCTCTTTCTGGTCTCCATGGCAGGCCTGGATATGAAATCCCCGATTCCTGGCAAGATGTCTGTCTACCTGTGTAAATTCCGACCTGCACACTATGAGGCCCTCATGAGAGCTGGGTTGCTGAGGAAAGTGAGAGCTGCAGCGGATGAGGAGGGGAACTGACTGGGGCTGGAAAAACGGGGCTGGGGGCTACGCTTCGGGCAAGAGAGAAAGTCCGCTACCTGAACCGAGAGGACAATTCGGACCACGTTCCTCCCACCCACCCCTCCTTTCTTCCCCCTCTGCCAAACCGTCCAACTCCATTCAGCATCTGGAATGGCTTTCGACACCCCGCGGCAGTCGGGAGCCTTGCATGACATCACAGCAGGTCAGCCAATAGCAGCCGGGCCTGGGCAGAGGGGCTCCCTGCTGCGAAACAGCCAGGAGTTTGCCCTGTTACACAAGAACGGAGAATGCGTTGAGAAGATATTTATTCACGCTGAAAGCTCAAAGGCCGTTCGATGGAGAGCGGCAGGGGGCAGGTGTAGAGATGGGGGTGAGGGGAGAGAGAAAGGAAGGAGGAGGGGGACGCAGTGTGGCCTCGCCCAAGCTGGAACACGCCCACAAACCCAGGGGCTACCAATTCCAGCAGCCCCATCTGGAGGGTGCCACATATTGTGGATCTGCGGAACTCGCCGCCCTTGCATAGTGTAACAGCGCCCGACAGAATGCTAAGACAGGGCTTCCCCGGAGTGGTTCTTGCACTACTCTCAGTGTGCATCAACTGCAGCGTCGCTTTCGCTGGGGCCAGCCAGCGTCTGGAAGGGAGGTTTGTTGGACCTACCAGCAGCACGGCCAGAGGTGGAAAAACCAAATCCGGCAATGGAGAGGGATAGCTGGTGTTTGTGTTTGTTTTTGTTAAAGAGGGCTTTCCCCCTCCACCCCCCAACCCACTCTTTATCTCCATCGATTTCCATTTAGTCTCCCTCAGTTGTTGTGGAGTTTCCCTCATCTGGCTGATCAATTGAATTGATCTGCCAGCAGCTGGGAGTGAGGAGGGAGAAAGTGGGCTGGCTGAGACGGGGATTCCCCTTCTCCCGCCCGCCTCCCTCTTTCGGAAATCCCTCTTTGGATCCGGCGAGAGAGGCGCCCTCTGCCCTTCCGCCTGTGCAAAAGGGGAGCACCCATGGGGGGTGTTATTTGGGGCACCCAGCTGGAGCAAAGGCGCCACCTGGTGGTGAGATGGTGTCATTGCAAGGGTTTTTTTCCCACCCCTTCCCTTCCCTCGGAGTGGAGTGCATTTTAGGGGGACCTGTGAGGAGGGAGGGGTACAGTGGGCCGCTCGCTCTTCATTTCCAGGCAGCCTCGGGGAATGAGTTGATTTCCTTGATCTGTTGCACCAGCGCTCCAGAGGGCAGAGTGTAGGCAAGTCGTAACCTCATGCGGAGCGGGAGCTGGAATCAGAAAGGGATAAGACTTACTTGACGCTGGGTGTATAATCTCTGCTTGCAAACATTAAAAGCTGCATTCTGCAAAACAGAAAGCTCTGGATTCGATGCTGTGGAAACCCCAGCGTTCATTCCTTTTCTACGAGACCTAAGACGCTAGTCCTTAGTGTAGCTGGAAGAGCGAGGGCGACGTGTGTTGTGTTAAATGGGGAAAGAGAGTGAATTCGGGCGGCTGAGACTGCTGGAGAATACCCTCCTTGAAGGAACAGGAAGTGACATCACCCTGGTGCCTGTTAAGCTAACCAAGGTGAAGTCAACCAGCGAGGGCAGAGGAGGAAGTGACATCACCGCTGTCTTTGTGATGTGGGAGCGTGACGGTGCCACTTCCTGTTTTCAGCGGGAAACATCCTTCTGATGCTGCCGACAGAAGTGGCCCGCAGGAAGCTTAAGCAATAGAGTCTTCATGTCGCTTTACAGGAGTAGGGGAAGTGATGTCACCACCTCGCTTTAAGTGATGGCCAGGCAGGAAATGACATCGCTGCTCAGATCACAGGTTAATTCCCACTCCCTGGCCGCACGTATATCCCTCCTCTCACTCTGCTTACCTTTTTGGGGTTCAATACTCGGATGAGCTGGGTGATGGGGGGCCCACCCTGGCCTGGGACTGTAGAGCCACTCGGTGCCAGCAGCTCCACTTGGAAGGACTGTCAGAAGAGGAGCAGGCGAAAGTCCAAACAATGTGTATCATTTTAAAAAAAAAAGGAAAAAGTTTTTGACCCCTGCAAAATCCAGGGCCGTTCCCCTTCCTGCTTTCTCCCCTCCCTGCCGTGCAAAAGGATTTCATTTGCAATTTAAAACATTATGGATGACAGCATTATCCCTTTGTCTGATCCTCTTTTAAATCCTCTTCCAAGTTGGCCATCACTGCCTCCAGTGGCAGTGAGTTCCATAGTTCGTGTAAAGAATTACCGTATTTTTTGCTCTATAACACTCACTTTTTCCCTCCTAAAAAGCAAGGGGAAATGTGTGGGTGTCTTATGGAGCGAATGCAGGCTGCGCAGCTATCCCAGAAGCCAGAACAGTAAGAGGGGTTGCTGCTTTTGCTGCGCAGCGATCCCTCTTGTTGTTCTGGCTTCTGAGATTCAGAATATTTTTTTCCCTGTTTTCCTCCTCCAAAAACTAGGTGCGTCTTATGGTCTGGTGCGTCTTATAGAGCGAAAAATACGGTGCTTCCTTTTGCCTGCCCAGAAACCCTTCGCTGGGCGACCTCTGGCACTGGGAGGAGCATAAAGGAGGCTGCTCCTCCTTCTTAAGAACACCAGCAGATTTTTCTTGGCTGCTGGGTGAGGCCAAAGGGGGTCCCCATCTAGCCCAGCCCCACTGAGGAAGCCCACAAGCAAGACCCCACGGCCGCAGCGGTCCTCCTCAGTTGTGATTCCCAGCAACTCACATTCAGAAGCATCGCGGCCGCTGTGGCTCGTGGCCGCCTCTGTGTCCTCTCCCAACCCTCTTCTAAAGCCACCCGGGGCCTCACCTTGGGGACGGCCACTTGCAGACAAAACCCGGCCACGTCGTGGGGGGTCCTGTTGGAGACGGTGGCCGTGATGAGCAGCAACGTGGGCTCCAGCGGCGGCCGGTCCATGGAAAATTCAACCAGCAGGCCGTCTTGTTCGTACGCAACCATGCGGGCGATGGCGGAGGCTGCAGGGAGGGAAGGGCGGCCAGCTAAGTCTAGTTCCCCTCCGGCCACCACCCTGTGAGGTACAGAAAGTCCCCAGAGCCATGCCAAGCCAGGGCACACCTGAGCATGTGCAAAGGGCCTTGCCCTCGCCTGAGTAACCCCTGGCAGCGTACACAGGACTGGCACTGTGACCTTCCAGCTCAGAGGCGGTGGCTTTTGGGTCGCCCTTTAGGAAGAGGCCTCTTTTGGCCCTTCACAATAATATGTGGCCACATGGCTAAGCAGGGAGCAGTCTGGTCTCTTCTGTGTTTTTCTCTGGAAATGCTGTGAGTGCCATTCATAGAAGGGGTTTCATTGGACCCTGCAGCTTTCCCTTTGTTGCATTACTCAAAACAGAGCAGCTTTCAATAATAATAATAGTAATAATAGTAATAATAATAAGTGCTATTTTTCTAGGAAAAAAGGAGTCAAACTCACCACAAACACCTCCCTCATTCTCTTAGAATGGCAATGATGCCCACCTGGAAATGCCGGAACTGAGTTCCAGCTGAAAAAAGCCCTAATAATATTAATTATTATTATTTCTTATTCCCTGCCCACCTGACTGGGTTTCCCCAGCCACTCTGGGCAGCTCCCAACAGAAAATTAAAACAGGATAAAACATCAAACATTAAAAGCTTCCCTAAACAGGGCTGCCTTCAGAGGTCTTCTAAAAGTCAGGTAGCTGCTTATTTCCTTGACATCTGATGGGAGGGCGTTGCACAGGGCGGGCACCACCACCGAGAAGGCCCTCTGCCTGGTTCCCTGCAAGCCCACTTCTTGCAGGGAGGGGACCGCCAGAAGGCCCTCGGAGCTGGACCTCAGTGTCTAGGCAGAACGATGGGGGTGGAGACGCTCCTTCAGGTATACAGGTATATTTTAGTGCTCATTGTTAAAACTCAACAAGAGCGCTACAGCTGTTGTTAAAGGGGGGCAGTGCTTTTGCTCAGAAATGCCCATGTGAGGTGGAGAAATAAGCTCTCTTTACTTTATTTCATCTGTCTGGAAAACCCCCAGAGGGCAGTGATGGAATGAAAGAATATGGGGGGGGGGTGGGGAGTTGTCCTTTGCAGACTCGCCTGAAAGGGTCTTGTCAAGAATCGAGCCGCAAAAAGCAAGCAGCTCCCTCCCCACTAGCAAAGAGCTTTTAGGTCAACATACCTGGGGCTTTCAGATCGCCAAGGAAATCGAGGAAGGATTCCACTGCCGGGGTGCCAGTGCTGGGCTGGGCTGGAGGGGGATCTGCGGGGCCTCCAAGGAGATCCAAAAGATCAGAGACCTACAGGGGAAGCAAGGGAGTGTTGAAGAGGGGATGGCGAGGTTGGGGAGATTCCCATCGCAGGGCACCAGTGCGGAGAGCTCTGGCAAAGGCATGCAGTGATAATCTGGGAAAGGAGAGGCAACAGAAACAGCACAGCCACTGCCGGGGGGTGGGGTGCACATTAAAATAGGGCTGTGGGTGTTCAGACCACTTTAAAATTGCTGAAAGTCTTTGTGGGTCACTTAGTGGTTTTTCAGCCAGTGGTTTAGCCATTTTTATGTTCTGTGCTAGATGTGGAAGCAAGCCAGGGCTGGGAGGCATATAAATGATAAAACCAATATTTAAAATTTCTGCCACGGACTGCATGGTTAAAGCTCACGAGCCACAGGTGGTTCACAGGCTGCACTTTCGAAACGCCTCCTTTAAAAATCAAGGCTTGAGTTCAGGTTTCACCCCCACCAACCCGGTTCGGTTCCAGTTCAGTTCAGCCTTTCTGTGGCGCAGCAACAAGCTCTCTGTCCGCCGAACTGATTTGTGTAAGGAAAGAGCTGCGATGATACAGGATTCCGGTTTATCAAAGGAGGTGGGCCAAATTAACAGCTGGGCTCTTCCAAATCCAGCATTCAGTGGCCTTATGTTTGGGTTCTGCTGTGGTGCTGCCAGTCTAGGGGGAAGCGCAGATTGGCCAGCTCTGAAAACCAAATCCTTATTTGGAATTGGTAATCCTGGATTACGCGCTGCTTGCTCCCTGCTCCAAAATGTCACCTTGCCCTTAAGTTCGGGGTTTGCCCTGCTCCCAAGTGCCCCCTGGTGCCAACCGTTTGCCAAAGTAACTCCCCACCTGGCCAGAATCCTGTTGCTGGACGTCGCTGGGCGCTGGCGCCACCTCCAGGATTCGAGGGGCATCAGCGGCCTCTCTTCCATTCTGCTCTTTTTCACTTCCTTCCTCGGTGTAGCCACTTTTGTCGACTAAGGGCATCTTCTCCAGGACGGATGCTCTGGCAGGGAGAAAGAAAAAAAATTGAGAGATACGGGCCTTTTGTGGGGATTTATTTGGCAAGAGATGGGACGCGGGTGGCGCTGTGGGTTAAAGCACTGAGCCTCTTGGGCTTGCCGATCAGAAGGTCGATGGTTCGAATCCCCATGACGGGGTGAGCTCCCGTTGCTCGGTCCCTGCTCCTACCAACCTAGCAGTTCGAAAGCATGAAGTGCAAGTAAATAGGTACCGCTCCGGCGGGAAGGTAAACGGCGTTTCCGTGCGCTGCTCTGGTTCGCCAGAAGCGGCTTAGTCCTGCTGGCCACATGACCCGGAAGCTGTACGCCGGCTCCCTCGGCCAATAAAGCGAGATGAGCGCTGCAACCCCAGAGTCGTCCGCGACTGGACCTAATGGTCAGGGGTCCCTTTACCTTTACTTGGCAAGAGAGCGGGGAAGCAGGGTAGGAGAGAGATTTTATCTGCCGGTGATTTGGGACGGCTGTTTCCGCCCTCAACCCTCCTCACCCATCCTATGACCTGCGTGTCAGGAATAAAGGTTTCCAAACCAGATTTTGGTACTGGTCTTCCTCTGTGGAGGTTTAGCCGCTGAAGGCTTCCTGTGAGCACCCACAAAGAATGTTTGCAAAGACTGTCAAGGCGGAAGGCCATTCGGAGCAAAGTTTTCAGCGCTCAAACTTGGATGGGGTGAAATGGGGAAGCTAGCTAAAAAAATGGGTGTTGTGTGAATGGAAGCGCCCACAAAGAAGGTCAGAATATGCAGAGCACCCGAGAACGAGAGCAGTTTCAGGCGCCTGTCTTTGCCAGGAGTACCTGAGGTGGTCGTACTTCCGGAAGAGGGCGTTGTACTCGACCGCCCGCTGCTGGAGCTCCACGTCGTGGCAGCTGCAGTAAATGGAAACCAGGCTCCGGATCCGACTTCTCAGGGCGGGCAGGGCAGGAAAAAAGAATTGAGGGGAAGAGGTTATGAGCAGCCTCTGCTTCGGGCAGAGAAGCAGGACGCAGAATGAGGCGGGAAATATTACAGAGGCAAATCAATTCAAAAGGCCTCACAGGATGGTCCAACGCTTGCCACGGCTACACCCTGCCAGTCGTAGAGTCGTAGGATTGTAGAGTTGGAAGGGAACCCAGGGGTCATCTAGCCCAATCTGCCTGCAACGCAGAAATTGCGGAATCCCTGACAGATGGCCCACCTCTGTTTCCAAAACCTGCAATGAAGGAGAGCCCACTGCCTTCTGGGGGAGTCCTTTCCCCTGTCAAACAGCTCTTGCCGTCAGAAGGCTCATCCTTATGTTTTAAGTCAGAATCTCCTTGGCATTTGAATTCCGTCGGTTCCCAAAGATCACCAACGTTTTAATGTTTAATAGACTATTGTATTTTAATATTTTGTTGGAAGCCGCCCAGAGTGGCTGGGGAAACCCAGCCAGATGGGTGGGGTATAAATAATAAATTATTATTTTTTATTTTTATTATTTTATTATTATTATTATTATTATTATTAGAATTTATATATCACCCTATACCCGGAGGTCTCAGGGCGGTTCACAGAAAAGATCAACTTAAAAACCACAGTATATATCATCTAATAAGAACCCAATAACACCTCCCCCCCCCCAAAAAAAAGAACCACATTTTAAAAGGGCAGAGGATCTGTTGGGTTCTTGGCCCCATGAGCCCAAACAGCGTATTATGCACAAATGCATGTCACAGCAGTCCGATTTCAAACAGGAAATGCCTTTTCTAATTATTATTATAACGTCTGCCCTGGATTAGGAAGAGGGGGCATTGAGGCTGCGAGCCTAAACCAAGTACACAACTCTGAACCACCAGAGAATCCTGGGAACCTTTGTTTGCTAAGGGTGCTGGGAGTTGCAGCTCAAACTACAACTCCCAGGGTATCACGGGGGAATCGGGGTGCGTCCGCGTGGTGAACCTGCGAGGGTGGGGATGTCGGCTGTGAGCTCACTTGATGTCGCTGCCCTGGAGTCGGGTCCCGAGCTTCATGAGGGCGGTGAGGGCGTAGGCCCTGGTGCCTGGCAGCGAGAGGTGCGACTGCAACACTCGCTCCAACATGGAGACCATTTCCTCTGGGTCCGCCTGCCGCAGCGGGGGAGAAGGGGGAGAAAGGAGGAGGAGGAAAAGCCATAACGAAGTGGGGTGTTTTTTCCCCAGGGGGTGTGAGCAAACTTGCCCCGTTTGATGTCTCCCACAAAATGCCCACCCTCAGTTTCTGACTCCTCACCTGTGTGGGCTCCACCTCTTCACAGCTGCCGTCCAATAAGAGGTTGCCGTATTCACCAATGCACCAGGTAGCCACCTGGACCAAGGGTTGCTGGAAGAGAAAAAGAGAGAGGGAGGGCTTTGCAGTGTTATGTATTTAAGCTTTTGCCAACCGGGCGCCGCCTGGGTATCGCTGGACTACAACTCCCATCAGCCCCCGTTTTAGGCCCAGTGGGACTGATGGGAGTTGTAGCACCACAATGTCTTTCATTCCATGTTTATTCGCAAGGGGTTCGGGGCGGTGTGCCTAAGGGACTAGGGGTTATCCCATGGCCTGCTCACAACCACCCTGTGAGGTAGGTTAAGGCCGAGAGGTGGAAACTCGCTCCAGGGAGGCTAGTTTGGGATTTTATTCTGCTCCTGATCTGATTTTCGGATGTATTTTAATTGATTGTCTGATTTTAAGTTAATGTGCTATACATTTGATGTTAGCCGCTCTGAGCCCGGTTTTGGCCAGGGAGGGCTCAGGGCGGCTAACAACAAATTTAAAACACTTAATTGATGCTACAAAAAACCCAGCATAAAATACGGTATAAAGCGTAAATAACAATAAAATCAAAAATCAATTTAGGGGGAAAATCCATCCAATAAACATTAGATGATCACCAGGGCTGGCTGGCTAAATTAGTCCCACTTGAGCCAGCGAGGAGCGAGAGCAGCGTGACGACAGCCTTACATTTCTATGTGTATAGGAAGAATAGCTTAGAGGTTTTGATGCTAAGCATTATAGAAATTCTGTTCAGTTAATAAAAAACATTGAGTGGAACTCACTTGCAAGTAAGTGGGCACAGGATACATAGCCTCACTCTTCCTCTTCTGGTTCTCTATGCCCTGCCGCCCCTGCCCCCATCACCCCCCTCCCCAACCCCACACCTGAGAGATATCTTGGGTCAGGGCCTTGTATAGCTGTTGAACTGCATAGCCGTGAAGCTCCTTTGCACCTCCGATGAGGTGGATGAGGTTGGGCACCGCGTCGTCACGTACATAGGAGCCAGCCTGCAGAGGGTAAGGAGAGGCACCGGGGATGTGAGCTACGCTCCTCCTCAGAGATACATCTCTGCTTTGCCCTCCCTTCCCTTTAAAAGAGTTCAACAGATTCCTCCTCCTCCACACAAGCCCAAGGACTCGGCTCTGAAGGCACTCTAAGGAATCTGGGCTGCTATTGGTGGGCTCTATGTGAAGCATTCTGCTTAAGGGGGGAGGGCCTTGAAACTCACTTTTTCAACGCACCTAGAATGGCAGTTTCAATGGGGTGCTTGAAACAGGGAAAGGAAAATAAAGATTAAAGCCTGAAAAATGTTCACAGAGACACAGTAGGGGGTGTTTTGGTTGCCTGAGAATGTCAGCTTTCTGTTTCTCGCCTCTCCCAGAAGAAAAGAAACAGTTTCTAGTCCAGATGGTCTTGGAGAAGCTTCTTCAAACACAACCCCTTGCGAGAGGAAGGCCCTTCCTTGAGCCACGCAGCTTTCCGCTGCTCCCCAAGAATCCCAGACCCCACCCCACCCTCCATCTTACCATGGTCAGAACCTGGAGGATGGTGTCAATGTGCCAACGCTTGCTGGGCGCAAACCTGAAGTGGGTGAGGGAAGAAAACAAGAAGAGCAGGAATGTCTTAGACCTATCGCTCCACCTGAAAGTGCCCCTCACGCTGTCAGGGCATGTCATTTTAAGGGGTGGGACTTAATTTCTTCGGGAGGGAGGGTCTTAAAAATACGTTTTTGGGTGTGAGGAATTCAAATCTGCTATTATTTTTGTGCTGGGACAACATTCAGCTTGGCGAATCTACGTTTGATTAGAAAGCACATAAACTGCTTTCTCAGAAAACCAAAGACTTTAATTTCGCCTTCTGAAAATGTCAGGTAATGCTAAATAATAATAATAATAATAATGAACAATAATATTTTTTTTAATGTGCTGTATAATATAAGTGCAAACGCTCCTTTTTAATTATTTCTGTGCAATTTTACACGCATTTCACTTACCAAGGAGAACTAAATCATATTAATTTAACCAAGACATCTTTTGAATTCCCAAGTCTTAGGTCACAGAATTGGAGAGCGGCAGGAATCTTTTGCCCAACGACCCTAAAATTAAGAGTCTTGTGCTCTGCCATGAGCGCCCTTCAAGGAGCGAATTCAAAAGCTGCAAAATTCAACATGTGCCCCCCCACACCTGCCCTGGATTTCTCTACAACGCCCCCTACGGGCAACGGCTGGACCCGACTCACTTCTCAGCGGCCAGGAATATTCCGGAAGCGCAGTCCGACTTCAGCTCCGGGGCGCAGGTTTCTAGGAAAACCAGCAGCTCTTTTGTGGTTGTCCTCACGTTGCTGCCGCTCACCAGGGCCAGGCTCAGCTGCAGGGCACGCCTGAGGAAGGAGGGAGAAGCGAGCAATTCTCCCAACTCAGAGACATCGTCTCCCGGAGCCTCGACCCTGTCTTTCCCCCTCGTCTCACCTCTTCACAGTGGGATCCGGGTCGGCCAGGCATTCAAGGACTGTGGCCCGGTGCCTCTGAACGGCACTGTTCTCTTCTTGCAGCAATTTCTGTAGAGATGTTAGAGCCACGTATCTAAAGGGAAGATTTCCCCCGAAAAGAAAAAAATAAATACCGTATTTTTCGCTCTGGAAGACGCAACAGACCACAAGACACACCTAGTTTTTGGAGGAGGAAAACAAGAAAAAAAATATTCTGAATCTCGGAAGCCAGAACAGCAAGAGGGATCGCTGCGCAGTGAAAGCAGCAATCCCTTTTGCTGTTCTGGCTTCTGGGATAGCTGCGTAGCCTGCATTCGCTCCGTAAGACGCACACACATTTCCCCTTACTTTTTAGGAGGGAAAAAGTGAGCCTTATGGAGCAAAAAATACAGTACTTTCTGTGTTTCCTTCCAGGTGCTTGGGGCTATCCTTCAACCTCGCTGTTTTATCCGCACAACAACCCTGTGAGGTGGGATAGGCTGAGAGAAGGGCGACTGGAGCCCAAGGCCACCTAGAATGCTTCATAGCCAAGCATGAATTCGAACCCCGATCTCCCAGGCCCTCGAACCAGGGAAGCGGCACAAAGAAGACCGTCCGCAGCCAATAAGTCGGAAGCGTTTCTCCTTGATTCGCTTCAAGATGGAAAGGGGACGCTGCCGGGTGGGAGGCAAGGGGGAAAGTGGGGGACTGTGACATGGGCAGCCAAAATGGCGGCCGGCGAGGCCCTAAAACAACATCTGTCAGGGCGGCCGGGAGATCCGAGCAAATCTGAATTAAGCGTGTGGCAAATTAATTTCACACACTGTTTCACCGGGGAAGAAAAGAAGCGCCGCGCCCCTGAGGATGCATTTTAATAGGCCGAGTTATCGCGCAGCTGCTTCTCATGCGCCGTGGAAAAGGGGTGGCTGCCTTGTCTTGGGGGGGGGGAGATAACTGAGGAATTGCCTCCGTCCCTCATTTTCCCTCAGCCGTGAGGACATTGGCAGCGACTCATGAGGGAACCTGAGGGTCTCTGGGCACGCTCCCTTTCCCAGACCGGCGTCTACAGAACGGGCCTCAAAGAATTAGGAGAAGGGGGCAGATCATGAAGGGGAAACAAGGGATCTGCAATGGCAGTGAGGAAGGCGAGTCAAGGGTTGTGACAACACAGCCCTATGCGCTGTGTGCCCATGTGAGTCAGGGGCCAGAGCACTGGACCAGGAACCGGGAGACTAGGGTTCAAAAATTCGCTCGAGGCCCCTGATTGCAGACGCCATCTTCCAACATCCTACCCTCTTCTCGAATTTCAGTGGCCCCAAGCTGGAGAAGAAGATGTCAGGCCGCAGAATCAAAGAACCATAAAGGGTTCCAAGGGTCATCTAGTCCAACCCCCCGTGATGCAGGAATCGTGACTAGATCCTGCATGGCAGATGTCCTCCCAATCTCTGCTTAAAAACCTCTGTAGGAACCAAGCACCGCGTTTTAAAAGAAGCCAGGGCGAAACGTGTTATAAGGAGACTCGGCCCCAAAATATATTTTCAAAATTCCGACAGGAAAATTTCAGGTGATTGTTGGGACGGCGTTTCCTCACAGCTCTGTCTGGGTCATTCCAGTGCTTTGTTTGTTTCGTGGGGGTTTTGTACCTGATATTCCGGTCCTTGTTAAGGAGAAATCGCCCGAGGATATTTATAGCGAGAACCTGGGTGTGGAAAAGAGAAGTGTCCTTAATTCCCCAAATGTACCATTTGCAAGAGCTGAGGGGGCAGAGGAAGAACGGAAAAGCTTCAGAACAAGCAGATTCTAGCTTGGGACAGCTGGATGTAGAAGATTTTGGGGCCTGGGGGCCGCACTCCCTCAAAAGCAACCTTTCAGGGGCCGCAGACCAGAGGCAGCAAGGGGGGGGGGAAGTGGCTAGAACAACAGATACAGGTCTTCCCTTGTACAGGTTGCACCCAGCCACACAAATCTCAAAGGTTTATGGAAACAGGCGCACAGACCCCAAAGACCTCTCCATCCTCTTTCCAGGCAAGCGAAAGTTATCATTGTGGTTCTCCCACCAGGCAGAACTACCTGAGGATGGTGTGGCTTGAGGAGAGGACTTCTGGGGCCAAACAGAGAGGTCTGGAGGGCCGCTTTGATATCAGGGGCCTGAAGTTCCCCACCCCCTAGGGGAACACAAGACAGTTTTGATCGTATGTGGGGGTCTAGAAACGGAAGCGCTATCATCGCACCGGGAGGTGCCCAGAATATTCCATTTGCACCCAAAAAACCAACACCCTCCCAAAAGATCTGAACGCAAGAGGAGCCGAGCAAGGTGCAGGATCAGCCCAGTCCACCTGGCCCGTATGAATCCGCCATACCCTCAGGCCGCTGGTTGAGCGGATGCCCATGATGGTCAGCACCGTCTCGTACAAGATGGCGTTGCCCACGTTCCGTGTTGTCTCCGTGTTGGTGGCCACCTGGGAAGAAGCGGAGGGGTTGGCAGCCTTGCTGGCTTTTGGCGTGGGACGTTCCCCCCACCCCGCTCTCCCCCCGCAGGCCTTCACCTTGGTCTCTTCCTTCCTCTTCACTGACGGCAGCCACACCCCCCCCAAATGGTACAGCTCTTGCTAACAAAGGGTTCTAGGTCATACAATCTAGACCAGGCCTAGCAAAGTTTTAATCGAAACGTGGAGGCTAAATGGACCCCCGGTTTTGTTCATGGTGAAGCGAACTCTGTTCTCCAGAGGCCTGTAAATGTCTCCTTTCCCTCGCCCAGGGCACTCTTTCCAGCGCCAGCAACAACCGCTGGGCTCACCTGAGCCAAGGAATCGTTCATGGCGTCGCTGGCGTCTTCGTTGTCCTTTCCCAGAATCCTTAGCAGCCGCAGGATCTGTACCTGGGAGAAGAGATGTTATCAGGGAGGTGAGGATGGAGTAGGGAAGCTTTTAATGTTTAATTGACTATTGTATTTTAATATTCTGTTGGAAGCCCCCCAGAGTGGCTGGGAAAACCCAGCCAGATTTGCGGGGTATAAATAACACTGGTCAACAACAAATTTGTTGTCTGTGTTTTTTCAGTTGATTTAGGACAAATCTGATGCGCTGAATCCAAAAATCACATTGGTTTTGCTCAATCAGGTCAAGTTTTTGAGCTATGACCACATGTCATTTTTTTACGTTTTTGTTCACATGTACGCTTGTGTGGAGCATTTTAGAAGTTGGTGGGGGTAAAATGCCATGTCGAATAATTGTTTTGATTGGAAATGATTATTTTAATGACAAGAAGTATTCAGGTCCGATAGTTCTGGGTGATTATGTCGAAAAGGGATCAGTTTGAAGTCATAAAACCTCGAAATCTTCCATAAATTGGTGCGCTGTTGATGTGACTGGAATCAACAGAAAGAACCGGAGCAGCCTCAAGTATCCTGATCTTCAATCAGCACGTTGTCCTGTAGCTCATTGTGATGAAATTCCAGTGCCTATCTTCAGAGAACTTCCTGACATTAGTGACGAAGATGCCTCCAGTGTTGAAGGACATGAAGAAGAAGAAGAAGAAGTGGTTCTTGAAGATGATGTTCCACATCCATTTTCCCAAAAGGAGTTGAATGATCTACTTCGCGACCTCAGCTTGTCAAAGGACTCTGCCGAACTGTTGGCATCCAGATTGAAGAAAAAAAACCTCCTCTCTGACAGTACTCGCCTCAGCTTCTTCCGCAACAGGCATCAAGAGTACCTCCGTTTTTTCTCGGAAGAGAAGGACTTGGTGTACTGTGCAGATATTGCGCAGCTTCTGCTCAAGCTTGGAGTGCCACAGTACGAACCCAAAGATTGGAGACTGTTCATTGACAGCAGCAAGTGCTCACTGAAATGTGTTCTGCTACACAACGGCAACCAGTTTGCCTCTATACCCCTGGCTCACTCGACTACACTGAAGGAGAACTATGAAACAGTGGTATGTGCTGGAGAAAATTGGTTATGATCAGCATAAGTGGTTTATTTGTGTTGACCTGAAGATGGTGAACGTTTTGTTGGGACAACAGTCTGGCTTCACCAAGTACCCATGTTTTCTGTGCATGTGGGATAGTAGGGACCGTGCTCAGCATTACACGAAGAAGGACTGGCCTGTGCGGGAGGAATTGGTGCCTTGCAAAGAAAGGAACATCATCAACGACCCTCTGGTGGACAGAGACAGAATACTCTTCCCACCGCTGCACATCAAGCTCGGCTTAATCAAGCAGTTCACCAAGGCTCTGGACAAGGATGGTGACTGCTTCACTTACTTGTGCCAGGCTTTTCCAGGATTGACCATGGAGAAGTTGAAAGCTGGCATCTTTGACGGTCCTCAGATCCATCAGCTCATCAGAGATCCAGAGTTCGGAAACTCAATGAACGAAGTGGAACTGGAAGCGTGGAAGGCATTTGTTCTGGTAGTGAAGAACTTTCTTGGCAACAATAAGGCCAGAAACTACGCAGAACTTGTCAACAACATGCTGACTGCTTTCAGAAACCTGGGCTGCAACATGAGCGTCAAGATGCACTACCTATTTTCACATATGGACCGGTTTCCTGAGAACCTGGGTTCAATGAGTGACAAGCAGGGGGAGAGATTCCATCAGGACAAGAAAGAGATGGAGACCAGGTATCAGGGTTGCTGGGACGCAGTCATGATGGCTGACTACTGTTGGACTCTGAAGAGAGACCTCCCTGCCGCTGAGTATTCCAGGAGTTCCAAGAAACGGAAGTTCAAGCCCTGAAGTTTGAAAAATGGTGAAGCAACATGCAATTTACATGTACTTACCTTTATCAATGCCCACCATTCAGTTTACAGTAAACCTGACCTGATGGAGAGAAACGGATGCCATTTCCTGATTCAGCAGTGCAAAAATACCCTAAATCAGTTGTAGAAATCTAGACAACATTCAAAAAGTAAAAAATTGTTGCCCAGTGTAATAAATTATTATTATTATTATTTATTATTATTAAGAAGAGGAGGTGACTTTAAAAGGAGGCAAAGAGAAGGATAGCCCCACTCTCTCCCTCAGCTCAGTTGCTAAGCAGCCAAACTCGCCACCCTTCTAAGCCCAGCCACATTCTAACCACCCTGTGAGGTAGGCTAGGCTGAGGCGCTGTGATGGGTCAAGGTCACCTGGCAAGGTGAGTTACGATTTGAACTCTGGTCTCCCAGCATCTGAACCACAAATTCACACTGGCTCAAGGCTACAGCGCCTAGTATTCCCAGGTGGTCTCCCTCCAAGGATTCACCAGGTCTGACCGTGCTTAGCTTCCAAGATCAGTCGAGATCGGGGGTGTCCGGGCTAATACAGACGTCTCCCCACTTACAGGAGGGGGTTTACATTCCTGCGTACCACGTGTATATGTGAAACGGCAACTGTTGCTGTTGTTTAGTTGTGTCCGACTCTTCGTGACCCCCTGGACCAGAGCACGCCAGGCACTCCTGTCTTCCACTGCCTCCTGCAGTTTGGTCAAACTCATTTTAGCAGCTTCGAGAACACTGTCCCACCATCTCGTCCTCTGTCGTCCCCTTCTCCTTGTTGCCTCCATCTTTCCCAACATCAGGGTCTTTTCCAGGGAGTCTTCTCTTCTCATGAGGAGGCCAAAGTCCTGGAGCCTCAGCTTCAGGATCTGTCCTTCCAGTGAGAACTCAGGGCTGATTTCCTTAAGAATGGAGAGGTTTGATCTTCTTGCAGCCCATGGGACTCTCAAGAGTCTCCTCCAGCACCATAATTCAAAAGCATCCATTCTTCGGCGATCAGCCTTCTTTATGGTCCAGCTCTCACTTCCATAAATCACTACTGGGAAAACCATAGCTTTTACTATACGGACCTTTGTTGGCAAGGTGATGTCTCTGCTTTTTAAGATGCTGTGTAGGTTTGTCATTGCTTTTCTCCCAAGAAGCAGGCGTCTTTTAATTTCGTGACTGCTGTCACCATCTGCAGCGATCATGGAGCCCAAGAAAGTAAAATCTCTCATGGCAACTAAAAAGCCTGTAAACCTCTGCCATAAACCCACCACAATTGCTCCCTCCAAACCTCCTTTCTGAAAACCCAACAGACCTCCGAGGTCAGTGCAAAGGCTGACGGGATTGCAGTTGCAAAGGCTTCTGGGATTGCTAGCTGTTTCCCTGCTCCTTTGCCGAAGACCTTCCTTTTCCAACCAACTTTTAAGTGGAGTTAAAATGATAAAAAAGGTCCCAGCCTGTACCTGTAAATTGGATTTGAAATTGTTTTTATACCTGTGTTTTTTTTTAATTGCTCAGTGTTTGTGCCCTTGAAACTCTCTGCGGGAAGCCATTCTGAAATGCACTCCAGGTTCTCTTGAATTGCGGAAAGAAAGGCGAGACAGAAGCTCAGGGGAAGAGGGGAGGTTGGAGGCGACGAGATCCTTTTACCTGCAGGAAAGGGTTGCTGATTCCCGAAATGCTGTGTTCTGGAGAGTAGCCGGCAACCACCAGGTTACGGAGCAGCCCCACTAACTGAGGCACAAACTGGAGGGAAACAAGAGAACAGAAAAGCAGGATTAGAAGAAAATCCCTCACAAAGTATCCATCCTCCAGAGGCCTGCCTCTTGTTCCTCCCAATGCCCTCTCGCAAGAATCCCAAAGCCCCTTCGTCTGGCGCCAGATAATTTCTCCTCCAATCCAGAAAGCACTTTTGATCTCAAAATGGGGCAGTTCCAAAACCAAGGCAACTTCTAGTTTTTCATTCCTCCTGACATCCCCGCCCTATTATACATGTAAGACCTGTGGACTTCAATGGGCTTTGCTCCCATGTAAGGTGGTTTAGCAGGGCATCCTGTTTTTTTGTGGGGGTTGTGGAACATTATGCCCCTCCCAATTTATTTATTTGATTTTACATATTAAAATTTACAGTCACACCTTCCGAAAATACAAGATTCCCACAAATCTTTGGACTTCCCTCATTCCCCTCCTTGGGTTCCGTTGTTAAGCCTTTTCTACTGCATCTTTTATAATACAGTGGTGCCTCGCAAGACGAAATTAATCCGTTCCGCGAGAGTCTTCGTCTAGCGGTTTTTTCCTCTTGCGAAGCAACCCTATTAGCGGCTTAACGGATTAGCGCTATTAGCGGTTTAGCGGCTATTAAAGGCTTAAAGGCTTAGCGGATTAGCTGCTAAAAGGCTATTAAAGGCTATTAAAGGCTTAGCAGATTAGATAAAGGGGGGGAAAAGCGAAAAAAAAAATCTCTAGACTCGCAAGACATTTTCGTCTTGCGAAGCAAGCCCATAGGGGAATTCGTCCTGCGAAGCAACTCAAAAACGGAAAACCCTTTCGTCTAGCGGGTTTTCCGTCTTGCGAGGCATTCGTCTTGCGGGGCACCACTGTAATCCAAATTATTTCCCACCGCCCTCCATGTATCCATGGTTCTCATCACATTACAACTGTTATTGCAATCCCGCTAACGATTTTAATTGTTTTAAGTGGTCTCCAAGGTAAATTATAAATTTCCCCCATTCCTTATTAAAATTTTGGTCTTCCTGTTTTCTGATCTTTCAGGTCATTTTTGCCATTTTGGCAGAGTCCGTCAACTTGATCTGCCATTCTTCCCTGGTAGGGACTTGGTCTTCTTTCTGGGCTAGCGACATCTGCACAGCTGTCGCCACATACATGAACAGTTTTTTCTGGGGAATATTTTTTACTCTGAGTGCCACATTCCCTCATTGGCAACTGTTATGTACTGAGTTGAATAGGATCCAAAATGCAGCAGTCTGATTGGTCCTAGAACAATGCAGCAGTCTGATTGGTCCGCAGGAGCCACCCAATCCAGCTCCAGGGAAGTGAATCCACAACCTGATTGGCCTACAGGAGAATCCCGGAATTAGCCAATCACATGCAGCCCATTGTGTAAATAATGTATATAAAGCAGATATTTTGGGGGAACAATTATTCCTCCTCACCACTATGAGCTGAATAAAGAGCATGAAATCCACTCTCGACTCCGAGAATATTTCAGGCCGCATGCCACTGATGAGCGGAGCCAAAAGCAACACCTGCAATTTTTACCTTTCTGCAGTAGGCTGGCTTCCACACCCCCCCTTCCCTATCTCCCGTCCAGGCGAGCGAGAGTCATCCTCAAAATTTCCAGGATATGCTCCAGCCAGAAACACGGGAGAGGGGGGCCAAGCAAGGCTGGGAAGGGGCGTGTCCTGAGGGTGAAGGGGTGCGGTTGGGGAGGGGCGTGTCCTGAGGGTGAAGGGGTGTGGCTGGGGAGGGGCGTGTCCTGAGGGTGAAGGGGTGTGGCTGGGGAGGGGCGTGTCCTGAGGGTGAAGGGGTGTGGCTTGGGAGGGCGTGTCCTGAGGGTGAAGGGGTGTGGCTGGGGAGGGGCGTGTCCTGAGGGTGAAGGGGTGTGGCTGGGGAGGGGCGTGTCCTGAGGGTGAAGGGGTGTGGCTTGGGAGGGCGTGTCCTGAGGGTGAAGGGGTGTGGCTGGGGAGGGGCGTGTCCTGAGGGTGAAGGGGTGTGGCTGGGGAGGGGCGTGTCCTGAGGGTGAAGGGGTGTGGCTGGGGAGGGGCGTGTCCTGAGGGTGAAGGGGTGTGGCTGGGGAGGGGCGTGTCCTGAGGGTGAAGGGGTGTGGCTGGGGAGGGGCGTGTCCTGAGGGTGAAGGGGTGCGGTTGGGGAGGGGCGTGTCCTGAGGGTGAAGGGGTGCGGTTGGGGAGGGGCGTGTCCTGAGGGTGAAGGGGTGCGGTTGGGGAGGGGCGTGTCCTGAGGGTGAAGGGGTGTGGCTGGGGAGGGGCGTGTCCCGAGGGTGAAGGGGTGTGGCTTGGGAGGGCGTGTCCCGAGGGTGAAGGGGTGTGGCTTGGGAGGGGCGTGTCCTGAGGGTGAAGGGGTGCGGCTTGGGAGGGGCGTGTCCTGAGGGTGAAGGGGTGCGGCTTGGGAGGGGCGTGTCCTGAGGGTGAAGGGGTGTGGCTGGGGAGGGGCGTGTCCTGAGGGTGAAGGGGTGTGGCTGGGGAGGGGCGTGTCCTGAGGGTGAAGGGGTGTGGCTTGGGAGGGCGTGTCCTGAGGGTGAAGGGGTGTGGCTGGGGAGGGGTGTGTCCTGAGGGTGAAGGGGTGTGGCTTGGGAGGGGTGTGTCCTGAGGGTGAAGGGGTGTGGCCTGGGAGGGGCGTGTCCTGAGGGTGAAGGGGTGCGGTTGGGGAGGGGCGTGTCCTGAGGGTGAAGGGGTGTGGCTGGGGAGGGGCGTGTCCTGAGGGTGAAGGGGTGTGGCTGGGGAGGGGCGTGTCCTGAGGGTGAAGGGGTGTGGCTGGGGAGGGGCGTGTCCTGAGGAGAATCTCAAGGGCCAGATCCTTCCTGGGTTTGTTGCATGTTCTGGTCTGCCGCGGCCCATCCCAATTTCCTGGTGGACGCCAAACCAGTCCTGCCATGCGGGTCTTGAACCCGGGACTCAATGCATGCAAGGCACAGGCTCCTTGAGCAGCAGCTTGCCCTCCCCTACAAGGCACGTAGTCCTTGCACGTTAACTGCAAAGGATGCTGGGAGAGTTGCCAAGCACAGAGATGCCCCACCTTGCAAAAGCGGTCCAGGGCTTGCGGGCTCTGCTCACACATCTCTGAGATCAGCATGACAGCCCCGTGGAGGATGCCTGGGGAGAGAGAGACAGGTAGGCCAGGTGCGGATCCTGCCCCGACTTCCTAAGCCCTGTCCCCTACCTTCCCAAATCCCAGGCCCACCAAGGCTCCCCATATCCCGGCTTCTCTGCACCGCCAAGATGTGACAGGAGAGCGGTGTTTTCTTGAGATCTCCTTCAAATCGTTCCTTCAGATCCGCTTCTCTGGAAAAATAACTCCCCCCAGGCCTCCTCGTCTTACCTTCCTAAGGGGGGGCGGGTACTCATCCAAATCATGCAAAGAGTAGCCCTACTGAAATTGACGGACCTGACTTATATTGATCAATTTCGGCAGGTTCACCGTGAGCAAAACTTAGTGGAATACCCGCCTGAATTCTCCTCTCAAGCTTCATAATAATAATAATAATAATAATAATAATAATAATAAATATTATTTATACCCCACCCATCTGGTTGGGCTTCCCCAGCCACTCTGGGTGGCTTCCAACAAAATACAGTGGTGTCCCGCAAGACGGAAAACCCGCTAGACGAAAGGGTTTTCCGTTTTTCAATGCACTTCACAGGACGAATTTCCCATGGGCTTGCTTCGCAAGAGGAAAATGTCTTGCGAGTCTTGAGATTTTTTTTCGCTTTCCCCCTCCTTTTTCTAAGCCGCTAAGCCTTTAATAGCCTTTTAGCAGCTAAGCCGCTAAGCCTTTAATAGCCGCTAAACCGCTAATAGCGCTAATCCGCTAAGCTGCTAATAGGGTTGCTTCGCAAGACGAAAAAACCGCTAGACGAAGATACTCGCGGAACGGATTAATTTCGTCTTGCGAGGCACCACTGTATTAAAACACAGTAATACATCAAACATTAACAGCTTCCCTAAACAGGGCTGCCTTCAGATGTCTTCTAAAAGTCTGGTAGTTGTTGTTCTCTTTGACATCTGGTGGGAGGGCGTTCCACAGGGCGGGCGCCACTATCAAACAACCCTGAAGAGAATCCCCCACCCCCCGCCATCCCACTTCGCCTCAGTCCTTCTCTTCTGCAACGGAGCGGTCGGCTCAAGCGTTCTGAGCAACCAAGGGATATCCAAGCACGCACGAGCGGGGACTTATTTATTTATTTGTAGCTTTCTCCCCCAGCCCTAAACTCTTCGTCAGCAAAAGAAAGAAAGGAAAAGGCCCTCCGGAATGGCTTACACAGTGTCCAGTAATAAAACGCTCCCTGCCCTCTGACTTATAAGAGGCACGACACAAAAGGAAAAGGGGTTGGGAGGGAGAAGGAGAAAAGCAAACTCAGGCACTAGCTGCAAAGTTCTTACCAGAGCCCTTTCTGAAAGGCTCCCAGCAGCTTCTTTTCCGGCCAATGGGCCGGAATGGTCTCCTCCCTTGCCATGATGGGGAGGGAGAGCAGGACTCACAGTAGCCCCAGCCGAAGGAACAAAGGCACTTACCGGTATTTTGTTCAGTCAAGAGCTGTTCACCGAGTCGAGTGAACACGTCTATAAGATCGGGCACCTTCCGGACAACGTGTACAGCACAGACCACGGCCTAGAAGCGGGGGCAGAGAGCAAAGGATTATGGGGTGGGGGCCCCATGTGTCCCACAGAACTGCCTTGCAGGCTGAGACCCTCCCTGCCCGCAGACTGCCTCGCCAGAGTGGTGCATGCTCTAGTTATCTCTCGCTTGGACTACTGCAAAGCGCTCTACGTGGGGCTACCTTTGAAGGTGACTCGGAAACTACAACTAATTCAGAATGCGGCAGCCAGACTGGTGACTGGGGGCGGCCACCGAGACCACATAACACCGGTCTTGAAAGACCTACACTGGCTCCCAGTACATTTCCGAGCACAATTCAAAGTGCTGGTGTTGACCTTTAAAGCCCTAAACGGCCTCGGCCCAGTATACCTGAAGGAGCATCTCCACCCCCATCGTTCTGCCCGGACGCTGAGGTCCAGCGCCAAGGGCCTTCTGGCGGTTCCCTCATTGCGAGAAGCAAAGCTACAGGGAACCAGGCAGAGGGCCTTCTCAGTAGTGACACCCACCCTGTGGAACACCCTCCCACCAGATGTCAAAGATAAAAACAACTACCAGACTTTTAGAAGACATCTGAAGGCAGCCCTGGTTAGGGAAGCTTTTAATGTTTAATATACTATTGTATTTTAATATTCTGTTGGAAGCTGCCTAGAGTGGCTGGAGAAACCCAGCCAGATGGGCGGGGTATAAATAAATTATTATTATTAACTTTGGAATCTCAGCTTTTTAAAGAAAAAATCCCAGCTGTGGGGTCTCACCTTCCTTCGCACGGAGGGCTGGCCAACCCTGGCAAGCTGCTCCACTTCACCAGCCAAATCTCGGAACATGGCCACCGAGCCCAGGGAGCCTAGGGTGCTCAGAGCTAAGCCTTGCACCCAGGCAGTGGGGTGCAGGAGGTCGCTACGGGGAGCAAAAGAAAGTGAGGTGAATGGAAGATGCAACAGTTTTTCAAATATTCACATCCCCTGCCCGAACAGCTTCCCTCAGGCACACAAATCCCATCTCCCGTATATTCCTTCCTACTTGAAATATACTCAAAGTCGCAAAGTGATTTCATGCTCTTCATTCAGCTCATAGTGATGAGGAGGAATGAATGAATGTCCCCTCAAAGTATCTGCTTTATATACATTATTTACACAATAGGCTGCACATGATTGGCTAATTCTGGAATTCTACTGTAAGCCAATCAGGTTGTGGATTCACTTATATCTGGAGCATGATTGGGTGGTTCCTGCCAACCAATCATACTGCTGCATTTTGGATCCTATTGTTCTAGGACCAATCAGACTGCTGCAGTTTGGATCCTATTCAACTCAGTACATAACACTACTCATTCCCCACGTTCAACCCTCAAGACCTATCGATGGCCGCCATCTTTAACCAGCAGGAAAGGCTGGTGTTTTGAAAGACTTTTAAGCTGACGTATTCTGGCTGATACCCCAACATTGCATTTCAAGGAACCCCCAGCGATCCACTTCCCTTGACCTGTCTTTTCCCAAGCCTCAAGAGTTGTTTTGAGTGGAACAGACAGAAGGCGGCAGACTCTCCTTCCTTGGAGCTTTTTCAGCAGAGTTTGGGTGGCCATCTGCCAGGGATTCCTTAGCTGTGACTCCTGCATTGCGGGGGGTTGGACTAGATGGCCCCTGGGGTCCCTTCCAGCTCCACAGTTCTGTGATTCTGAATCTCAGCCTCCGTTCCTTCAGAGCCCATAGTGCAGCTCCCTTCGCCTCCTTATAAATCCTCCAATCTTCCAAATAGATTCCCAGGATCTTCAATGGAAGCACACCTGAATTGCTCACACTCCCAAATACCAGGTTGATACCTGTACATTTAAGGTGCTAGGACAGCACTTCAAACAACAACAACTACAACAACAATTTATTATTTGTACCCCGCCCATCTGGCTGGGTTTCCCCAGCCACTCTGGCAGCTTCCAACAGAATATAAAAATTCAATCGTCTATTAAACATTAAGTTTCCCTAAACAGTGCTGCCTTCAGATGTCTTCTAAAAGTCTGGTAGTTGTTGTTCTCTTTGACATCTGATGGGAGGGCGTTCCACAGGGCGGGCGCCACTACCAAGAAGGCCCTCTGCCTGGTTCCCTGTAACCTCACTTCTCGCAGGGAGGGAACTGCCAGAAGGCACTCGGAGCTGGATCTCAGTGTCCGGGCAGAAAAATGGGGGTGGAGACTCTCCTTCAGGTATACTGGGCCGAGGCCGTTTAGGGCTTTAAAGGTCAGCACCAACACTTTGAATTGTGCTCGGAAACATACTGGGAGCCAGTGCAGGTCTTTCAAGACCGGTGTTATGTGGTCTCAGCAGCCGCCCCCAGTCACCAGTCTACTAACCAGTCACCAGTCTAGTAACAAAGCCTTCCCCTGGAATTATGGGAACTGTAGTTTGCTAAGGTTGCTGAGCGTTGTTAGGAAACCCCTATCCCCACAGAGCTAAAATTCCCAGAGTAGACAGACTAGGGCTGCCATTCGTCTGGAATTTCCCAGACATGTCCGGGATTCTAATGATGAAATTAGAGTCCTGGAGGAATTATGAAAAATCGGCAAAAGATCAACAACTTTGGGGTTCATTTCCCCCGAAAAGCTCCACAACGGTTTGGGCGATTCCCCCCTCCCACAAAAAAGTTCAACAACTTTGTGTCTAGATATTTTACTTCTTGAAAAATGGCAACCTTAAGACAGACTGAATGTTAAACCACTCTGAGAACCTTACCTCTGGAAAGGGAACAGGAGTCTCCTAAACAGCTCTTGCCCCCCCAACAAAACTACAGTTGCCAGGATCCTTTGGGGAAAGCCGTGACTGTTTGAAATGGTATCATAGCACTTTAAATGCACGGTGTGAATGTAGCCTTGGTTTCTTTCCCCTCCCAGTATAACCCTTAATCATAAGGGACGCGGGTGGCGCTGTGGGTTAAACCACAGAGCCTAGGACTTGCCGATCAGAAGGTCAGCGGTTCGAATCCCCGTGACAGGGTGAGCTCCCTTTGCTTGGTCCCAGCTCCTGCCAACCTAGCAGTTCGAAAGCACATCAAAGTGCAAGTAGATAAATAGGTACCGCTCCGGCAGGAAGGTAAACGGTGTTTCCGTGCACTGCTCTGGTTCTCCAGAAGCGGCTTAGTCATGCTGGCCACATGACCCGGAAGCTGTACACTGGCTCCTTCGGCCAATAAAGCGAGATGAGCGCCGCAACCCCAGAGTTTGCCACGACTGGACTTAATGGTCAGGGGTCCCTTTACCTTTATTATGTGCCATGGCACCCTGAGGAGCCTTGAATTGTGGTCAGGGGTGCCGCAGGCAACACTGGCCTCTGTCCCTCTTTCCTTCCTTCCCTCCCCCCTATGATGTCCTCTCACATTTCTGACTCTCAAAGTCGGGCACAGCTGTTTGTTGCAACCCTAGTACAAGCGAAAGCTGCCCCTGGGGCTGGCCATTGGGTGCTGGTAGCCAGGAGGTGAGGCGGCCTTGAAGTAAGCAAGCAAGCGGGCGAGGAGCCAAGCCGGCCAGTCTGCCAGCCATTGCTGTTGGGAAGGGACAGACAGGTGGGAAGCTGGGCAGGGAGGCAGGCACCATGCTGGCTTTTATTGTGCTTGCTGTATGCAATGCCTGCCTGGGAGCCAAGTGCCCAGTCTTGAAGGAGAGCCTTTCCACCACGCAGGCCTGGCAGGGCCCACTGCTGCCACTACTGCCTTCCAAACTGAGTAAGATGCTGGCCTCACATTCACCTTTGGCCAGGCTCCAAAGGCTGGGGGCATCCTCTTCCCAGGCCCCCTGTGGGGCAGAGAGAAGAGGACCTGTCTTTGGGGCAGGGGCAGCGGCAGCGGCTGCCCAGAGGACCCCCAAAGAGAGGGGAGAGGACCAGAAAGAATGTAGTTGGTCAAGGAGGCTGTGGATTCCAAAAGGCTGAAAACTTCTGCCCTAAATAATAGCTTTCAGTTCCCAAATCTGTCCTAGTCCACTGTGGGGGCACCCACTCTCTCTTTCTGCCCCCCCAAACCCTTCGATTTCACCCCTCACTTCTTGATACTATTGGTCAGCAGAAGGTGAGTGTCCTGCTTCTCATCCAATAGGAGGGCAGCGCCAAGGTAGCCGATTCGCTTTTCGTGGAAACGGTGGGAGGCCATTAGCTTCAAGCTCTCCATCTGGGTTCAAGACAGAATAAGGAAAGAAACACACCATTATTGATTACGCCAGAACTACAACCTTCGATCGATTAAACCTCCAGTCTAAATCCCAGAACATTCTAGTTGGGGGTGTATCCCACTGGGACCTTTAAGGGTTGCTGTTCAGTGGGGATCGGCATTTGGGAATATCAGCAGAGGGGTTTTTGAGGGGTAGTTGCATATAAAGTCGCTATAAGCACATTAGCTAAAGAAGCTAAATGGAACCTGGGTTCGAATCCTCACTCAGCCATTAAGCTCACTGACTGACCATCTCGGTAGTGGCCTTCTCGGTAGTGGCACCCGTCGTGTGGAACGCCCTCCCACCAGATGTCAAAGAGAAAAACAACTACCAGGCTTTTAGAAGACATCTGAAGGCAGCCCTGTTTAGGGAAGCTTTTAATGTTTAATAGGTTTTGTATTTTAATATTATGTTGAAAGCCAACCAGAGTGGCTGGGAAAACCCAAGCAGATGGGTGGGGTATAAATAATAAAATTATTATTATTATTATTATTATTATTATCTGTTATACTAAAACTACCTCACACGGTTGTTGCGAGGATGTGAGGAAGATAAGTTGGGGGGCAGGGGGGTGGAACTTTGTACATCAAGCGCTGTATAAAAAGGTAAAGGGGCCTCTGACCATTAGGTCCAGTTGTGGCCGACTCTATGGTTGCGGCGCTCATCTCGCTTTATTGGCCGAGGGAGCCGGCGTACAGCTTCCGGGTCATGTGGCCAGCATGACTAAGCCGCTTCTGGCGAACCAGAGCAGTGCACGGAAACGGCGTTTACCTTCCCACCGGAGCGGTACCTATTTATCTACTTGCACTTTGACGTGCTTTCGAACTGCTAGGTTGGCAGGAGCAGGGACTGAGCAATGGGAGCTCACCCCATCGCTCTATCAAATAAATAAAACATGCTTAGGACACTTTTAGGGCACTTTTAACAGCCAAGGTCCCCCCCCCATAGAATCATGGGAACTGTAGTTTACCCCTCACAGAGCTACAATCCCCAGCTCCCTTAACAAACTACAGTTCCTCACATGCAGTGCGGGTGTATACCTGTCCAAAATGAGCAGGATAGCCCAAAATGTGGATGTAGAGCAACTTGGCTAAGTTGGAGGCACGGGTGTCGGCCTCGTCTCCCCGAAAGGCCCCCCGAATCTTGGCGCTTTCTCGTTGGACCAGCTCCCGCTCCTCCGCCTGGGTCCGTGCACTCCGTATGGTCCGGATCAGGACCGGCAACGTGAGAGGTGCTTCCGGCATCCTGGAAGTGAAGAGCGGAATAATTTTTTTTGAGGGGGGGCCTTTGGCACGTGGCACCTGCAGGAACCTCAACTCTTACTCCCATTCTTCTGCTCCATATTTCAGGGAGCATGTCTGATTGGAAATCCTCATCTCAAGCCCAAAAGACAGGAAGTAATAACACGTTGCTTCTGAGAATGTGCAGAGTGCCTGTATTCCTTGGGTTCGGACTCAAGGCTTCCTCTTAGGGATGGATGCCAGCAACCTGCCGCTAGGTCTAAATCGCTGAATGCAAATTAATTAGCACCCTTTGATGAGTAGTAAAAGTGAAGGTTTTCCCCCCTCCAATACTTTCTTTCCACGTTTATGGGGAAGAAGAGGATTAATCCACATTCGCAGTGGAAAGCACAGAATTGAATTGGTTCCGTAAAGTGGCCCTTGTTGCAGACGATTTCCGGATTGGAAATCAAAAGCCCTTTGTGGAGGCTTTAAGCTCAGTCAATATCTTTCTACCCATCTTGAGTCTCAAATTTCACTCCTGTACCATAAAAAGCACCTGATTCCCAGCCTCCCCCTGCCCTCAAACTGCTTCTTCAGTGTAGGCCCTCACAACTGTGAATTTAAATTGAGCATAGCCTTTCAGATATTTTGATGAAACTCTCTCCCCTTCCTCTTTTCCCTTAACCCCTCCTTCCACTTTGATGGACAGTTTAAAATGTGCATACTTTGAATGAATCTGCATATGCAGATGAGCTGCAGGCAAATTTAGTGGGCCGCCAGACACCCCCACGAACCCAAGGTCCCTCTCTGGCATGTTAGCACCCTTCTTTTGGGATGATCACCCCCTTATCTTAACTCCCACCAGCACTTAATTTTTCATTCATTCCTTTTCTCTGGTCCCCTCCTCACCTGTCCAGAGATTCACTGCACACAGTTTCTTCTTTGTTTCACGAAACCTGGTATTTTGGGGACACGCAGAGGGGCAGCTCGTGCCCCCTCTATCCTCCCCTTCTGCTTAGTCAACTTATTGCATTTCCGGACAACAGTCTGTTAACCAGCCAGGTAAACTCACCTGAACTTCTGCGGCTACCTGGGCCCAGGGGCGCCCTCTGCTGGCCAAACCCAGAAAGGGACTTTTTCATTTGGATCCTTTTTTTTTTTTAGGGCAGAGTTAGCCAAAGTTTAAAGCTATTTCGGAAAGGAGGGATCTGTTGACAGACAGATACGCCTTGAGCTAAAGAAGGGATCTTTCAGACAACCTGTTTATTGAGCACTCATCCTGATTTGTTTGTGCAGAGGTTATACAAAATTGTGCCACGTGAACCTTATCCATTGCTTCCCAGTTCATTTTGCCATAGCTTTCCGTACTGCAAGAAGTTTGTTTTTGTTTCTTGTTTAAAATAGCAGTTTGCTGTGCAAGAGCCACCAAACCCACTTTAACTGTGCAACATGACTTTGCCAGTATATGATCGAATTCCATATGCAAAACAGTACCAGTCTGGGAACAGACCATACCTAATGTTCATATTTAATGATTTTTTAAATTTTATTTTTTAAAAAGCTTGTAGTTTGTTGGGGACTTATAAATATTATATATATATCATTAAAAAGGCACAGGTGGACTAGAGAATATGATCCAAATCCTGCATAGCTGGCCATGCATAAGAAGCAGATGTGAACTAGCTGGGTGTACATTCACAAATACTTAGAGGATAAAGCTGTCAGTTAGCATGACAGCTAGATGCAGACTTTCCCTCCAGAGGAAGGATATTTTTGAATATCAGACACTGGGGGAAAACTGAGGCCTTTGGTCTGGTCCAGCAAGTTTATTCTTACATTCTTTGGATGGGCACAAAACCTTATGTTTCAAATGCCCTAGGCAAGTCTCTGATTTGCTAACAACAGGCAACTCCACAACACTTTAAAAACACACCCAGTGCACATTTAAACCACGTGGCTTCCCCCGATAAATCCTGGGAAACGTAGTTTACCCCTCACCGAGATAAAATTCCCAGCACAGCATACTACAGTTCCCAGGATTCTTTGTGAGGGCAGGAAATTGTGTGCTTTAAATGTGCGTCAAATGTGCTTTAGATGTGTGGAATGCTCCTGCGCTACCTGCACTCTCAGCAGAAGCGGCCTTCCACTTCTGCACAACAGGCGGAAAGGCAGATGCCTAAATTTCCTCACTCCCTCGCTCCCAGAGGGGGATCTCCCCTGTTGAAAGCCTGCCTGCCGTGCAGCTGTTAAAAAGGTCACGAGAACCTTGCGAGGCAAAACACCACCACAGCAGCAGCAGCCCTTTGGCCGTCAAGAGGATCTGAAGGGTGAAACTGTTGCTCTCCTGCCTTGCAGTGGCCCTTCAGTGGGTTGCAGGCCTCCTGGCTTCTGCCCTCCAGGGCTCACAGAATCATAGAATTGTAGTCCAACCCCCTGCAATGCAGGAATCTCTGCAAAAGCATCCATGACAGGTGACCACCCAACCTCTGCTTAAAAACCTCCAACAGACCCTCCAAGTGTCCCTATTTTCCAGGGACGTCCCTATTTTCCAGGGACATTGTCCCGGTTTCTGATTTGGTCCCGCTTTTCCTTAGGACATCACTATTTTCATTGGAGAAATCTTGGAGGGCATGGAGATCTGACCCCCGAGCCATTTGAAGGCAATCTTGTATAGGGAAGTTTTTTTAATGTTTACGATACGATAATCTTTATTGCCATTGTCCCATACAGAACAACGAAATTGAAAAGATCTACATCAGACATTCAAAAACCAACAAGCCTGCTATCCCAGCAATCCCAGCCTGCTTAAACCCCCTAAAAACTCTTGATACCCCATAATTAAATACAACATACTCCCATAGAGATTAACTTACACTGCGTTTAAAACCAAAACCGCATTTGGATAGAAACTGTTTCTCAGGCGGCTAGTCCTAGTCTTTATAACCCTGTACCTTCTTCCAGAAAACAGAAGCTGAACGAGATCATTTCCGGGGTGCGCACTATCCTGCGCTATCTCTGCAGCTTTCTTATGTTTTATGGGGTTTTTTAATATATTGGAAGCTGTCCAGAGTGGCTGGGGCAACCCAAAAAGATGAGTGGAGTATAAATAGTAAAATAATCATTAAGGAATGGGACGTCCCTATTTTCATCGAAGAAATGTTGGAGGGTATGCTCCAAGGAAGGGCAGCCCACCACTTCTTGTGCGAGTCTGTTCCACTGTCGAACAGCTCCTTCGGCTGGCCAGAGAGAGAGAGAGAAGCCAGCAGGACTCTATAATTTCTCTCTGTAATGTTATATAATATATGAGCAGCCCAGGGGCTTCTCCATGAGGCTTTATGAGCGCAGCCATAGAGACGCGGCCAGAGCGTCGCAGCAGGTTAGAGGACTAGACCACGCCCCCCACTTCCTCGGCGACGCTCCCACCAACCGCGGACATAGAGCGAACCGCTAGACAGGAACTCCTCCGCTGGGCTTCCGGTTTCGCTGGCCCTTGGCGGAAGCGGCTACTGCCCTCCCATGGAGAAACCTGGGATTTGTGCATTGGACTTTCCCATTCCCACCCGCCCCCGAAACCTTCTTGGCGGAAATAAATAGTTCCGGCTCTTCGGGGTTCCGCCCCCCTCCTGCACGTCTGAAGGCGGCTCCCTGCCTGGGTCGGCGCGGGGTTTTGTGCGTGCAACTGAGCTCTGGGTCAGACCGGGGGGGGGGCGCGGGGGGGAGGAGGAAACGGTCAGGCCGAGCTGCCTTTGCTGCTGCAACATCCTGGAATGGGGTTTTGAGGTGGGGCTGCAAAGCCTCCCCGCCCGAGCTCAGGGCTTGCAATGCTGGCGGCGGGCTACACTGCAGGGCTGTTGTGCACTTACCTCTTGGCAGGGCCGGGGTCCGCAAGGCCCGGGGCTCCCGTTCAGCCGAATGAGCGGAGGGCGCCCAGCTGGCTGCCTTGGCACATCTTGAAGCGAGTGGAGCAATAGGTGGCAGGAAGCAGCCTGGAGTAAAAGTAGGCAGGTTGGCCCATAGGAAGGATTGCCTCAAAATCCGCATTAGGGCTATACTTTCACTAGTCCAACCAAAATGTTCTGGTTTTTTGTTCTTATTTTGTGGTCTCTACAGCCACAGCACGTTGTGCTGCAACCTTCTGAGTTTGACTTCATCCCCAAACTTGCCACAAATATATATATATTTTTTAATACCATCTTCGGGTGAAAGAGGGTATATGGAATGCTCTCCCCAGGGAGGCTCGCTTGGCGCCTTCGTTACATATCTTTAGGCGCCAGGCAAAAGCGTTCCTCTCCTCCCAGGCCTTTGGAAAATAAGACATCTGGCCTTCTAAACTGTTTCATGGTGTTGCGTGTATTGTTTTGGTCTGTCACTACAAGGGTGTATTTTTATGTTTTCAAATTGCAAACCGCCCTGCGATCCTCAGATGAAACGCGGTACAGAAATAATTAATAATAATAATAATAATATGTACCTTTTAAATAATAAAAGGTGTTGTAACGAAGAGTACCAAAGTTCAAGTTCTCCAAACAACCAGAAGAGCAACCAAAGTGATCCAAGGAGATAGAGTGACTCGCCTATGAGGAAAGACTGCCGCTTTTGCGGGGGTGGGGTTGTGTCATTGAGGGAAAAGGCGAGTAAGAAGTGCAATAGAAGTTTATAGAACTCTGTATATTATGTAGAAAGTGGGTAGCTAAAAGTCCATCCCCCCCATAACACTAGGACTCACAGACATCCATTGAAGCTGAACGTTGGGCAATTCAGGAAAGAATCGAGGAAGTCCTTCACGAAGCATATACCGGTAGTTAATCTATGGAACTCACTCCCACCTGATGCGGTGTTGGCTCCAACCTGGCTGGCTTTATAAGAGGATTGCACAAATTCACAGAGGGGGGAGCTACTGATGGCTACCAGTCATGCTGCCTTTGCTCTGCCTCTGTGGAAACTGCAGGAGAGGAGAGTTCTTGTGCATGGGTCCTGCTTGCGGGTTTCACTGATTTGATGGATGGATGGATTGAATTTTTATGCTGCTTTCCATTCATATCAATCCCAAAGCGGCTTACTAACAATAAATAACAGTGACGTAATAGAACATGCAGATGACACAACCTTGATGGCAGAAAGTGAGGAGGAATTAAAGAACCTTTTAATGAGGGTGAAAGAGGAGAGTGCAAAATATGGTCTGAAGCTCAACATCAAAAAAACGAAGATCATGGCCACTGGCAAATCGCCTCCTGGCAAATAGAAGGGGAAGAAATGGAGGTAGTGAGAGATTTTACTTTCTTGGGCTCCATGATCACTGCAGATGGAGACAGCAGTCACGAAATTAAAAGACGCCTGCTCCTTGGGAGAAAGGCGATGGCAAACCTAGACAGCATCTTAAAAAGCAGAGACATCACCTTGCCAACAAAGGTCTGTATAGTTAAAGCCATGGTTTTCCCAGTAGTGATGTATGGAAGTGAGAGCTGGACCATAAAGAAGGCTGATCGCCGAAGAATGGATGCTTTTGAATTCTGGTGCTGGAGGAGACTCTTGAGAGTCCCATGGACTGCAAGAAGATCAAACGCATCCATTCTTAAGGAAATTAACCCTGAGTGCTCACTGGAAGGACAGATCCTGAAGCTGAGGCTCCAATACTTTGGCCACCTCATGAGAAGAGAAGACTCCCTGGAAAAGACCCTGATGTTGGGAAAGATGGAGGGCACAAGGAGAAGGGGACGACACAGGATGAGGTGGTGGGACAGTGTTCTCGAAGCTACCAGCATGAGTCTGACCAAACTGCGGGAGGCAGTGGAAGACAGGAGTGCCTGGCGTGCTCTGGTCCAGGGGGTCACGAAGGGTCGGACACGACTAAACAACAACAACAATAGAACATCGCAAGCACAGCATAAATCATGTATGACGTTACGGATCTGTGGGGACCCTCTTGGGGCATAATGCTGGAAGCCCCTGCATCCTGGGGTTCAGGTTGGAGGCAAGTGTAAATAAAACCACGTATCATAAAGACACCAGAGTCTCTGCTGTGCTTCAAAAGGAAACACGGACTCTGATAAGCATGCCTGGTGCTCCTGGAATCTCACACCACTCATGAGATTGGGGTGAATCATAGAATCATAGAGTTGGAAGAGACCACAAGGGCCATCGAGTCCAACCCCCTGCCAAGCAGGAAACACCATCAGAGCACTCCTGACATATGGTTGTCAAGCCTCTGCTTAAAGACCTCCAAATAAGGAGACTCCACCACACTCCCTGGCAGCAAGGAGTGGTGTGTAATTAAAATATATTCCTGTTATCACTCCACATGGTATAGCTCCCCCAAATGAAACACCCTTCCGTTTCCAAGCTTTTTATTAATATATTTTTATTAAATTATTTTTTTCCTGCAAGACTTATTTAATGTTTTTTTTTTTTTTTTTTGTCAATCCCAAAGACACGAAATAAGAAATATCCAGTCAAAAAGGCAAACCAGGAAGAAGAGGGAGAGAGGGCAGGGTAGGGAAGGGAAGTCTTCGGATCAAGGCCGGAGCAAAGCACTGGAGGAGACGGGGTGGGGGCAGGCGGTAGAAAACTCTAGGGAAGGGATTTTTTTTTTCCTGTTTTTTTTTTGTCGGCTATACAGACATTCTCAGTATACACAGCACGCAGCAAAGGATCAGTCGCTTCCTCATGCAGAATCCAGGGAGGGGCTGAGCGGGAGATTCCTTGTGGAGGACACCCCCAAAAATACACTAGAGGACCTCCGTCGTCATCCTGTATCTACCGATTCTCCTCTCTGGTTCCCAGTCACCCAGAACATGAAGGGATGCAGCAGGGGGGGCCCACCGAGCCTCCCCACCTGACTCCCTTTAAAGCCCTCTTTTTTATTTTTTTTATTTTCTTTTGCCCTTAAATTGCCTCTCCTTGCCATCAGTAAGGCAGGACTTCCTGTATTGCACTCTTGAGCGCCCTGAAAAAGGCGGGACTTCCTCTTTTCAGCCCCTTTATTGCAGGGTCTCTCCTATTGCACTTCTTTCCAAAGGCACACAACTTTTGCCCCCATAGGGGTCAACTCTTATACCCTCTAGAAGGCAAGATCTCCCCTTTCCTCACGGTCAGGCCCTTCATTCTCCAAACCTCCTTCGGGGCGGGACATCCTCCTTTCGCCCCTTTTGTCCCATCGCTGGCCTCGTGCCACCCTTGCCCCGTGCAGGGGTGGCAGAGGGGCACCCCAAGGTGCTACGCTCCACCTGTCATATACACAGCAGGGCACCCTACCTTTTGCCTATCACAATTCTGCTGCAAGGGGAAAAAAGGGCAATTCCTAGTACGGCCTAGCAAATGCCCACTTTTCCATATGGGGACTTCCTGTATATGGGAATCGAACGGTACCCCCTTCTCCGAAGCTAACAGGAATCTCCCTTTCACCCTCTCGTTAATTTATAGTGTTTTTATTTTTAATTATTCAAACGCTGCGAGAAAAAGGTTTATAAAAGCGTAAATAAAAAGTTCTCCTTTTTTTGTTTGTTTGTTTCTTCTTTTGTCTGTTTTTGTTTGAAAAGAAGGTTCCGGTTCCCTCAGGGAAAGGATGTGGCAGACAGAAAGAGAGAGAGAGAGAAAGTGAGAATATGAATGTGGAAAAAAGGGGGAGCAAGGATTTTGCAAACTCTGTTTAAAAGGAGCCCCATTCTTGGGATGGGTGTCCAATTTCTCTCGGCGCCATCTGCTGGTAGGAAAAAAAATGTGAGGAGGGAACAAAATACAGATTGGATACCCTTTTCTTTAAGCAAACAGATTGCCCCCTTCTTTATACTTGTGTGGAGCATCTCTTGAGGGGGGGTTAATGTTCATGTGTACTGGAATGGTTGGGGGTAGGGCTTTGTAAAGTATCAACGCCCCCAAATCTTCCTTAGACGGTGGGGGCAGAGTTCTGAATCGACTCCTTAGGAGACAACGGGGATGCAATTTCATGGCAGGCAGGCAGACTGGGGTCCCCCACAGTCCGTGGTCCCCAAAAAAGTTTTAAAACCCCACAAGGCTCAAAATTCGCCCCCCTTGGTCTCAACTCCCCCCATTAAGATAATTGTGAAAAGACCCAGCCCAAGTTTCAAAGTGTGGGTTAAGAAAGATGGATTATGGAGCTAGGGTGAAAAGACCAGGAAAAGAGAGCAAGAAAAAACAGTGAAATCTCCAGTAGAAAGAGAGCCCTTCGTATGTAAACAATCTAGAAAGGTCGAGGAGGAGGGAGGAGGCAGCAAAGGGGTGGGGGGTGTAAAGACGAGTGAAAAAAGAGAAAGGGGGGGGGGGTTCCAGGAAGAAAGGCAGAGGATGGAGGAGATTGGAGTCTGTTACCAAACCGTCGTCGTGGGGCGTTGGGGGGGGGACGGGGTCAAAGGCACCCCCTCTGCCCCCACCCATCTCAAGTGAGGAGGAGGGAGAACAGGTAGGCCAGGCTCACATCAATCAACAGGACAGCAGCAACGACCAATGGGTGGGCTCCCTGGAAGAGAGAGAAGGGGGAAAGGGGAGGAGTCAGGCAGAAAGACCGGCCCACACCCGCCGCAAACTTAAAACGAAATTTCGCACAGATTCAAACATTCCGCAGAACATTCGCGCTTGATTCTCTCTCCCTTCTTTTAAAAAACGTTTACTTGCATATTTCTGAGTACAAGTATCACTGGTGCCGATACAAACATTTAGGAGTGCCAAAATGTCTTCAGACTGTGAACACAAAGCCTTCAGATTACCGTAATCATTGGAACAAGCTATTTGTTTCTGAGCCCTATTCAAGGCACATACGTCGACATTGCAAATGACTAAATGATTTGGGGACCCCAAAACCTGAAGGCCTGTTTCCTCTCGATATTCTCCTGGTGTAGTTTGCAACAAAGGGCAGTGGGGGGAAATGTAATAGAAAATAAACCCAACTGAGGATCGCTAAGAAAGGGTCAGGGCTTGCTAGCCAAATAAATTCATAGCACTGTGGCAAAAATTCCCAGGATTCTTGGGTAGGGAAGGTGCAAAGAGTTTTCTTTAAAAAAAATAAAAAAAATTATTGATAATTTCAAAATTACAAGAATAAGAACAAATAAAAAACAACGCTACCATACAAAAAAGAAAAAAAGACAAGTAATTAAAAAAAGAGAAAAGCACAAAATATGAAAAACATGAAAAACCAATACGACAATACAGCAAAAGAAAGGAAAAAAGGAGGAAAAAAGAAAAAAAAAGCACACAAAACCCAGATTGCATATCCATAATTTCCATTTGCTTGTTTCATTGACCTCCTCACACCTCCGTTTTTGTATTCTAGTTTCGTAATTATTTCAATAAATCCTTACCATCTTTCCCCATATTCTGTTATTCAAATTACCTTAATTTATTTGACCTTATCTTACCCCTAAGTGCCTTAAAACTTAAATCTTAAATTTCAAATATACATAGCTCCTAATATCATTTCTGCTAGAGTCGTATAGTTTCATTCCCACATATTTTCCCTAATATTCATTAGCTAATTCTAAAATAAAAAATTCCCATTATAAATTCTCTTTCAATCATCATCCAGCGTCTCTTCTTCCTGGTAACGGGTCATGTCAGTCCTTATTGTCCATTCCATCTAGTCCATCAACCTGGAAGCCTTATGTCCGAGGCCCTTAAATCTCTTCCATGTCCCTTCTGCAATTCTTCTTCATCTTGTTTGTACTTGCCCTTTTCCTTGTCTTTTGTTGGTCTCTGTCTTAGTTTCTTTCCTTTCTCATTGAGGAGTAGGTCTTTGGGGAATTCCAACCCCAAATTATCTCCATCACCCTTCATCCAGCTCACCCGTTCCCCACAGTCCCACTCCCCACATCCTCGATATAATTCAAAATGAATTTAAGATCAAATTTCAAGGTCTCTCCAAGGCTAGGAACCTCCTCGTCTCCAGACTCCCCTTGGCCCACTCCAACTTCAATTTTCAAAAACAGCGGCTTATGCTCCTGTAGGGCCTCGGGTCTCTCCATTTGTACTATTTGAGGTGCAGCCGCATCCTCCTCCATTGTCATCTGCACTTGCCCAGTCAGTGCAGATTGATAAATTGGTTCTTGGATGATTTCTGTATCAATGTTATTAACCACAACAGTCAAATCCATTTTCTCATTCATCAAGTCCATCTTCTCATGCATCTGTTCCAACAAAGCATTTGTCTTACATAGAGCAAGCACCCAGTCTTTCTCCCAGCTCATCTTCGTTCAAGGTCAGAAAAGACTGTTCCCACAGTTTTTATCTCACAGATGTTGGGTCTCAAATATGCTGCAGCAACAATTTAGCAAGCTCCCTCTAGAGGAGACAATCTACTTGTATCCAATTATTATTTTTTTTTAAGACAAAGGAAAGTTACTTTTATTTTCCAGATACTTCAGATATTTTTCAGGTATTTTGTTTCTTTAAGATGCAAAAGGCAACATTAGAATCAACTTGTTTCTCTTCATTAGCTATCTGTCAAAGTGTTACGTTCACAGTTAATGAACCTCTCCAACAATTTTCTGTCTCTGACACCCCGTTCTCAGGTTAGAGACAGTGGAAACTTATCCTTCTTCACTCCTTCTCCTGCTGGGATTAAGCGAAGTTCCCCCCCTTTTCTCCTGCTTCCAAGGGGGGTTTCAGTGGTTCTAAATGAGGGAAATTTAGTCTTTTTTAACAACTTCTCGGCTTTAGCTTGCAAAATTTTTGCTTTAGTCTATATACAAAAAAGCGGAAGGCGGACTTCCTGTTTGCACCTTCCCACTTCGATACCAAATTAAAGCAATTTCTTGATCCAATTTTCCATTTCTACTCACGGGTACTTGTTTAGGTCCAATTGTCCACAGGAAAAAGTCAGCGCTCTCTGGCAATGGCTGTGCGGCTTCACTCCGTGAAAGTAGCAGTCAGTTCGTAGCACCGCGCTTCTCACCCCACTTCGCTCCGGAGCCCCTAGCTGGGATTCCCCGCGAGTAGGGGGGCGCTTCTGGTGCCCTGCCGAACCCCACGTTCCCAGGCTTCCTCCGCCTGGGATTTCTAGCGGGTCCCCACCTTCGCCGCGGCGGGAAGACCCAGTTTTCACGGAGCCCGTTCCTCCTATCGGAGGAACTCCGCCATTCACCAATGGCGCTGACCCGGAAGGTGCAAAGAGTTTTCAAACTGGGGGCGGGGCGGGTACAGCTCTGAGCTGGGTGGCTGCAGAACAGGAATGGGGAACCAGTCTCCCTCCAGCCATTGCTCCCCTGGCCATGTTGACGGGGGCTGATGAGAGCTATGAGTCCACCTGGAGATCAGGTTCCCCCATCCCTCCCTGGTCCTGAATGGGATAACTGTGCCCCTGAAGGACCAGGTGTGCAGCCTGGGAGTCATTTTGGACTCACAGCTGTCCATGGAGGCGCAGGGCAGCTGTCTACTAGCTCCATCTGGTACGCAGGCTAAGACCCTACCTGCCCGCGGACTGTCTCGCCAGAGTGGTGCATGCTCTAGTTATCTCCCGCTTGGACTACTGCAATGCGCTCTACATGGGGCTACCTTTGAAGGTGACCCGGAAACTGCAATCAATCCAGAATGCGGCAGCCAGACTGGTGACTGGGAGTGACCGCCGGGACCACATAACACCGGTCCTGAGAGATCTGCATTGGCTCCCAGTACGTTTCTGAGCACAATTCAAAGTGTTGGTGCTGACCTTGAAAGCCCTAAACGGCCTTAGTCCTGTATACCTGAAGGAGCATCTCCACCCCCATTGTTCAGCCCGGACACTGAGATCCAGCGCTGAGGGCCTTCTGGCGAATCCCTCATTGTGAGAAGTGAGATTACAGGGAACTAGGAAGAGGGCCTTCTCGGTAGTGGCGCCTGCCCTGTGGAACACCCTCCCTTCAGATGCGAAGGAAATAAGCAGCTATCCTATTTTTAAAAGACATCTGAAGGCAGTCCTGTTTAGGGAAGTTTTTAATATTTAATGCTGTATTGTTTTTAACACTTGATTTGAAGACGCCCAGAGTGGCTGGGGAAACTCAGCCAGATGGGCGGGGTATAAAGAATAAATTATTATTATTATTATTATTATTATTATTATTATTATCCCGGGTGAAAAGGATGCAGACATCACCCACCATGTCTCCCTGGGGAAGGCTCAACAGCGCAGCTGGCAAATGGTAGTTTTGGCATTGCTTCCTGCCCGTTTTCAGTTCTCCTAAAGCCACGTCTCGTAAGCAGTATCAAAATGGAGCCTCCCTGTCCAGGAGTGATATATCTGAGCACCAGATTCCGGGGGCCGGCAGGCTGAGGAAGGGCCCTGCTGAGGAGTTTGAATCGGAATATTGAGTCGTCATGAGCCTCGACCAAAACTCCTCTTCAGCTCAATTGCTCTGGTTTTAGGACGGACTGTGTAGCGAGCCCTCCTCTCGCATTCCCCTTCTTGCTGCAGTGAGGGGGGGTTTCATTTGGGAAGGCAATGGGTGGGAGCTGATCAGGCACCCCCAGCCTCCTTGCTGGGAAGAGGAGGGGCTAGCTATTTCTCCTCCTCCCGGCAGGGTGCCGTCCTTTCGTGCGCAATTCCCCTCTTAAATGAACCGTGGGGGGAATTACTCGGGAGTCAGCATTCCAGCCAGCCGCGTGGGGCTGTGTTAAATGGGGGGGGGGGAGGCACAACACACCGGACGGGTGTGGGGTGTCCACATGGCTCTTGACAACCACAAAGGGTGGGCAAATGTCCAAACGGATCCTTCGCCCGGATACCTGATTATCGTTTACTCTTCCTGAGCGCTTTGGGAAAGGGAGAGCGGCCCCTGGGGGGGGGAGGGCTGGACGCAGCTCTGCCCTCTTTGCTGTTTCCGACCAGGACCTCTGGATTATTTATGACCCGCAGTCCTGCTTGCCAGCAACTCCCAGTGTCCCCCACTGCGGCTCTCCAGCGATGGGCAGGGCCAAGCGTTGCTGCAGTAGGGAAGGAGGGACCAGAGAGAGATGCTGCTGAGTGCGGGATGCTGGTTGCTATGAGACGGGAGGAAGAATGCCGGCCAATCCCCATTGGAGGCCTGGCAACTAGGCTCCCCCCACCGCTCCGGCCCCTCCCATTTCTTCCTGCCAGTATCATCACTTCTAGGTCCAGGGGAAGGGGGGAAAAGGAACTCAGAACAAAACGTGGAGCTCAGGAAATAGAGAAAATGGAGGGAGGCAGGAAGAGAAAACAACGGAAGGGGACAGTAGTGGAAATCAGACACTCTGTTCTCGAGGGCAGTGGGGCTTAGGAAGCAACGGAATATTAGTTTCAGGAAATAGGCTGAGAGGATGGAGGGCAAAAGGTTCTGATGAGGACCCACAGGAAGGGAACTAGCTAGGCTCTAATTGCTCCCAGTCTTTTGCGGCAAAAAATGGTGTCTTGTGGCACCTTAAAGACTTAACAATTGAACTGTTGCTTCCTCGGAGGAAGTAGGTCGGACCTATGGGGTCAGCATGGGGCAAGGACTCCCGGGTCTTGCAAGAGGGGCACAGTTACAGAGTCTGAATGTGGGGTGGGGTGCTGGGAAAAGAGGTTTGGGGGTGTTTCGATCTCCTGCTGGGAACTTGCCCCAGAATATTTGGGGGTGGGAGCTTCTGTGTATGCGGAGAAAAGCGCTTTTTTCTTTCCGTAGATTACAGCTCGATGCTGCGATTCCCACCATACTCTTGTGTTCAAAACACCAGGGCAAATCTCCAAGCCTCTGCAGGGCTTCTGTAGCCCTCTGGGGAGAGCCTACCTTAAAGAGATACTGAGAGACAGCACAGCAAAGTTCTACTGCCCCAGTTTTTGGTTTCGCTGCTACTCAGCCCAGGGATTTTAAGCTGCATGACACCTGAGAATCCCCGGCGGCTGCGGGTGCAAACTGGGTTAAGGGAGCTGGGTGCCGTGTCGGCCTCTGGGTTCCTAGTGCCCCAGACCAGAGGGGGCAGCAGAAGGTGGGGCTGAGTGAGGCAGAGGTGGAGGAGAAATGTGATGTGAAGCAGGACATCCACCCCACCTATCCCCAAATTTCATAACTTCCTTAGAAACAGTGAAAAGACAGGCACCAAGTGCAAATAGCTGGCTCTGTAGGGCCAAAGGGGAGGAGAAGCCAGTGGTGGGCGGGGCCCAGAGGCAAAAGCGGGCGGAGCTACGAATGCAAAGGTGAGCCTTGCACAGGTCCCTAGTTTCCACACTCCCACCTAGGGCTGAGCGATATATCAACATATCATCCAAAACCAGTCCATATTGTGATATCAGTTTCATAATTTTTGGCCTGGCAACATATTGCAAATCATGATGTGTGTGCTATGCAAAAATCACAATGCAGGAAAAACTATGAAACCAGCCAATGCCTTTACAAAGCGCCATCCTTATTTCAGATGTTGTGATATATCGGTATATTGCAATATTTAGCTGGTGATTTATCGTGATGTTGAGAACCAGGTATCACCCAGCCCGCGGCCTCCAGCCAAGAGGTATTGCCACAGACTGAAACACTTGAGTGACGTTGCTAAGTAGGTCTGGTGAGAGGGGTGGCTTGGGAGACTCTCAAGGGCCAGGTTGGAAAGCTTGGAGGGCCACATAAGGGCCACAGGCCTCAGGTTCCTCACTCTAGGGATTCAGAAAATCTTCCAAGGCCATTACTCTATTCAAATCTGAGAAATAGTGACCCTAATTTATATATATATAACAGCATTTTCCACATCACTGGGGAGAAAAAGATAACCAATGAAGGGCTGAAATGGATGGTTAACACACAGCCTATTTTGTGCCACAGAAACATCGTCCTGACCCCTTTTAACAGAGGTTTTGTGCCTTTTAAGATCTGCGTGAGATGTAGACGTTCCGCCGGCTCAGTTTTTCCTCAGCGTTCGAGGGACAGCTTCACGTGCTCATGGCCTGCCTACTAATCATCTGCCAAAACACATGCAAAATGGAAATCGCAGCAATGCCTGTGTGTTTGCAGTTATGACAGCACAGAAGCGACATGTTCTGCGATATCCAAACATGCCTCTCCGGGGGGCTCACTAGGCCTCACTCTCCCGAGGGCAAAAGTCCCAGCTTCCCTCCGTCGGCTTCTCCTATAAACACAAATGTGGATCCTTTCCCTCCTGTGGAAGCTGCCTTACACCATCCAACACAATTTTGCTGTCTCTGGCAGCAAATCTCCAGGGCAGAAAAACACTATTTCCCACCTCCTTTAAAAGAGAGGTGGGTGAGCAAGGAACCTGAGGCCTGGAGAAGAAATGTGGCCCCTGGGCCCCTCTTTCTGGCCCTTAGGAGTCTCCCAGGCCACACCCCCTCACTGGCCCTATTTCACACCATCTTTTGAGTGTTTCTGTCCGTGGCAATGCCTCTTGGCATTCATAGCCCCGCCCCACTTTTGTCCCTGGCCCCGCCCACCAATGGTTTCCCCGCCCCCTTGGCCACAACACTTAATTGGGCCCATCACCCTCCCTGAGGGGTTTTGCCTGCCTGAAATGAGCCCTTGAGCTCTGATAGCGCCTCGGGATGGATACAGAGGTTTGTATGTGTAAAAACGGGACGCGGGTGGCGCTGTGGGTTAAACCACAGAGCCTAGGGCTTGCCGATCAGACGGTCGGCTGTTCGAATCCCCGCCACGGGGTGAGCTCCCGTTGCTCGGTCCCTGCTCCTTCCCACCTAGCAGTTCGAAAGCACGTCAAAGTGCAAGTAGATAAATAGGTACCGCTCCAGCGGGAAGGTAAACGGCGTTTCCGTGCGCTGCTCTGGTTCGCCAGAAGCGGCTTAGTCATGCTGGCCACATGACCCGGACGCTCCCTCGGCCAATAAAGCGAGATGAGCTCCGCAACCCCAGAGACGTCCGCGACTGGACCTAATGGTCAACGGTCCCTTTACCTTTACCTATGTGTAAAAACACAGCTGTTGCCCCGCCCACTTTTGCCCCAGTCCCCACCCACCACTGGCATGAGGCCTCTGGAAGGTTCCCCTCCCTGGCTGTGTGGCCCTGGGAGTGAAAAAGTCTCCTCACCCAAGTTTTAACCGGAAGAAGCAAAATTGGGACATTTCTGTCAGCAGAGGAAACGCTCTTCTGCGACTGGGGAGCTGGGCGTCTCGTGGCCCCCGAGGAGAGAGAGGTCCACAATCCAAGGCACCTCTGTCCTGTTTCACACCCTATGCAGCCTAGTGGGGCTACGGCAGCAGGAAAGTCATACGACCTGAGCTCTTACCTGCCTCTCCCTTCTCCGCACAGCTCCAGGGGGCTCCTCTCTCTCTGCCATGAAAGACCCCATACCCCCAGGCAGTTCCTCGCTCTCCAGCTCTGGGGCCCCCGGACCTCCTGCCGGCGTTGGCTCCACCTGGGTCTCTGTAGGATAAGGCCTGGAAGCCGCTGCTGCTCCTTCCTCCTCCTCCTCTTCTTCCTCCTCCTCTTCCTCCCGGAGACTGCCGGAACTGCCGCTGGCGGGGCTGCCCAACTGGGGGCGCCGGGGGGGCGCCCCTTCGTAATCTTCCTCCTCCGCCTCATAGCTGCTGAGCTGCTCCTGCTCCCCCTCCCACAGCCCCTCGGGGACGAACCCCGGTGTCCGGGAAGGGAAGCTCCCCCGGCAGCCCCACTCGTCCTCAGGGTCGGAGGCCTCCGGGGGGAGGTGCTGGCGGGGGCCTCCGTTCTCCAGGGGGGGCCAAGTCCGCCGAGGGTCCCCCCGCCAGGGCTGCAGCGGCGTCGGAGGGTAACTGGGGGGCAAGCTCGGGTCCGGGGTGACGTCGGAGGGGGTGATGCCGTTCTCGTAGACCCGGGGGCTGTCGTACTCCTGGAAGTCCGTGTCGGTGCCTTCCGAATCTAGCCGGCCGCGGGGCTCTGGGGAAGGAGAGGAGCCTAGTGGTTAGAGCAGAAGGAGCCAGGGGGTCAGAGCCCTTGGTTCAAAGGCACAGGAAGTGGGGCATTGCGAGGTACGGTAACCAGGGTGGCCGGGAGCTGGGGCAGGTGGTGGAAGGGCTCGCACTCAGGATTCTGTCTCCAGGTGGAAGAGACCAAGAAGGGCAGAGCTGGTCAGTGGTATTTGACTCCTACTAAGTTAGCTAAAACGTATACAACAAGTTCAAATAGCTGCTGGAAGTGTAAAGAGAAAGAGGCTACCGTTTATCATATGTGGTGGTCATGTAAGATAACAAAATCATTTTGGGAAATGATATATAATGAATTGAAGAAAATGCTTAAAATAACTCTTGTTTTAAAAAAACCAGCAGCCTTTTTATTAGGAATTATAGGTACCAAGATCCCAAAAGAACAGAAAAGACTTTTTATGTATGCGACAACAGCTGCACAACTTTTATTAGCCCAAAGATGGAAAGTAGTAACAATTCCGACTAAGGAAGAATGGCAAGGTGGACTACGGCGAGATGGCAAAATTAAGCGGGAGACTCAGGAATCAAGAAGATAAGGACTTTTAAAAATAATGGGGGAAATTAATAATTTACCTGAGAACACTGTAAGTAAATTAAAACGTTAGCTGGACTGTAAGAATCACTTGTAAAGCAACGAGGTTTATGTATAACATAGTTATGAGAAGTATGGAGAATATATTGATATGTAGACTGGTAAAAAAATTGTTATTAGGACCCATGCAAGGGGGGGAGGCACGAGATTCAGAGAATCTCATGGATTGATTATATAAAGAATTTTTTTATTATTTTGCAATTATAAGAGCCAACAAAAAAGATTTCAAAAAGAAGAAGAGCTGACAACACAAAAAGCAGCCTTTTCCTGAGCCAGGCGATTGGGTTCATCTGCAACTCTCCAGACTTTAATGCCGGAGTTCTTCCCAACCCTATTCGAGGATTTAAACCTGCCACTTTCTGCATGCACTTCTGAGCTGGAGAGCTCCCCTTCCCCTGAACTAAGATGCAGGCATCTCGACTTCCAATGGGGTAAGTGACTACGGTGAGAAATTATATCTGTCACATTTATTTCCTCCGTGTCATTGACTGGCTGGATGCAGAGGAGGGGGGGCACAAGCTGGGGAACCCCCAAGGAAAGAAGGCTCAGAAGCAGGGGGTTGTGGTGGGGCACACAGAAGCAGAAGAAGTAACAGGGCTTTGTGAGTGGGGAGAGGCTGGGGCAGACAGCAGTTCAGACTCAGCGGCAGGAGAGGAGGGGGGGCAGGAGACAGAGATGAGTCAGGCTGCTGAAGAAACCAGGGAGTCTCCCCCTCCTGCTGCAAACAGCTTCCTGGTCTCCCAGAACACAGAGAGAAGTGAAAAGAGCAGAGGAAAGACTGGTTGCGCTCAGACATAGTCTCCGATTGCTTGGGAAAACCAACCCAGAGAGGAGTGGACTTTGGGAGCTGTGGGAACGCAGGGGGACTTTCAGTCCTAGCCTCTCTGGGGCAAGACCTACAGGGAAGAATTTATGGGATCGCTAGGCCTGTGCTGTTTTGGTTTCTTTGAATAAAGACACTGGTGTTTTTTAAAAAATTGCCAACCTTCACCTGCATCTAGCTCCTGCCATTCCAAGGAGCTCGAGGCAGGACACATGGGAGACACACAGAGAGAGAAAGAAATTGCACACCATCAACACACTTGGGACTTTGCAGAGTCCCTCAAGCAAAATAGAAAGATCTCTGCCTTCAAAGAGCTTACAGTAGCATTAAGGATAGAAACCAGGATTACTGAGTGAGCTGTGCGGCTCTCAGGAGAGCGGGAGAGAGGAGTTTAGGTCGAAAAGCCAATTTATGGTAGAAACCACACACAAAATCCTAACGTTGAACCAAAATCCCAACCTCTCTGCTGTGTCAGACCAAGATCAGTCCATGTACTCCAGAAGATAAGAAATACCCTATGTAACGCAGGGGTCCCACATGTACACCCAAATTCCTCTTGAAATGGAAAAATAAAAAGCACTTCTTACAGAAAAAATGGACGCGGGTGGCGCTGTGGGTTAAACCACAGAGCCTAGGACTTGCCGATCAGAAGGTCGGTGGTTCGAATCCCCGTGACGGGGTGAGCTCCCGTTGCTCAGTCCCTGCTCCTGCCAACCTAGCAGTTCGAAAGCACATCAAAGTGCAAGTAGATAAATAGGTACCGCTCTGGCGGGAAGGTAAACGGTGTTTCCGTGCGCTGCTCTGGTTTCGCCAGAAGCGGCTTAGTCATGCTGGCCACATGACCCGGAAGCTGTACGCCGCCTCCCTCGACCCATAGAGCGAGATGAGCGCCGCAACCCCAGAGTCGGCCACGACTGGACCTAATGGTTAGGGTCCCCTTTACCTTTACAGAAAAAAATGTTCCCAAGGAAACAAATGGAAGTAAGGATGGATGAATCTGCCAATTTTTGTTTCTCTCAGTTTCTCATTTTCCCAATATTAAGAACTGAAGAAGAGTCTGCTGGATGAGGCCAACGGCCTGTTTAAACCAGCATCCTGTTCTCACAGCATCCGACCAGATGCTTGCAGGAAGCCTGGAAGCCTGACGTGGTCGCAGCCACATTCTCCCCCTCTTGCGATTCTCAGCAGCTGATATTCAGAGACTGAACGCCTATGACCGCAAAGCTAGAGCATAGCTTTTGATAGCCTTTGTCCTCCACGAAGTCATCTCATGTCCAGTTCTCCATTTTCCCACAGCAGCCGGCAAATCCATTCCTCGTGAAAATTCCTCAGCGTTTCAACGCAGATTGCAATTTTGTACACAAACATGCACACATTTCTGCAAAGCAATTTCCCCCCAATAATCTGATCTGATCTCATGCATCTCCATCCACACTTTGGGTGGATTTTCTGCCCACATTTCCTGGCCGGAAAACTGCATTGCAAAATTCAGAGATGTGCGGATTTCAAAAGAGAGGCCGTGTTAGGTACATTTTGCCTTTTACGTGCAAACCCAGTCAAATTTCACCACCCCATATCCACCTGGAAGAAAGACAGTCAGACATAGTGTAACCCCCAAAGTGTTCCTCCCGGAAAATTTGCCATAAAGGCGTTTATTCCCAGGGTAAACCCCCACTCCCCCTGCCCCAGCCATCCCAAATATTTCTTACCTGGCTCGGCTAAGATGGGCTGCAATTCTTGAGCCAAAATTTTGGCCAGGCGCGCAGCTTCCAGGGCCTTCTCCGCTGCACCGAGAGCGGTGGCAGCCTTCAGACGAGCGTCAGCGGCTCTGCGAGGGAAAGAGGGCTTCAGAGAACTGCATGGTTGAGGTGGAGACGTGGGCATTTTTCTCACGACACCCTCAAGGCCAGCCCAAAACATATATTGGCTGCCTCAAGCAGAGCAGCAACTGCTGACCTCCCCACTTCCAAAACAACAAATAAATAAAATTCAAGGTGTATTGTACACAAGGCCAACCAAGTTACTTTGTCACCTGGGACAGAAAACCAAACGCTTCCCCTTTCCTGGCGGTCAGGAAACAAAATACAACTTTTTAAAACATCAAAATATATAAAATATTATATATATATATATATATATATATATATATATATATATAATTAAATATCTTAAAAAATAAAAAAGAAGTGTGCGTGCATACGAAAGCTTACATCAAGAACAAACTTAGTTGGTCTCTAAAGTGCTACAATTCTTTATTTTTTATATATATTTTGACTGTGTTAGACCAACACGGCTACCTATCGGAATCTAGAACTTTTTAAAAATGACACCCAAATCAGCTGCCTGAGGAGTTCTGCCTCATACAGTCTAATGCAAGGCTGAAGAACTTGAGGCCCTCTAGATCAGGGGTCAGCAAACTTTTTCAACAGGGGGCCGGTCCACTGTCCCTCAGACCTTGTGGGGGGGCCGGACTATATTATGGAGGGGAAAAATGAACGAATTCCTATGCCCCACAAATAACCCAGAGATGCATTTTAAATAAAAGGACACATTCTACTCATGTAAAAACACGCTGATTCCCGGACCATCCGTGGGCTGGATTTAGAAAGTGATTGGGCTGGATCCTGCCCCCGGGCCTTAGTTTGCCTACCCATGCTCAAGATGCTTTGTGGAACTCCAACTCCCATCATCCCCAGCCATTACCCACACTAACTGGGGCTGGTGGGAATTGTAGTCCGGCAAAAATGTCTGGAGTGCCACAGGATCCCTGCACCCCAACCAGTCAAATGTTACTTACTGCAAAACATTGGAAGACACAAGATCTACCCACACTGGAGGAATGGCAGATGAAAATGATGGACTATATGGAATTGGCGGAAATGACTGGTAGAATCCGAGACCAGGGAGAAGAGTCGGTGGAAGAAGATTGGAAGAAATTTAAAGACTACTTACAGAAATATTGCAAAATTAATGAATGTTAGAATGATGACGGATTGAAGTTAAGCGGTTTCTAGCGGTAATGGTATAAAAGAATATGGAAAAATTGGTTTTTAATATCTAAAAATTTAATGTTATAATATATCAAGATTAAGGATCAGGATTAAAAAGGAGGGAAAGGAATCGCTGGACTAACAAATTGAATTAGAATACAAAAGAGGGAGGTATGAGGAGGTCTGGGAAACAAGTAAATGTAAAAGAAGTGATGAAAAGATGGAATTGTTTTTAACTGTTTTTTTCTTTTTTGTACTTTGTATTTTGTATTTTTTCATTTTATTGTGAAATTTCTTATTAATGTGATCTTTTTCTTTTGAAATTTTAATAAATATCATTTAAAAAAAAAAGGAAAAAAACAACAACAAATGTTATTTCCAGCAATGGCAGACTTGGGCCTTTCAAATTTCAGTGGCACCCTGTGCAAGCCCAAAATTCAGCCCACATCTTGCCTTCTGCTCTGCACAGCTCACTACATCAGTTGTGGCACCCCGCAGCGCCCCCTAGGCTCAGCGCCCAGTGCAGCGGTAATGACCGATCTCATTCCCTTTCCCAAATTACTAAATACTACAGTCTGTTTTCCACTGGCCAAATACGACCAGCCGTACAGACCTGGCCTGCTTTCTCCTATGCACAGCAAACTTTTGTTTTACTTACTTGCTTTGGGGTTCAGAAAAAGGCATTGTGATAAATTAATAAATAAAAATGGACAACTAAACGGCAAAGCTTTTCAAGAAGGCCTCTGCCTAATCTAACTCTGACCTCTTCCTGTCCTCTTGTGGGGCCAGAGGTTGATGGGAGTTGTAGTAAAAATAATAATAATAATAATAATAATAATAATAATAATAAAAGTGGAGGGCACTGCCACTTTAGAAGACCTTGAGATAAATATGTGGGGACAGGAAACCGAGACTCAATCCCCAACCTACCAACTCATGAATTCATGTATGTGAAAATGCCTTTACAGTAGCAGCAAAACTATCTACCTGCCAGAGCCTTTAAACTCTTCTCCATACAGTCAACATCAGAGGTTTAATGGGGGGGGGGGGCAGCGAGGACAACCTTTTAGCACCAAAATTATGGGATGCAGTCTCTGGCAAGAGCCATCACGCTGCCTGTTTAGGCAGGCTCTGAAATATTACTTGTTTAGACAATCTATTAAGGTTCAATAACATGTTACTGATAAAGAACATGTCAATTTCAACCTACAGTTTTAGTTCTGTTGCCTTCCATGGTGTCTGCCTTGTTTGTTACTACAGTGGTACCTCGGATTAAGTACTTAATTCGTTCTGGAGGTCTGTCCTTAACCTGAAACAGTTCTTAATCTGAAGCACCACTTTAGCTAATGGGGCCTCCTGCTGCTGCCGTGCCACTGGAGCACGATTTCTGTTCTCATCCTGAAGCAAAGTTCTTAACCTGAGATACTATTTCTGGGTTAGCGGAATCTGTAACCTGAAGCGTATGTAACCTGAAGCGTATGTAACCTGAGGTACCACTGTACTGATATTATAAGCAGCTTTGGACATAGGAGTCCATGGGAAAGGGGGATATAAAGTGAATTAATAATAACTGCATGTGTCTAATAGCTATTAGAAACCACTGACCTAGTTTGCACAAAATGCCAAGCAGTGGTTTGTTAAACTATGGTTAACCAAAGAATGGTTTATTGTCTGAACATTGCCTAACCACGCTTTGGATACTGCCAACAGACCACAGTGAGAAGCCATAGATTGTTGTTGGCTTGCGAAGCTTGGTTTATTTTAACTGGGCCTTGGTATCATGTGTAAATCTTGTCATAACTATGGTTTGTTTTACCATCCCAGAAGCTCATTGAGCTATAAATGCCTGAGACAAGAGGGGTTGGGGGGAAAAATTTGGGGGGAGAAATAAGTCACTGTTTGTTTGATCACCTGTGGGACAACTTGTGGTTAATTCCTGGTTACTTAAATGAACTGTGGCTTAAACAAACCATGGTTTTGTGTCATGTGTAAACCAGGTCACTGTAGTGCCCGGCAAACTAATTCTGAAAATCTTTTGAATACCTCAAGCTATTTTATTGACTTTTAGAGAATGCATAACTGTTAGGAAACCTGCTGCTTCTTAAAATATTTGCCAGAAAACAGAGAGCTTATCTTTGGGCTCCTTCAAACACAATGCCATTCCTGTTTGGGGAAAGGATACACACCAATGCTGGCACTTTATTTCAGGATCTACTGCCCCAAAGAGACACAGCCGCCTCCTCCTTCCAAAGGATGATGGAGACCATCCTTTTCCAGTGGGATTTCTTTTTGACACAATACTGTGGTTTCTATTTTGTTCCTCTCCCCTGGTCTTTGTTCTGTCTGCCAGCTGCCTAACTTTATCGTTGAGATCGTCGCTCTCTTTTCTAATCTGCTGGTTTTCCTATAGATTTTTAATTTTTCTTGTATGCCGCTATGGGAGACCTTGGATGGAAAGCAGCAAAACAAACTCCTCTGGGAATCGGATCCTAGCAAAATGTGTCAAGCGTGAAACGGCCTCAACTCCTAGAAAATCGAGTCCCAGTTTCTTTTGTGACACAGCTCCTCTTTCACAGGAAGTCCTGAAGCTAAAGCATCACTTTGCTTCTTCTTTTTTTAATAGTAAGTCCTATAAAGGAAGCCCCCCTCCTTTTTGCCCCCATGCTGTCTGTCTCTGAGCGATGGGCATCGTACCACCATTTCAAATTTCCAGAAGTTGATAAGGATGAGAACCATCTAGGAGGGGGCAGGTATCCCTCAATCCCTTGCCGTACCCCAGAAGAAACACACACACCACGTTCAACACATCTAAGCAGCAGTGCCTCAGAGGTAAATTCTGTCGGCGTCAGCGAGACTTGGCTCCTCGTGAGCGTGTTTAGAGTCAGCATTTAAGCATAGTGTTTTAATAGCTGCACGTCCCCAGTACGTTTCAAAAACCGTTTTCACATAGCTAACCAAAAAAATAAATAAAAGAGTGAATTTTGCCAAGACTGCTTGGTTCGACAGCCAGTGCCTCTCCCACCCTCAGCCTGCTCTGCTCCTTGCAGAACGCACCAGTCTGCGTGCCCACCCTCACAACACCTTGTTTCTGATCACCCACGCAGCAACCTGCGAGCCACCTACACTTACAGTCTGCTTCTGCACAACGTAACAACCCAACACCCCCACCCTCACCCTCCTCCACGTACCCTGTATCTCGTCCTACGGCTTTTACGCCTCCAAGCCAACTTCCCCCACCCTTTCCCCTCTGGGAACGTACCCTATGGTCTCCCCCTACCACCACGGGCAAGTGCAGATCACACCTGCCCAACTCATTCCCACCCTCCCTCCCACCCCTCTCCATCCCAGCCCAGCCTTGGTCCATGCCCAGCAGATGCTGCTGCTTGCTGTTGCCATAGCAGCCACTAGCCAATCACCTTGCCATTGCCCAGTTGCCTAGGAGACCAGGCAGCCTACACTAGGCTGCTAGGCCTTGGCGGAGCCTCTACCTCCCTGTTCTCCACCCTGACAAGGCACACACTTTCCCCTCCCTTCTCTCTCTCTCTCTCTCTCTCTCTCTCTGGAATCTGCCTCACACCAAGGCAGATCACTGGTCCGCCTAGCTCAGAATTGTCCACAATGACTGACAGCAATGGATCCCCAGAGTTTTCAGACCAGGAGTCTTCTCCCAACCTACCAGGGTTTTGAACGTGGGGACCATCTGTTTGCAAGAGAGATGCTCTGCCACTGAGCTATATGGCCCTTCTTTCTCTCCATAGCTGTCAATTTTTCCCTTTTCTTTCTATTCGGAATAAGGGAATTTCCCTTAAAAAAAGGGAAACGTTGACAGCTATGTTTCTCTCCCCTTCCATACACACCACACACACTCTTCTGAAGCTTTGTGTGCATGTGAAAAGCAGGAAATCAATTGATTTGCAAGTTAAAGGAGGGAGAGGAAGGAAGAATAGATGTTAAAGTGGAGGAACGAGCCATGAGGAAAGTGTGTCAGATGAGCAGGGAAGGCCAAGAACATCGAAAAGGCACATGGAGTCAAATGGGGGGAAATATATATTGGGAAAGAGTGGAGAGAAATAAAAAAAAGAGGAGGAAATAAAAGTGAGCGGCAGCAGCCCTGGGCAAGCATCAAGAGCCATCAAAATGTCTTCGCTTTAAAGGCCAGAGATGGTCCTGATGCTCAGTCCATAGGGACAGCCCCTCAAGAGTTGATATTTCTTTCACCTTCCAAGTGCCAGCTTAAGAAAAGCAAACAACTACACACACAGGCTTTACGGTCTTCTCCCACCTATGGTTAATTACTTTTAGAGCTTATTTTCTGCCCGGGAGGCATGCGTGGAGGAGTTTATAAAGGTATCTGTCCACTTCTGGGACAGGGATCCAGTTAAGGGAAGCTCTGCCAGTCCTGCTTTTAAAATGGCTGCCTCTGTGGCGAGGGAGGGGGAAAGATGGTTATCTTGAACACCACGAGTCGAGCACAGCCAGCTAGCAGCACTCCCAACTTCAGCTGGGCGACAGGATTATAATCCTGCGCTCCCAAACTGGAGGGAAGGGTGCAAAGTTAGGCAAGCAGGAAGAAGGACTCAGGCTATTTAAGTCCAGAGCTACAAGACATAAAAAAGGCTTAGGCCCACACTTCCGAAGAAGAGCCCAGGAATCATCAGACAGACACACTTTCTGGGGGGTGGGGGGGAGGAAAACAGCTGTCCCCAGGTGATGAATTTTAGAATCCAAAATAAATTCATTTTCTTTCGAAGGCAGAGATTTAATTTGCCCCCTAATCCCAAGCAAATATTAAATTTAGTGTGGGTCCCTCAGACCTATCGCAAAAATGTCAATGCGCCAGCGCGGTTGTAAATAAGCACCCTGTTTTCCCAATAATGCCCTACAGATCAATTCACCTTTCTCCAAAGTTACTGTTGCCACAATTTCAGTTTCAATGCTAGCCAACAAAGCATTTGCATGCATTTCCATAATGGACTCAAGTAAGCCTTTTTCTAACTTCGTGGAAAACTCGTTCCACCCACTTATCTTTCCCAACTTTTTTTATAATCCTCCCCCCGCCCCACAAAAAACCCCTCAAGTGATCCATCTCCCATTGTAAAAACATACAAACATAAGAAGAACTCTGCTGAATCAGCTCCATGGCCAATCTAGCCCAGCACCCTCTTCTCACAGTGACTGACACCTGTGGAAAATCCACAGGCAGGATTCGTACTCTATTCCTGCAGTTGACAACAACTAGTATTCAGAAGTAAAGCTGCTTTCAAAAATCTACTGCTATTGTTAATATTATTTTGCATATTATTATAACATTAACTTTTCTTTCAAAATTTACCTTATTTCTTCACTGTGGAGGCAGAGAATAGCTATTGCAACTAGGAGCCACCTGAATTTGCCTCATCCTCTTTTAGAGCCATCTAGACTGTCGACTGTCACTGCTTCCTGCAGCAGCGAGTTCCACAGTTCAACTATGAGCTGCGTTCTCTCAAGACCAACACGGTTTGAAAGAGTTCGCTGGCGTGACCTCGGTTACCTCAGCGCCACATCCCCATAAAACTACACAGGAGGAGCCTCCCGGCACCTGCGCACCCACAAGCAACTTTTTTGCCCTCACCTGGCGATGGCCACTTCCTGCTTCTGCCGGGCCATACTGACCGCCCTTCTGGCCACTTCCACAGCCCGGTCCACCTTCTCCTTGACCTTGCTGCGGCGAAGCGGGATGAGGTTCTTCACCTTCCCACTCACCAGGCGGTTGAGCTTGTACTTGCCCTCTTCCTTGGAGCCGTCGGGGTAGGTCGTGCGGCCGTAGCCGTGCCTGCGGTTGCCCAGCCACTCGCCCTCGTACCGCAGCCCGTTGGAGCGGCGGCTGACCCCGTAGCCGCTGCGGCGGTCCACGCGCCACTCTCCGGCATAGACCTCGGTGGAAGAGCCCTCGATGGTCAGCGTCGACGGCAGCTCCGGGGGCTCCGTCTCAGCGTAGCTGAGCGTGGTGGCCTCGCTCCCAGCCGAGCTGACCCCGGCTTCGCTCTTGAGGGACCCTCGCTTGCTCCCCAAGGAGGCCTTCGACTCGGCCCTGCGCACCCGTAGCCCGCTCAGGAGCAGGGAACGCCGGAAGAAGCCCCCCGATTTCTTCTTGGCGCCTTTGGGGAAGTCCGGATCGCCAGGGAAGGCCAAGACAAAGCCGCCCCTGGACCCCGAGGCCGGGCTGTCCCCGGGGAGCGGCGGAGGGGGCAGAGGAGGGGGCGGCAGGGGCGGAGCAGGGGCATTGGGGTCGGTCTCGCTGTGGAGCGACTCCAGAGAGGTGCGGCGCGGCGAGCGCACCAGGGCAGCTTGGCGGTAAGGGACGCTCTGGCGAACGCCATAGCCGTGCCGCTTGCCAGACTGCCACTGGCCCTGGTAGGTCCCTGTGGAAAAAGAGAGAGGTTAGCCGGGTGAACAGGTTGGGGAATGCAGGAGAAAAAGCAAGGGGTGGGGGAAAGGAAGAGAAAGTTGACCCAGTGGAAAGGAGGGGAATGATCCCCCAAGCCTGCCAGTTACAAGAGGACCACCCAGTGTCTCTTAGGAGCACGGGACATGGGCCAGAGGTCCACACTATTCTTGTGGCAGGTGGAGAAGGGATAAGGAATAAGGATGTAAAATAATGGTGGGCCTTATGGGGAACGTCCACCTAGAAAGGACTGAGAAAAACAAAGAAACAAGATGGAGAAGTGGGAGCGAGTTGATTTCGGTTTTGGGGGAGCCCATCCGTTTAGCGTATTTCATCTTCAGTGGGTTTGGTTGAAGCGAGGAATGGCATTTTCCAGGCTACTCATGAAACCGCATGGCCAAGCCGGGATTTGAACCCGTGCCTCCTGGGTTCACAGTATATCCACTACACCTCTGTGTTGGATGGACAGAGGGAGAAACGGCTGGGTGATGAAGAACTATTGGTGTCTGTGTGGCAAGAGCAACGGAGCGATTTAGGGAACCGGAGAAGGGAAGAGTTGGTCAAGCAATGAAGGAAGAGGAGAAATGGTGAAAAACAGTGTTTGGATGGGTGGGTGAAGTGGGGAATGGGCCTACTGCCAACTTGACACTAGGACAAATGAGGGGGACGGCATGGAAAGGACCCCACCCTGCCTCGGGGCTTTTTATCGGCCCTCTCACCTCCATCAGCGTACGTCTCCATGCCGTAGCCATCCTGCAGGCCCTCGCGCCACATGCCTTCATAGATGACTCCCGAGTGGCTCTCCCAGACGCCGGAGCGCCCCTTCAGCCCATGACTCCACTCCCCTTTGTAGCTCCACTTGCTCTTGCGCTCCACGCCCAGCCCGCTCCGCTTCCCTTGGCTCCAGTGGCCTTGGTAGGTGTTCCCGCTGGGCCAGGTGTAGACGCCCAGGGATTCGAAGCCCCGGCTCCAGCGCCCACTGTACTCCCCCTGGGCCCCGGGGCCTGTGCATACGCCGTAGCCGTGCGCCCGGCCCTCCTCCCAGTCTCCCACATAGCAGCCGCCATCGTCAAACTCGAACCTGCCTCCGTTGGACATTCATGTAACGTATCTCCCCGGCCTGTCGGGCTCCAGTTACCCACGAGTCCCTGCGCGCATCTCCGCTCCCCCTCCGGGGCGCCTCTACATGGCGCTGCCCCACATGGAGAGACCTCAGCCCTTCACGCCTCCTTCCTCGCAGCCAGGCATTGGGCAAGCCCTTCCTGCTTCTTGAGGGCCTTCTGAGCTACGCCTTCAGGGCGGGCTACAGCCAGAGCGTGGGCAAGGCCTGGCTTTTTTTGGTTGCAGACATGTAAAGGAGCCACTGGCAGGCGGAGGCTTCCTGACCAGAGATTCACGAGGCTTCTCCGTTTGCTGGGACAGAGGAGCGCAGCTGGCTGCAGGAAAAGGCCAAGGTTTAGTGGTTATGAGGCATGCAGTAGAGCAACACCTGTATTAAAAGTTAGCACTCCTCGTGCTACAGGAGTCCCCAAAGCCTTTGGTTTACCTGCAGGTGAACCCGGGGGTCGTCTTTAATTACGGAAGCGTGGAGGTCTTGCTGTTTCTGCCGGTAGAGATGCAAGAACACTACAGGCGTTCCACGGCTTTCTGACTACAAGCACACCAGCACTCCGAGAGATCTCCGGCTGTAGGCATACAAAAAGTCACACCTACCAAAACCCAGCGTTCTTCGGCTAGTGGCCTGTCGCGCTTTGGGAGCGAAAGACCCGAGCTGGTGTTGACTGTACAGAGCTATGGGGTCTTCAAGTTGTTCTTGGACTGCAGTCATAGAAGGAGGGCTCTGAAACCAAAAGGATTTCTTTGGCTAGCACCAAACATGCCAGAGTTCCTAGAGGTCCCTTGTCATCGGAGACAGTTTTCCTAGAGGTCTTCGGCAACAGGAGATAAGCACTCAAATCGACTGTTTCCCGGCCTTCCCCAGCTGGTGTCACGGTTTGGACAAGAGAGCTTAAAAGGGCCCTCTTGCCATTACAGGCATGGGAGGGCCGCGAGGCCTTCGGTTTACAGGCATATACGGTGGTTAGGAATTGTGGAGTTATCCGGGTCGATGGAACTCCTTGGAATCTTATAACAGAGAGTAGACAGTCTGGGAGCTGACAGGCGGCTTTGACATTGTGTTCCCCAGGACCTGGTGGACGAGAAGAGGCAGTGGTACTGGCGTCGGTCAGCAAGCCTTCTGGAGGGCTCGGCTGGTTCTTGGCGGCGGTTATCAGGCCACGTGTGAATGGAGAAGCTGGGGTTCTCGGGCGACAGGCATCGGCTGCAACAGGCAACGCTGCAGGCCTCCCTGCTTAGTGCCCAGCTGGGCGCATCAGGAACCGTTCAGAGAAAATCGAGGCGCTCACAGGAACCGGGGAGCCTCTTCCCAGGGCGTAGGAAAGGCAGCAGGGCTGCCAAAGGAGACCACATGGTACAGCGGGTAGGGAACAACCTGCACCAAGAGACACATGGTTTTAGGCAAACATAACTGAAGTTGTCAGGGAGGGAGAGGCAGGCAGGCAGGCAGCCTTAGAGAGATGCCTTTTAGCACGTAAAGGTTTGTACACTGAATTAACTTTGGTGCTCTGTATTGGGATCAATCTCATAAGCATCACACACACACACACACACACACGTACGTTCCTTTGCACCGCTATGTGCATGCACACCCCGGCCACATACCATAGGGTCATTTTTGTAAACAAGAAACAGAAAGCCCGTTCCGTTAGGAGCAGAACGTATTCGCGGCAGAAGCCAAGTTGACATCACTCTAGCAGAAAAGCGGAAAATCGCAGACACAGAAGGTACACACAGGTGATCAAATAGATCTCAGGGGAAAAAGCAGGGCACTCAAAACCCCTAAGCAGGCGAGAGGCAGAAGGGACCACTACTGCACGCTAAGTCAGCGTTATGTGCGCATGCACACACCTCACATATACAGAAATGTGGACACGCAAAACATTGTTTTAGCACGGGGGGGGTAGAAGGGGGGGTTGTTGTACACCCCCCCCAGCATTCCTTATTAGCTGGCTGCTCAAAGACATGTGCATAATAATTTAGTAGCCTGCAGATATGGAGACACAGGAACACACACAGTCTACTCTTCTGATGGACACAAACAGCATACAAAAGAGACCCACAAAAGGATGCGGGGGGGGGGGAGCAGATTCCCATCTATGCACAACATGCACAAACCAAGCCTTGGCTACGAAATGTCAAAGCAAACAGCCCTGCCAAACGGAAAGAACAGGTCTCAAATTTATTTCACGACTACGGCATGCAGAAAAAGGAATTGGGAACAACAGCTTGCAGATGCACAGACTAGATTTATCTAGATATATACACGAGAGAGCGGGAGAATATTGCAGGGCCACTTCCCACACTTACCATGAGTTTATTCTGGAGCCAGCGGAGGAAAATAAAGAGGCACACGCTTCTAGAAAAGCGAGATAAGATAACAGACACACCCAAGCCTTGAGCGGGCGCATAGACAGGGAAGGAATCTCAGCTGGGAATACCGCCTGGCCGTGTCGGAGAGGTAATGCAGCCCAGCGTAGCAGGAAGGCAGAGAAGACGGTTTGTGTAGAAAAATAGCCACTGGAAACATGAGCCGCAGGGATAAAAGAGAGAAAAAGAAGCGGCGGTAGGAGCAGCAGTGCTGAAATGTGTCAGCATAAAGGCTGGTGGAAGGAGTTTGGGGGGGGGGGGGGAGAGAGAGAAATGAAAAGCCCAGCCAGAGGCAAAAAAAAGAGGTAGACTCCAAATGGAGAGATCAGGTGGGAATAGTATGAAACACAGAGGATGGGAGGGTGGGAAGGAAGGGAGAGGAAGGCAGGCGAGTGGAGAGCAAGTGGAAATCCAGGAAAGGAGAGGCTGAAAATGTCAGCTGGGACGGAACATGAGAAGGAGAAGGAACCAGGATAATGGAGATGGCAGAAGGCAGAGAGGACCTCAGGTGCCAGGGAAATGTCAAGAGGATGAACAAATGCAAGGCAAGGGAGCTGGCGGGGGGTGAACCCTCACCCAGACATTGCGGGGGGGGGGGAAGGGCAGGCTGTGGACCATATAACCCCCTCCCCCCAAAATGGAGGAATAGTAGTAGTATATATATTTATATATCTGGTGGGGCGAGGGAGGGGGTGGAGGGAAGCCACAGAAGGCAATGTTCAAAGGAGCACATGTGAAATTCTCCCCCCCCCCCAAGAAGGGAGATGAACTGTCAGATGGGAAATGATCAGCGGCGGGGGTGCTAAGAGGAAGAAATGGCGAGGGGGGTGGGTAGGAAAAGGATCCAGATGGTGAGGGGGAAGCCTCCCAAGAAAACGTGGGCGTAAGTCTCCCCCTCCCCCCGGAAAAAGGCTCCTTCAGGGATGGAGGGATGTGGGGGTGGCCTGTGTTGTTAAAAGGGGGAGTCCACGCACCAAGACGTCGTTTCCACTGCCTGCCCCCCCACCTCATCGATGTGAGGGGTGGCTTCGCAGCGTATAGTTTGGGTGGGGAGAGAGGCTGTGCTTCAGTCAGGCTCCACCCTTGCTGAGAACCCCTTCCTTGGGGGGCTGGGGTTCCCTCCGCACAGAGGCGCCCACAAAAGGATTCAGTCAGAGACACACCTTTATTGTGAAAGTCAACGTAAAAATAAGGCACACTGGGAAATGAAGAGATGGGAAATCGCCACCCGAGCCACAGACCTGACCCTCCCCTCGCAAAAGAATTCCTGCACCCCGATACTTTTCTGCAAAAGTGACCCCTAAAATCCGTAATACACACACACAGAGACACCTCTTCCAGTTCTCGAGATTTTGTTCTTCCAGAAGGGCCCCCCAGTTACACAGGGAAGCATTTGTAGGCTGTAAGGCCCGGTTTTGCCAACCTGGGCCCCTCCATATGCTTTTGGACTACACCTCCCATCACCCCCGGCCAGCAGAGGCTGATGGGAGTTGTAGTCCAAAAACATCTGGGGAGCCCAGGTTGGAAAAGACTGCTTTGGGTCATTCCCCATCCCAATGGGAACTGTGCTACCTGATGAACTTCATAGAGATTAGTGGGTCTCCAGCTGTTTTTGGACTACAACTCCCATCATCCCTAGTTAGAAGGAGCAATGGTCAGGGATGGTGGGAACTGTAGCCCCAAAGCACCTGGAGACCCAAGTTTGAGAAACACTGATCTAGATGATACCAAAACGTCTTCCAACAAACCTGGACCAGGGATGGACTGTGTCCCTATTTAATTTGTTTTAATTCATTTAAATCATTGTGAACCACCCTGGGACCTTAGGGTGAAGGGTGGGTCATAAACCAATCATAATTACCACCATCATACCGTATTTTTCGCTCTATAAGACGCACCAGACCACAAGACGCACCTGGTTTTTGGAGGAGAAAAATAAGAAAAAAAATATTCTGAATTTCAGAAGCCAGAACAGCAAGAGGGATCGCTGTGCAGTGAAAGCAGCAATCCCTCTTGCTGTTCTGGCTTCTGGGATAGCTGTGCAGCCTGCATTCACTCCATAAGATGCACATACATTTCCCCTTACGTTTTAGGAGGGAAGAAGTGAGTCTTATAGAGCCAAAAATACGGTATTTTTAAAAAACACATACGATCTCAAATGAGACCCAGAGATCAATTTCCCCCTTGCCATCTTCCCATTTATTAGGAGAGACGTCTGTGTCTCGCCCTGTCATCTCTCCTCTGGGGGAGCAACTGTGCCCCCCACTTCCAGTAGCCAAGCACCCCCTCTCCCCTCACTCAACATCCCCACATCTTTATTCCTGGGGTGCATAGTGGGCAATGCGAAACCATCCATCTGGTCGTTCACATAGTTGAGTAGGAAGGCAGGCTGGACCCCCCCATCCCATTAGAGACGGGATGGGGCCCCCCCAGCCACCACCACGGTCTCCCCTGTGATGTAGTCGGCGTCCGGGGAACAGAGGAAGGAGACTATGCCAGAGCAGTCCGTCGGCTCTCCCATCCTAAGGAAGAGAGGGAGGAAAGGGAAAGAGTCCGGTTAGCGGGCATTCCTGGAGGAAGTTAGGCAAAGAAAGGATGGGGCTTAGTTGGAGGGACATGAAACGAGCCCACAGGATCAGGCCAAGGGCCCATCTAGTCCAGCATTCTGTTCTTACAGCGGCCAACCTGATGCCTTTTAGGACGCCTGCAAGCCGGACCTGAGCGCAACAGCACTCTGCTCACATGACATTCCCCAGCGAGTGGTTTTCTGTGGCCTCCTGACAGTGGAGGCAGAATATAGCCGTTGTCCAAGGGCAGGGCTGGGGAAAAGGAGGTGGCAGAGCCCAGTGGGGAAAGGAGATGAGGCCAAGGAATTGGAGGCAGGAGGGAGAAAGGTGAATCTAGGTAAGAGGAAGAAGATGGTGCCAACAAGGCCTGTGGGTAGCCAACCCCTAATCCAGGCCTGGATTTCTTTGTTGTTCAACCCGGAACGACCGGAGCTGACAGATCACTCTAAAGTCTTGGGACACTTGGATGTCCCTCGTTCCATTTCATTATCATTCTGTAAGTTTTTGCATCACCACCACTGCTCTGCTCTGCTCTGCCTTCCTGCGTAACCTGGAGAATTTCCAGAAGCAATTCCACAATTGCCACATGTGCAATTTTCTGCAGTTGTCAGTTTGCTTCTTTTCTCTCTCCCCTCTTTTTTTTTTAATTAGGCAACTAAAGCGCCTGAGAACCCTGATGCAATAACGATGCTTGCTTTTCGTGCACTGTTTAAACCAATGCGCAAATGCGCTGGGGCGCGTTGGGGGGGCAGGAAGCACGCATGTGCACATGCGCAGTGGGCCAAGCAGAACACAGAAATAAAATTTTAAAAATGAAAGCATAGTAAGATTGCCAAGTACTCCACGCGCACAGTCAGGTTATTCTAAATCCTCAAGGCCTGAGGAGACGTTTCAGTTGTGAGCGGAATGAAGTTTGTAATCCCAGCCCATGGGGTTCCCAATTAATTTATTTGTTACATTTGCATCCCACCCCGCAAGAAGCTCAAGGCGGCATACATGGTTCTTCTCCCCCTCCCCATTTTATTCTCACAACAACCCTGCGAGGTAGGTTAGGCTGAGAGGGAATAACTGGCCTAAGATCACTCCGTGAGTTTAATTATTTGAACCCTGGTCTCCCAGGAACTAGTCAGACACTAAGCAGCAGAGAGAACTTTGTTGGAAGAAAGAACTGTTCAGTCTTGGTTACCTCTAAGCTGAGGATGTTTTTAAGGGTGCCGTGATCTTTAATTCAAAATGTTATGTCTTTCGCACATGGACCTGCATGGGTTCAAGTCAAGGGGAAAAACTGAGGCCGCATTTGGGCCTTTTTAGTTTGTTTAAAGGTGTGTCAGGGTGGTGGGGAGGAGAGATGACAGACGTGTATAAAAATTATGCACGGTTTGGAGAAAGTGGATAGAGAAATGTTTTTCTCCCTCACTCATAATACTAGAATTCGCGACCATCCAACGTAGCTGAATATTGCTAGCTTCACAGCCAGGCAAAAGGAATTACTTTTTCACACAATGAACAGTTAAACTTTGAAATTTTGCCCCCTGCCCGCAAGAGGTGGCGACGGCCACCCATTTGAATAGCTAATAAAGAGGATTAGACAAAATTCATTACCCGCGGCCCTGTGGGATATCTTCAGGAGAAGAAAAGGCTAAGGAGTAAACCCTACACAAATCTGGAATGAAGTTCCTAAGGGGGTTGGATGGCGCCTTGTAAGTCTCCTTCCGGCAACTCCTGCAACCAGGCTGCTGCCAAACATATTGCTCTGCTTTATTTTGGACCACATCAGCCAGGCTGAGAGGGGGGATCTTGTTGTCTGGCAGCCCAGGACCCCCAGACACACCGCCCAGGCCTGCGCCCCAGAGAGGCCATTTTGGTTGCTGCTAACGCAGCAGAAACCATGCTGGAGGCAGCAGTTACAAGTTGCGGGTCTCTGCAGCCGCAGCGGGTGTTGCGATTCTCCAGTGGTTCGACTCTGCCCACGGAGGCACACTCCATTGTCTTTCGAGACAGATGGATGCAAAAAATGAGACAAATTCATGGGGAGAATAAGGCGATCAAACTGCTTGCAAGTTTCCCCTAGGGGAATCAGGTTGGCCACTGTGAAATCAGCCCTTGGCCTGATCCAGCTACAGAGATCTCCTCCTGCTCTTCTTCAACCAGCCTCAAATCCGTCTGCCCATTCTAGAGTCCACCGGGTGGCCGTTGGCTCCCAGATGAATTTCCCTAGGCGACAGCACCACCTATAGGGTCAAACTCCTGCAACCCCATTCCCCGGCCCTCGACTCCAGCCTCTCACACCACTGTTGCCAGCACCGAGAGCCCATACGAGGAAGGGGCACCTCTCCCCATATGACCCTGACCCTGCAATTATCCTCTGAGGCCCTTCTTTGCATGCCTCCTCTGTGAGAGCCCTGGAGGGCAGCAACACGAGAACGGGCTTTTTCTGCGGTGGCTCCCTGCTTGTCAGATGCTCTCCCCAGAAAGGCCTGCCTGGCACCTTCCTTACATACCTTGACTTTTCTCCCAGATCTTTGTTTAAATAGCCAATCTATGGCCTTTCAAACCTTGCAGGGTTTGAAAAAACTGCTGCTTGTTATGTCATGTACTTTTTGTGTTTTTATATTGTAAACTGCTCTTTGATACTCAGATGACAGGTGGTATAGATATTTAATAAATAAATGGCCTGCAGGTTGTGCCAGGAATCAGGCCTAGCTGGAGCAGTTTCAGCCACCCGGTGGGATACTGTGGGGCCTTATTCCACATCCATCTTGCTCAGTGTTATCTACTCTAGGTGGTAGCAGCTCTCTAAGGGTTGGGAGGAGGGGGTAGGCAAGAGGGCTGGACTGTGTGCTCCAGAACAGGGGCTCTCTTCAAGCATAATTGCAGTGTGTGCGTGTTGGGGTTCTTTTGGTGGGTGGGTAGGGTGGAGTTCCGCGGGTGGCGCTGCGGGTTAAACCACAGAGCCTAGGACTTGCCAATCTGAAGGTTGGCGGTTCGAATTCCCGTAACGGGGTGAGCTCCTGTTGCTCAGTCCCTGCTCCTGCCAACCAAGCAGTTCCAAAGCACGTCAAAAGTGCAAGTAGATAAATAGGTACCACTCCAGCGGGAAGGTAAACGGCGTTTCCGTGCGCTGCTCTGGTTCGCCAGAAGCGCCTTAGTCATGCTGGCCACATGACCCGGAAGCTGTACGCCAGCTTCCTCAGCCAATAAAGTGAGATGAGCGCCACAACCCGAGTTGGTCACGACTGGACCTAATGGTCAGGGGTCCCTTTACCTTTACCTAGGGTGGAGTTCATTGCTGTGGAGGAAAGGGTTAAACCTCCGCACCCCATGACCTGTGACACCCCCCACACACACCAGTAACTGCCCGCCCCATTTCCGCATTGCAATCAGGCTTGCAAAAAAATGGTTTTTGTAGGAGACTTTTCCAAAAAAACCTAATGGCTCCGTGTTTGCAGCAGGCGGGTTTCCGCGATACTTGCAGAGAGTGCAGCTGGGGAAAGGAGGGAAGGGTTAAACCTCCTCTGTCAAACTGTGCTCTCCGTAAAAATCATCCCCGCCACCCACTTCCATGCATTTATAGCCTTTTTCCCAGCCTTTACTGCTGTGGGTTTGGGGTGGCGGCAGGAAGCGAGTGAATCTGTGCGTCTGGGGAGGGGCTGTAGTTTGGCAGCAGAGCCCCCCTCCCCTCCCGCTCTGAACACAATTCAAGGTTTTTAGGCTTATCATAAGCTCGTTTAATAATAATAATAAAAAAGATCGCACACTGTATTAACGTTTTGTCACTCGCTTTCATACCGAACCTCGAGATAGGGCTGGGAATGAATGTTCCCGGACTGAAATCCAGGAGAGCGGCTGCCAGCCAGAGTTGACGATACTGAGCTAGGTGGCCCCCTATAGGTCTGACTTAGGATGAGGTGGTTTTGGGTGTACAGCACATTCTGCATGCAGCGGTGTGCTATGTGCACCCGAGCGCGCCAGCTGGGGCCCCATCCGCGGTAGGCCCCGGAAGGCTCTCCACAAAAGAATGTGGCTCTCGGTTTGAGAACGGTTCCCCAATTCTGCCCCTAACCAACGCCGAACGGCTCAGGACCGCAATACCTCAAGGATCGCCTCTCCCCATATAAACTGACACCAATTCTTGTGTTCATCTTCTGAGGCGCTTCTTCATGTGGCTCCTCCGTCAGAGGTCTAGAGGGCAGCAATACAGTGGTACCTCGGGTTAAAGTACTTAATTCGCTCCTGAGGTCCGTACTTAACCTGAAACTGTTCTTAACCTGAAGCACCACTTTAGCTAATGGGGCCTCCTGCTGCTGCCACGCCGCCGGAGCACGATTTCTGTTCTCATCCTGAAGCAAAGTTCTTAACCTGAAGCACTATTTCTGGGTTAGCGGAGTCTGTAATCTGAAGCATATGTAACCTAAAGCGTATGTAACCCGAGGTACCACTGTACAAGAACGGGCCTTCTCTGTGGTGGCTCCCTGTTTGTGGGATGCTCTCCCCAGGGAGATTCGCCTGGCGCCTTCATTATACACCTTTAGGCACCAGTCAAAAAAACCATTCCTCTTCAACCATGCCTTTTGCTGTTTAATATTCTACAGGCTTTTAAATGTGTTTGTGGGAGGTGGGGTTTCGTTGCTTCCGTTTTGATCATTTACTTGTGCTTTTATCTTGGGGTTTTTGTTGGTTTTTTTTTAAATAATCTGAACCCCCCCAAGATCTTTTGATGAAGGGTGGCATATAAACCCAATAAATAAATAAATAAATAAAGCTAGAGAGACACCAGCGACCAGAAGTGGGACTTTCTGCATACAGATCAGACCCCCTCTGACACAGCCAAGCCCCATTCCTCAGATGCATTCCACTAGGAAAAAAGTTAGAAGGTAAAGGTAAAAGACCCCTGGATGGTTAAGTCCAGTCAAAGGCGACTATGGGGTTGCAGCGCTCATCTGACTTTCAGGCCAAAGCAGGTGGCATTTGTCCGGAGACAACTTTCCGGGTTGTGTGGCCAGCATGACTAAACCGCTTCTGGCGCAACGGGACACCGTGACGGAAACCAGAGCGCACTGTTTACCTTCCTGCCGCAGTGGTATCTATTGATCTACTTGCACTGGTGTGTTTTTAACTGCTAGGTTGGCAGGAGCTGGGACAGAGCAATGGGACCTCACCCCATCACGGGGATTCGAACTGCCGATCTTCTGATCAGCAAGCCCAAGAGGCTCAGTGGTTTAGGCCACAGTGCCACCTGCAGAACGCCTAGAACAAGAGTGGGGAATGGTATCTCCCCAGCCGCCCAGCCCCTCTGCATCCTGCCCCACTGGAGAGCCAGATCTGAGAAGGGGGCGCAGCCACCCACCTGGCCCAGCCCCCCCTTTTAACCTGCCCGCAAATGATGTTGCATATGTCAAGTGGGTGGGGCCAAAAATGGTTCACCACCCCTGTGGTTAGAAGGCAGGCTCCAGAGACAACGGCTTGGATGGGCTTGTGCCCAACATTAGTGGGTGGGCGAGGGGCTTCTTTTAAAGGGGCCTCAGGGCCCGGCAGCCAATTCAAGTGATGTGGTACAGTCCCCTCAGATTCCGTTTGAGATCCATAGCTGGCCCACAGACCTGCTGACTGGCGGGTGTTTGTTTGTGTAGTGAACGTTACCTCCGTATCCTCATGGTTTCCATCAATTTGTCCCCCATGGTTTTGTCCTGCCAGAGCTGGAAAGAGAAGATGCCCAGTCAGTTTGCCTCTATGATAAAACCAATACCCTGAATTTGTGCCTGTAGGTGAAGACATAAAAAAAATAAAAATAAAAACCCAGCCCAATTACGACAGATTTCAACTTCTGTTGACTTTGGGTTGGATTCAGACAGACAGCACTGCTCTAAACATTTCTGTCTTCGTGGGAGTCCAAGTCCAGCCCGAATTCAACGAGGCTCGCTCCCGGTTTTAAGTGTGTATAAGATCAGAGCTGCAGTTAGTTACACCTCGCTCCCGTTGAAATCTATGCCGTCAGAGGGTAGGGTGCAAGTGAAACGCTTTAAAAAATAATACATTATAGAATAAAATAAATAAAAAACCAGAAAATTAAAACAGACAGAAGGGGCGGATAAAGAATCTCATTAAAACCCCCAAGAAACAGGAATATCTTGTCAGGTGGAATGAAGTGGAACAGACCTCTTCACCTCGGTCTTTGACACTTGAAACGATCCGTTTTCAGAACCCACCCTATTCCTGCGATTGTGATCTGTTCTGACTGCTTTACATTTTTAACTGTTGCAACCCAGCCTGGATGAACAGCTGGTAATAAATGTGGTTATAAACATAATCTTTCCAGGCAGGGAGTTCCAAAAGCTGGTCACTGACACACGAGATGGCTCTCTCTCTCTCCCCGCCCCCCATGTCCCAGCCAGGGGTACCTCAGGTAAAGGTGGGACATGTGAAAGATTGCAAAGGGTGGGCAGGATCTCTCACAAGAAGCACGCACGCACACTGCAGCATGGGTTCTGTGATGGCGGAAGAAAGGCAAGGGATAAATACCATATTTTTCGCTCTATAAGACGCACCAGACCATAAGACGCACCTAGTTTTTGGAGGAGGGGGAAAAAAATATTCTGAATCCCAGAAGCCAGAACAGCAAGAGGGATCGCTGCGCAGCGAAAGCAGCAATCCCTCTTGCTGTTCTGGTTTTTGGGGTAGCTGCGCAGCCTGCATTCGCTCCATAGGACGCACACACAATTCCCCATACTTTTTAGGAGGGAAAAAGTGAATCTTATAGCGCAAAAAATACGGTAAATAAACACAGGAGGCACCTACGTCCACAGCTTCCCCGATACTCACAGCTGAGCTGAACTTGGTGCGGATCAGGCCGGGAGCCAGTGCGTTGATGCGGATGTTTCTGGGGCCGAGTTCAGAAGCCAGGGTGTGCGTGAGGCCCAGGAGTGCTGTCTTGCTGACGTTGTAGGGGCCCAATCCCTAAGAGGAGGAAGAGATTTCAGGAGGCTGACAAGACCATTCCCCTAAGGCGGCATTCTTCAACCATGGGCACCCAGATGTTGTTGCACCGCAACTTCTGTCCTCTTCCTTGGCGAAGGGATGCAGGCCATCAATGTGGATGGCTTTCAAAATTCAGGGAGGAGAAGGCTATCAATGTTTACTAGCAATAGCTCCAGCTTGGCGGAGCCGTTCCTGAGTTGGAACCAGTTGCTGGGAATCGCAAGAGTGGATGGCGTTGCTGAACTGATGTCCTGCTTGCATTTTTTAATATATAATTTTTATTAAATTTTCTGTCTTACAATTTAAAGTATTCATTTACACATCCTTAAGACACCAGTGACTTACCTTCCTCTCTTTCCATGGTTCATTTTACGTATCATAAATCCCTGCATATTTTACAGAAACTTCAGTTTTCCATTATAACAACCATCATAACTAACTTACACTGTTGAATTTATCTTAACGCTGCCGGTGTTTTCAGCTGTACACAGTTATTTCCCGTATATTCAATAAACGTTTTCCAATCTTCTCTAAACATATGTTATTCTTGTTCTCTTATTCTATATGTTAAGTATGCAAGCTGTGGATATTCTGTCAACTTAAGTTGCCATTCTTCTTTAGTTGGGACCTCACTCGTTTTACATTTTTGGGCTAACAAAAAACGGGCCACAGTAGTGGCATACATAAATAACCTTTTGTGACACCCGGGAATTTCAGTCTGAATTATCCCCAACAAAAAGGACTCTGTCTGGTATTTTTGGGGGGGAAGCACTTTTAAACATTGTTTTCAATTTGTTATGGATCATTTCCCGGTACTCTTTTAACCTTTTACAAGTCCACCACATATGAAAGAACATTTCCTCCACCTCTTTGCATCTCCAGCACTTATCTGATTCAGTCTTATACATCTTAGCAAGCCTACTCGGAGTTCAACACCATCTGTAAATAATTTTCAGGTAGTTCTCCTTCAAAGAACAAGATGCTGTAAACTTCAAGTCACTTTTCCAGAGTTTTCCCCAGAGGTTAAAATCTATATTGTGACCTATTTCCTATTGGGGCATCTGGTTGGTCACTGTGAGAATAGGACGCCGGATTAGATGTGCCGCTGGCCTGATCCAGCAGCTGGGATCTCCTAATGTTCTTACTACAGGAAGGGATGGACAACAGAAGGACAAGGACAACATTGGCAGAGGAATGGAAAACAGCTGACTCACCGGAAACGGGGAATAAGCAGCGATGGAGGAGACGATAACGATGGAGCCGCCTCTGTAAGAAAAAAGCAGGTTAACAAGAGCGAATGAGGATGGAGGCTGAGAGGAGTCATGATGGGGACCACGTAAGGTGAGGCGGACATCTGAAAGGAAAATTCGGCTGCAGAAGTGAGCCCTGAGGAAGGGTGACGGTGTCAGGACCAGGGAGAGGGGTGGAGTTCACCTCAGAAAAGTTGCTTGTGGTTCAAGTGTTGGCCATGGATCAGTGAGTCTTGGGTTCAAATCTCCGCTCTGCCATGTAACTCACTGAGTGCTTTGGGGTCCATTATCACCTGAGAAATCAAACCTATCCATTCTGAAGGAAATCAGCCCTGAGTGGTCACTGGAAGGACAGATCCTGAAGCTGAGGCTCCAGTACTTTGGCCACCTCATGAGAAGAGAAGACTCCCTGGAAAAGACCCTGATGCTGGGAAAGATGGAGGGCGCAAGGAGAAGGGGACAACAGAGGACGAGATGGCTGGGCAGTGTTCTCAAAGATACCACCATGAGTTTGACCAAACTGCGGGAGGCAGTGGAAGACAGGAGTGCCTGGCGTGCTCTGGTCCATGGGGTCACGAAGAGTAGGACACGACTAAATGACTAAACAACAACAACATCACCTGAGAAAATGGTTGGCGGTTACTGTTCCCTGAACCCACAGAGGGACTGAAAAAGTCTCAAACAAGGGTGTTGGCCATGAGGTCTAGCCACATGGCCTCAACTCTGTACCAGATAAAGGGCTACTGAGTCCCTCCCAATAATTCCTCAGATGTGCTCCATAGTTCCCCCCAAATGTCAGTGGCCAAGCCACTGAATAGCTTCTGGCCTGCCTTTATGAAAGGTGACCTTCTCCGCAAGTCCCACAGGCCAACAGAACGGAGGCCTTTCCCCATCAACAAAAGGTGGGTGGACACAGGAAGGGCTACAGAAGTGGGAAGTTTCACAATGAGGACCAGAAACTTGAAGCAGACATGAAGTGTGACACGGAGCCTAGGCGAGGAGCCAGAAGCTCACCACAAAACAGGTGGACTTGCAAGGAGATCTTCGTGGTTATCTGCTTGATCGGCGACCAGAATATAGACAAGAATTTTATCATTGCCCCAGAAGACCCCTTGCCCAACCGCCAAGTTGCCTCTTCCACAACACACAAGCACAAAAACTCACCCCCTTTTCTCCATGTGAGGTACGACCAGTTTGATCAGCAGGGCTGCAGCCTTCACATTGATGTCGAAAATCTAATTGAAGATAAAAGAAAGGAGGAAAAGGCTTTTCAAAAACCGGTCGCTTGCAAACCTCTCCCACCCACTGCCTAATCACTTTCCCCCTTCATTGTTTTCGTATAATTTATATATCGCTTGGCTGTAAAAACAACAACAAAACCCTCAAAGCGGGTTTACAGGAAGCTAAAGGCAATAAAATCAAGAAAAAATTCACAACCATACTTCATACACCCACCCACCCTGCTCTCTGAAACAAGGAGCTGAGAGAGGTCTTCTCTCCCTGATCAGGAGGGATGAACTGGCCATCCAGTCCCCCGCAGGGCAATGGTGTACCAGGATTTATTTATTATTTATTTATTAATTATTATTATTGGACGCGGGTGGCGCTGTGGGTTAAACCACAGAGCCTAGGACTTGCCAATCAGAAGGTTGGAGGTTCGAATCCCCGCGATGGGGTGAGCTCCCGTTGCTCGGTCCCTGCTCCTGCCAACCTAGCAATTCGAAAGCACGTCAAAGTGCAAGTAGATAAATATGTACCGCTCCGGCAGGAAGGTAAACAGTGTTTTCCATGTCCTGCTCTGGTTCACCAGAAGCGGCTTAGTCATGCTGGCCACATGACCCGGAAGCTGTATGCCGGCTCCCTCGGCCATTAAAGCGAGATGAGCGCCGCAACCCCAGAGTCGTCTGCGACAGGACCTAATGGTCAGGGGTCCCTTTACCTTTATTATTATTATTATTATTATTATTATTACACACAGCCTTCCCCTCCACAGAACTCAAGGCACATAGCTCTCCTCCCCATTTCACCCTCACAGCAGCTCTGCGAAGTCGGCTTAAGCTGAGAGTGAGTGTGAATGGATGGGACCCGACATGAGGCAGCTTCCTGCATCCCAGCCTTGGTTCGAGCAACACTGTGTTTCCCAGAAGCCTCTGCTCTATGCCAACTGTGCCGCTTCACCCCACTGGCCGAGCTCATGCCCCTTTCCTGCCCCGAGGGGCTCATCCTCAGCACCTCAGTCCTTTCCCTCCGCCCGCCCCGAACCCCTTACCTTGTCCCAGACTTCTTCTGTGGCATCCAGAGTGGAGCCAAAAAAGGGATTCACTGCCGCGTTGGAGACCAGTATGTCGATTCCTCCGTGGCGCTCCAGGGCCTGCAGCACAAGGCACAGAATGAGCAATGCGAACACACTACGAATATAATAATAATAATAAAATAATAATAATAATTTATTTATTATTTATACCCCGCCCATCTGGCTGGGTTTCTCCAGCCACTCTGGGCGGCTTCCAATGGAATATTAAAATACAAAAGCCTATTAAACATTAAAAGCTTCCCCAAACAGGGAATCTCTGTTTAAAAACCAAGCCCTTCACAGAACATCAGGAGAGCCTGGCCGCTGGGCGCAGGCCAAAGGGGGGGGCGCCTTCTAGTCACAGAACCATACAATTATAGAGTTGGGACCCCCAAAGGTCATCCAGCCCAACCCCCTGCCATGCACCCAGTCTTCACAGTGGCCAACCAGATGTTGTCTGAAAGAGACCTTGAAGTGGCAGTTTTTAGGATGTTTTTAAGTGTTTTCAGTTTTGTTTTTGAAAAAAAATATTTTATTATGAATATGTTTCCTTCGGAAGGAAAGGTGGGCTATAAGCTGAATACAATAAATAAACCAATGTTAATAATACATGCAACATCCCGCTTCGCAGCACCCCACCCCTTGACAAACATTTCAATCCTACGGGATGCAGATCTGACACAGAACTGCCCCTTTTGTAATGCAATGAAATTTCTCCTTCCCTGAGAGCAAGCAGAAGCTGAAAAACAGGTCTAGCGACAGATATCTTTGGATAGGAGCTGTTGGAAAAGGCATGTGCACAAAAGCATGTGGCAAAAATAATCTTGGAAGCTGTACCGCTAGAATTCCCAGCGCCCTCAACAAACTACAGTTCCCGGGATTCTTTGGAAGAAGCCCCATGCTTCAAATGTGTTTTATTAAACGTACAACGCGTACGCTGCCATAGGGAACAGCCACCTCGCCCTGCTCCTCCTGATTCTGACACCAAAGAGTCATTTATCAGTGCCAGCCAAACCAGGGATACCCCATTCCTGGGAATCTATAGGTCTCCTGTTTCCCCATACTTGGGAGACGAGAGCCAGCAAGTCCCCTTTAAAGAGAGATTTGTATAGTCCAACTCCTCCTGAGAGTTGGAGGGGGTCAAAGTAGGAGCTCCACCCGCCGCAGAGAGAAAGGCCATTTGCTCTCTTGAAATCAGAGCAGAGGAGAATTTCAGGATAGCATAAAATGATAAATAATAATAATAATAATAATAATGATAAATTTATTCCCCGGCCCATCTGGCTGGGCTTCCCCAGCCACTCTGGGCAGCTTCCAACAAAATATTAAAATACCGTAATACATTAACTTAAAATAAACTTGACCCTCTTTGGTTGGGGAATCGGGGAGAAGAGGAACAGAAAAGGGAGTGTGTAGGGAAGGCTCAGCCCCACAGATTTTGGTGCCTGAGGTCGGTGGGTGGGTGGGAAAACCTACAGAGCTTTCGACTGATCAAGGTGCAATCTTCCAGAATGTTCTCCTGCGCAAGCCTCGGCTTCTCTGGGCCAACATGGCCAAGCTGCCTCTGTGCGAGACCTACAAAATGGCTGCCTGGAGGATTCTGGGAGTTTTCTAGGCTGCCTACTCTGCTTGCAGCCATTAGCTTTGCCGTCACCCGTCTGGAGGGCACCCAAGAGTCTTGGAGCGGCACGTTGCAGGAGAAGACGGAGACGGATGGTGGGCGTCCACCATTACTGGTCATCCTATGAAGGGACCCTGGAGGGCGCAGTTCAAAACCCACCATTCTCATTCTGAGGCGGGCCACCATAAACAAGAAAATAGGCCGCATCCGTGCCATAAACTGAAATCATAGTACTTTAAGCCAGCATTTCCCAACCTTGGGCCTCCAGCTGGTTTTGGACTACAACTCCCATAATCCTCAGCTAGCAAGACCAGTTGTCAGGGATGATGGGAATTGTAGTTCGAAAACAGCTGGAGGCCCAAGGTTGGGAAACACTGCTTTAAGCAGTCGTGGCTTCCCCCAGAGAATCCTGGGAACTGAAGTTTATGAAAGGTGCTGAGAATTGCTAAGAGACCCCCCCAATTCCCCACACAAAACTACAATTCCCAGAGAAACGATTGCTAAACCATGGTAGTTCCGTGAGGGGAACAATGCTCAGTACTCCAAACTACAGTTCCCAGGATTCCTTGGGGCGAAATCATTCAGTGCTTTAAATATGCTTCCCCCCCCCCCAAGAAAAGCCTTGGCTCTCACCGCGTTGATAAGGCGCTGTCTGTCTTCGGCCTTCCCCACATGGCACACCAACCCCGACACACTCAGGTTCTCCGTTTGTAGCTCAGCGACGGCCCGGTCGACGTTGGCTTGCTTACGGCTGCTCACAACCACATGGGCGCCATCTTGGGCCAGGCGGCGGGCAATTGCTAGGCCAATTCTGTCAAGAATGCATAAGTTTCTTGAGGAAATAAAGGAGGCGGGGGGGGGACTGTCTCCCCAGAAAAGGAGCTGGGAACCTAAGCCTACCCTGGTTTTCAGCACAAAGCTGGATATATTTATTACTGCTGTTTATATAGTACAGTGATACCTTGGTTTGACAAACCTAGACAGCATCTTAAAAAGTAGAGACATCACCTTGCCAACAAAGGTCCATATAGTAAAAGCTATGGTTTTCCTAGTAAGTGATGTATGGAAGTGAAAGCTGGACTATAAAGAAGGCTGATCGCCGAAGAATTGATCCTTTTGAATTCTGGTGCTGGAGGAGACTCTTGAGAGTCCCATGGACTGCAAGAAGATCAAACCTCTCCATTCTGAAGGAAATCAGCCCTGAGTGCTCACTGGAAGGACAGATCCTGAAGCTGAGACTCAATGGCCTCCTCATGAGAAGAGAAGACTCCCTGGAAAAGACCGTGATGTTGGGAAAGATGGAGGGCACAAGGAGAAGGGGACGACAGAGGACGAGATGGTTGGACAGTGTTCTCGAAGCTACCAGCATGAGTTTGACCAAACTGCGGGAGGCAGTGGAAGACAGGAGTGCCTGGTGTGCTCTGGTCCAGGGGGTCACGAAGAGTCGGACACGACTAAACGACTAAACAACAACACCACCTTGGTTTACAACCATAATCTGTTCCGGAAGTTCAGTTGTAAACCAAAACAGGTTGTAACCCAAGGCACGCTTTCGCCAATGGGGCCTCCAAAAAAAATGGGTTGCAATAATAATAAAAAGGGTTGCAATTCAAAAAAAAGGGACACACACTTCAGGGTTTGACGTGGTTGTAATCCAAAACGGTTGCAAACCAAGGTACCACTGTACTATTGATGTGCAGAAGACTTGGAGAATCGGTCTAGATCCCTGCCCTGAGGAGATTACAATCTATAGTTCAACATGGTGTGTGTGCGTGTCTGCAATTCATAGGAAGGGAAGAGAAGCAATGCCAGTCCAAGATGGTGACCGAGGCAAAGGACAAGATATCCCGCCTTTCTGTTCCTTGTATAGAAGCCAGCTAGATTGGCAGCTGAATCTTACAGATAGCTCAGCTGGTAGAGCATCAGACTCTTAATTCCACGGTCGTGGGTTTGAACCCCACATTGGGCAAGATTCCTGCATTGCAGGGGGTTGGACTAGAGGACCGCCGGGGTCCCTTCCAACTATGATTCTATCTTATGGCCTGTTTACACCATACACTGAAAGGGCTGTGATACCACGTTAAACTCCCAAAGAATCTTGGGAGCCGTAGTTTAAGGGTGCCAAGCGCTGTTAAGCGACCCCCAACTCCCCACACAAAGCTACAGTTTCCGGAGTGGTTTAAAAATGTTCCCTCTAATTAGTTAATCATTGAGAGCTGGTTGTAATTCAGTGGCCAACAGCCTAATCCTTTGAATGTTTACTCAGAAGGAAGTTCCATTATATTCAACAGGGTTTATCACTGGTTAATTGCTGAAAGCCCTTGGGTCAAATCTCAGCATGATCATTAACCTTCAACCCATGGCTGTGTACGCACCATGGACCTGAACCCCCCAGCCCCCCAAATCCTGGGAACTGTAGTTTACCACTCCCAGAGCTACAGTTCCCAGCATCCTTAAACCAGTTTCAGGGACCAGGGGTAGTGTGTCTCGACCAAAATTGATAGAATTGTGCCCAAAATGAGCACCAGTGGCAACACTGCTTCTCCGCCACCTGAGACAGTGGTCTCAACCTGCCTAATGCCTGGGCCGGTTCTCAAAGGGATTCTTGGTGTGTGCATGCACACAAGCTAAAATGCATGATGCGTTTGCAGTCATGATCTTAAAGAGACCCGATCCGGGCACTTTTCAGGGGAAACAACTGCTCATATTTTCAGGAAAGGTCTCTTAATGGAAGGTGCAAAACTTTGTTCATTGAAAACACACGATTAAAACAAAAATGCTAAGCGTTCTGATCTTTAGAAGCAGAGCTGGATACGGCTTTTAGGAAACACTACCTTAAAGACTTTGAATCGGATGCTTTGGAGGGTTTTAAAAATCTCCGTTAAAACTCGGGTGGGTTCCCGTTCAGCAACAATACACACACACGCGCGCACACACTTATCCCTTAAGCAGAGCGGCAAGAATCCTCTTTTTGTCTCCTTTTCAAAACCGATCCCGAGGGCTTAACGCGACTCGGAGATTAGCCGTGAAGACTTCCCCTCCCTCAATTCCACCGCCAGCGAAAGATGCGCCGGGGCAAGAGTGCCACTGAGAGCGCGCAGAGTGCTTCTGCCTCGCCGGCACCCAGTTCCCCCCTGCAAAAAAAAAAAAGCAACTCCTTCCAGAAAAGGAGCCGAGCCCCAGCGGAGCTTACCCCTCGGTGGAGGCGGTCACCAAGGCCACCTTGTCGGCGAGGGTCCCCCGCGCCTTGGCCCCGGTGCTATTCATCCTCAGGAGGCGACCGAGCGCTTGCTTGGGCTGCGCGGAGCTGGCGAGGGCGCGCAACATCCTGGCCTCGCGTGGGTCCCGCCTCCCGTGGACTCTGGCGCCTGCAAAAAGTCCAAAGTGGCGAGCGTCCAAATCCAGCCTCCTCGCCTCTTCTCCTCCTTCTCTAACTTAGCACCGCCTGCATTGCAACAGATCCGTTTGCGTTTGCATTGCATTGCATTGCAAACATTGGGCTCTTGCCCAAATCAGGGCTCAAATCTGCCCTTTGCTCGCTTTCCGGCTGTGCGTCGACTCCTTTGCAACAAAGGATCGCCGCCCCGCCCCCCAACTCCTCACCTGAGATCCTCTACCCGCGTGGGGAGAAACAGGAAGGGGAGCGCCCAGTTAAGCAACCGAGGGCGGCTAAGAAGTGGCAGGGTTTTGTCCCTATTAAAGCACTTTCGCTTTAAATGGGGAGCGCGCGCGAGCGCCCTCTGGCGGCCGACAGCCGCGGCCGGGCCCGAGGGGAGAGGCGAGGGAGGGGCGAACGAGAGGAGGCCTTCCTAGCACCGCGATAACTCAGCGGGTGAGGCTCCCCGAAGCGGGAGGAGGGTAACCGGCGCGTCTCTGAAAGAGTCTCTGCTCACGCCGGATTCCCTGTAATTCGGGAAGGAAAGGGGGAAAATTGCATCCTGCAATTTTTTTTAATTGTATACCGCCTTTCGGAGAGCCAGAGTGGTGTAGTGGTTAAGAGCGGTAGATTCGTAATCTGGGGAACCGGGTTCGCTTCCCTGCTCCTCCACATGCAGCTGCTGGGTGACCTTGGGCTAGTCACACTTCTTTGAAGTCTCTTAGCCCCACTCACCTCAGAGTGTTTGTTGTGGGGGAGGAAGGGAAAGGAGAATGTTGGCCGCTTTGAGACTCCTTCGGGTAGTGATAAAGCAGGATATCAAATCCAAACTCCTCTTCTTCTTCTTCTTCTTCTTCTTCTTCTTCTTCTTCTATGTTATTATAAACAAGGCGGTTTTACAAACTGGAGAAACAACGACATAGACAGCAAAGATCCCACATGTAATAGCAATCTGATCCAATACAAAAAAAGTCACAGTAACTTTAAAAGTGAGAGATTTTACTTTCTTGGGCTCTATGATCACTGCAGATGGTGACAGCAGTCACGAAATTAAAAGACGCCTGCTCCTTGGGAGAAAGGCGATGACAAACCTAGACAGCATCTTAAAAAGCAGAGACATCACCTTGCCAACAAAGGTCCATATAGTTAAAGCTATGGTTTTCCCAGTAGTGATGTATGGAAGTGAGAGCTGGACCATAAAGAAGGCTGATCGCCGAAGAATGGATGCTTTTGAATTCTGGTGCTGGAGGAGACTCTTGAGAGTCCCATGGACTGCAAGAAGATCAAACCTCTCCATTCTGAAGGAAATCAGGCAGTGGAAGACAGGCGTGCCTGGCATGCTCTGGTCCAGGGGGTCACCAAGAGTCGGACATGACTAAACGACTCAACAACAACAACTACTACTTTAAAATAAACAACTTACAGCAAATAAAGCAATGTTCGATAACCCATTAGAAAATAATAGTAAACAGTAAAATTAAATATCAGCAAGTAATAATTAAACAGTTTACACTTATCAGTTACAATATAGAATCACTAAACTATAATCAATGAAAATAACGGCAAGTCACAATGCATAAAATACCACGAAACATACAAAACCATCTCATTTATTTAGCCCCCCAACTAAATAAATAATTGTGCTGTGCAAAACCAGCTGTGAAACACAGAGTGTCGGCAATCTAAAAATCTGGCTTCTAAAGTGAGCAGTTTAAAAAGTGTCAGTAAGGCACTTAAGCAGTTAAGTAATAATAATTAAAAGCAGATCTAAGTAGATACTTATTTGAGGGTCTTGACACTGAGACCTGAGATAAAACACAATATTTTTTTCCCCTTAGGGGGAAGCTGCCTTGTGCATCTCTGGATGAGTTGCTGCTCTGCTTCTTCTAGTCCAGTGGAGCAACCCCATTATTGGCACACTGAGAAAAACAGGCGGGTCAGGTCCCATCTGAGCAGTCCTGTGCCTAATTCTTACTCTTTCTTACATAAAAATGGGAGAAGAACCCAAAACCAACAGTCTATCTAATCCCACCAACCTGAGATGCTTATTGAAAAGCCACATATGGTAGGGTTGCCATATTCCCAAAAGTAAAAATCTGGACAAAGTTGTTCAGTGTTTTGGGGGTTAGGACATCTCCCAAATAAAAATAAGTTTTTTTCTGGATTTTCAAAGCATTTTTCTTTTTAAAAAAATCGCCCTAGTTGCTCGGAAACCTATGTCTAGCTTTCCGAGCACAATTCAAAGTGTTGGTGTTGACCTTTAAAGCCTTAAACGGCCTCAAAGGCCCAGTAGACCTGAAGGAGCGTCTCCACCCCCATCGTCCTGCCCGGACACTGAGGTCTGGCACCGAGGGCCTTCTGGCGGTTTCCTCATTGCGAGATGCAAAGCTACAGGGAACCAGGCAGAGGGCCTTCTTGCTAGTGGTGCCCGCCCTGTGGAACGCCCTCCCATCGGATGTCAAAGAGATAAACAACTACCTGACATTTAGAAGACATCAGGGAAGTTTTTAATGTGTGACATTTTAATGTATTTTTAATCTTTGTTGGAAGCCGCCCAGAGTGGCAGGGGAAACCCAGCCAGATGGGTGGGGTACAAATAATAAATTATTATTATTATTATTATTATTATTTTATTATTATCTTGTCTGTGTGGAACTGACTTCCCTTCCTAAATTCTAATGTGGAATGTATAGGATTTTCAGCACAGAGATGCTAAAGGCTAGACTAGCAGCCTTCCCTTGCACCCGGTACCCTCCAGACATCCAATTTCTTGAGCTTTCATCCTGATCTGCTTGTGCATACCTTTAATTGCGCACCCAGCATTAATTCTGATTTGTCTGCAGGGTGTTTATGCAATAGTTATTACTACGTTATTACTAGTTGTTACGCAATAACTATTACTATAACTATATATCTGGGTTTTCCCAGCCATTTTGCTAATTTGGTGAAAATCCGCCCATTTTGACAGTCCGATTAAAACTCCTTATGTATGGCAGCCCTAACATACAGGGCTGGACTAGCCATTCAAAGGTGTATTGTTCCTGGTGATGGAGGCTCATAGCTGTCAACTTACAGATTTGAAAATAAGGGACCAGCAACCTCAAAAATAAGGGATCAGCAGCCAAAATAAGGGATTTTCCGAACACAGGTATGTTCAACTTCTGAGCCCCTCCGAGCCAAAGGCAGAAAGCCCAGCCAGCAGCCAAACGAAGCCTCAAGCGGTGGTTCCCACGGCACAGCAACCCGGCAAAGGAGATGCAGCAAGGAAAACCACCGTCACCTCTCCGCTGGGAAGTGCTGAGCAAAGGCGAGTCCCCAGGCAACGTGGCCGATTTGATCGGCACAAGGCATGCAAGCTCCACCCCCCAGTCGTTCTTAGACTCCTTATTGGGTGAGCAACGCAGCCAAGCAACACAGTTGGAGCCTCCCTCCTCCCTGGCTGGCAGGGAGGGAGGGAGAGGAGCTGCTTCCTTTGAAACCCGGGAAATTTAAGGGACATCATCAATAAGGGACAGCAGTGGGACACGGCGCTGGGATAAGGGAGTTTCCCGCCAAATAAGGGATGGTTGACAGCTATGCTTCAAGTGGCAGTGAGTTCCACAGTTTTTAACTATGCACTTTGTGCCATTGACTTTCTATCCTCTGCCCTGAATCTTCCAGAAGCCAGTGTTGGGACTGATTGTCGGAAACCACAGGAGGGGAGAGAGGGCTTTTGTGCTTGGGAATTTCTTAGAGGCCCCAGGGTGACCAATTTGGGAGCAGAATTCTGGGCCTAAAAGGGCCACTGGCATACAGAAACAATGGGAATGCTTAAATGAATATTTATACAGGCAGGGCTCAAATATGAAAGTTTGGTTGTGCTTAGACTAACCTTGTGAAGAATACAGAGAACATGAAGATTTGACGGATTATGAAAGAACCTAAGGAAGGGAAATGATGGAAGAACAGATGTAAAAGCGAGCAAGATAACTAAGAGATGGTTATGGTAAATGTGGTGGAAGTCTTTTATAATATTTTAACTAGGCTTTATATATTGTAATGTTTGAAGCATGAATTTGGTAATATTATTGGTTATGAAAAGTATTGTTTTTTTGTCTTTTGTCTTTTTTTTAGTTTGCATTTTGGAAAACATGTATATAAATGTGTTTACAGTGTTATGTATTGTTCTTTGTTTCTCTTTTTCTTTTTTTTGTAAAATTCAATAAAAATTAAAATAAATTAAAATAAAATAAAAGGGCCACTGGCCTGATCCAAGAGAACTCCAGAGATCCTTTTCACCGCTCATTCAATGCAATTTGTGCTCATGATAGTTAGAAGGGTGTTTTCACCTAATCCTACTTCCAGTACTTTTTGTGCTTGCAAACGTTTTGGGGCAGACGTACTGCTTCGTTTCCACTTCGTGCATGCCCCATAACTTCCTGCTGAGATCCTTTTCATACCGCAAATATTCTGGGTTTTTTGTTGTTTTTTTAAATTGTCCCACTTTTGCTGCACTACAGTGCAGAAGTTGCCCCTCCAAATGGCAATAAAGACATAACCTTGGGAAAGTCTCCTTGGTCCTCTGCCCTTAACGGATTTAGAGCACTTTTTTGGGGGTCTGTTTCGGACTACAATTCCCATCACCACGCAGCCAGCACACCTGCTTCTGGGGTGCAACTCCCCTCGGTTGCCGTGCAAAACATCTGCAAGGCACTGGGGTGGCAGAGGGTGATTTAGAGTACAGTGGTACCTCGAGTTAAGTACTTAATTCATTCCGGAGGTCTGTTCTTAACCTGAAACTGTTCTTAACCTGAAGCACCACTTTAACTAATGGGGCCTCCTGCTGCCGCTGCGCCGCCGCTGCCCAATTTCTGTTCTTATCCTGAAGCAAAGTTCTTAACCTGAGGTAATATTTCTGGGTTAGCGGAGTCTGTAACCGGAAGCGTATGTAACCTGAAGTGTATGTAACCTGAGGTACCACTGTACTGATATTATAAGCAGCTTTGGACATAGAAGGCAGGGGGAAAGAGTCTCACAACCAAGCCCAGACTGCTCTGTGGGCACACTGTGCATTTCTTGTGTGTCTGGGATATAAGCAGGGCCTCTGGCTTACCTGCATTGCTTGCTGCTGTGCTGCAACATAGACACTCCAGAATTGCACATGGCAGAATGTCAGTTTCCAAAACATTCCTAGCCCTCACACTTGCAGAGGGAGCACAGTGGCCATGTTTGCTAAATCATAGAAAATACAAATGGTTGAAGAAGGGATTTAGGAAGTCCAGAGACATCTTCACCCAGTGTAGCACTGTGTCCTTCCTTGTGGATTCTGTTTAATCCCCCTGCCTTTTCTATACTTACCCTCTCCACTCCTGCATTTCTCAGTGAATCCTAGCCCATCCTTCTTAGCCACCCATGTGCAGAATTTCTTACAACTGCAGGCAGGGAAGACTTGCAATAGAGGAGTTATACTAAACTGCAAAGCACACATACAGTCATGCGTGACTTTTACACAATTTTCACGCAGTTTCCCGTACAGAAGTTCTTGTAGGAAACTCATCACACGTGAAGCAATACTTAACTCTGCTTGCTATGGCAGGGATTTGTTCAGTGGAGAATTCCAGAGCCCTTGACCATCCCACACCGATGCAAAAATTTGTACGATTTATCACAGCCCACCTTTAGCTAAACTGCTTTTGTGCTCTTGCCAAGGACCTGGTTGGGAGAAGCACCCTCTATTAGACGGTACATTCTAGTCCCCTTGCGGCCCATAACCACCTTTGGCCTTCCTGCCATGCAACAGTTGTCTTCTGCACCAAATATCCACCTTTTTTGGAATGTCTTGTGGGGTTTGTTGTTTTTAAGATTGAAGTGTTCCTTCACTCCTGCTTTCCTCTCCAGTCCAGCATCGGCTCCCCCTTTTTTGGTAGTCCCCTACGCCCACCACCGTGATGCCAGTTCTTCTACACCTTTGCCACTGCTCTGCTCATTTGGTCTATTGAACCATTTGCCCCCTTTCTGCCTACCATTAGTCTCTCTTTCAGGGCATTGCCCGTGATCTCAAGTGTCAAGTTGCCAGTCCTCCCTCTCTCCTCCTCCTGGTGCTATATTGCCATTCCGTCTTCCCTCTTCCTCCTCCTCCTCCTCTAGTCCCTTCCTCACCTGGTACTACGTCACCATCTTGCTCTCTTTTCAACTCCTTTCCCCCCACTTTGGTGCTATTTTCTCTCGTCACACATATTGCCCCTTCCCTCACGCACCCTTCGGTTTTATATAAATTGAAACCACCCTACTTGTTTTTATTTATAAAATAGTTTTATTTTTTATGTAACCTGAAGTACCACTGTACTTTTTAGCAAATCCTCAAACAAGAGCAGGATTTTATTTATTTATTTGTTTAAAATATTTGTATTAGTGTTAATTAAAACATCATATAAAAATAAACATTGAAAAGAAAATTTAAAAATTAAAAAACAACTGTAACACTTTTCATGCTATTTATATAACTAATATAATATTAAAATGTGGGATTTCTCAGATCCCTTGATTTCCCTCTCCCCTCTCCATGGTTCCGTTATTTCATTATTAGTTCATGCATGTCCAAATTGTATTCTCCATCTATTTGAATATAACTCTATCTTTCACCATAATATTGCAAATGTATTTCAGAATCCTGCTGATGTATCAACTTGTATACAAAGCTTTGATAGATATGCAATACGTAAATACTTCCCATTCGTTGCAAGAGCAGGATTTTAAAAGGAACATCCACTAGGGGTCATCTGGACACACCATCTCCCTCTCTCTCTCTGCATCTTAAGTGTAGGGCAGCTGTTCTTAAGCATCCAGACCGGACCTTTCTGTGTACCTTTCTGGGGGTCTCTCTTGCAGATGTATGGGACGCGGGTAGCACTGTGGGTTAAACCGCAGAGCCTAGGGCTTGCCGATCAGAAGGTCGGGGGTTCGAATCCCCGCGACGGGGTGAGCTCCCATTGCTCTGTCCCTGCTCCTGCCCACCTAGCAGTTCGAACGCACGTCAAAGTGCAAGTAGATAAATAGGTACCGCTCCGGCAGGAAGGTAAACGGTGTTTTCGTGCGCTGCTCTGGTTTGCCAGGAGCAGCTTAGTCATGCTGGCCACATGACCTGGAAGCTGTACGCCGGCTCCCTCAACCAATAAAGTGAGATGAGCGCCGCAACCCCAGAGTCGGTCACAACTGGACCTAATGGTCAGGGGTCCCTTACTTGCAGATGTGCTCCGCACACCTGAGGCTGACTTTCCTCCTATGCAACAGAAAACACGTAGGTGTTCACATCAGCAAATTAACCTTTGAACAAGTTCACTTCTGTTTGTAATGTTAACATAGGGGTATATCAGCAGCAGGGGGGTATGGCGTGTAGAGCAGGCATAGGCAAACTCTGCGCCCCCCCCAGATGTTTTGAGACTACAACTCCCATCATCCCTAGCTAACAGGACCAGTGGTCAGGGGTGATGGGAATTGTAGTCCCAAAACATCTGGAGGGCCGAGTTTGCCTATGCCTGGTGTAGAGAATAGAGAAATGTGTGGCATTGCTTGAGAGTCATAGGCCTGATGATCTCTGAAGGGCCTCTAGTTCCCCCATCCCAGGCACAGATTAGTCATAGAATCATAGAATCATAGAGTTGGAAGAGACCACAAGGGCCATCGAGTCCAACCCCCTGCCAAGCAGGAAACACCATCAGAGCACTCCTGACATATGGTTGTCAAGCCTCTGCTTAAAGACCTCCAAAGAAGGAGACTCCACCACACTCCTGGGCAGCAAATTCCACTGTCGAACAGCTCTTACTGTCAGGAAGTTCTTCCTAATGTTTAGGTGGAATCTTCTTTCTTGTAGTTTGGATCCATTGCTCCGTGTCCGCTTCTCTGGAGCAGCAGAAAACAACCTTTCTCCCTCCTCTATGTGACATCCTTTTATATATTTGAACATGGCTATCATATCACCCCTTAACCTCCTCTTCTCCAGTCGAGGGAGGGAAGCCCGTCTCGAAAGTGTCTGCGCAATTGTGATGGGGTGTTGTTAGCTCAATGAAAGTGTGTCTGTACATAGAGGAACCCCACCCTCTGTGAGTGATCCACGAACATGCTGAGCTCTGCAATTCATAGAATCGTAGAATCGGAAGGGACCTCCAGAGTCATCTAGTCTAACCCCCTGCAATGCAGGAATCACAGCTAAAGAATCCCTGACATTAAAGGTAAAGGGACCCCTGACCCTTAGGTCTAGTCGTGGCCGACTCTGAGGTTGCGGTGCTCATCTCGCTTTATTGGCCGAGGGAGCCGGCGTACAGCTTCCGGGTCATGTGGCCAGCATGACTAAGCCGCTTCTGGCGAACCAGGGCAGCGCACAGAAACGCTGTTTACCTTCCCGCCAGAGTGGTATCTATGTATCTACTTGCACTTTGATGTGCTTTTGAACTGCTAGGTTGGCAGGAGCAGGGACCGAGCAACGGGAGCTCACCCCGTCACGGGAATTCGAACCGCCGACCTTCTGATTGGCAAGTCCTAGGCTCTGTGGTTTAACCCACAGCGCCACCCACGTCCCTATCCTATATCTGTTTTATAAAAAACAACAACCCAGAAATGAGGGAGAAATTACCACCTTCCATGGAAGTCCATTCCACTACCGAACCGTTCGGAAAAGCTCTTCCTAATGTCTAGTCGAAATCTCCCTTCGGTTCAGGTCCTGCCCTCCGGAGCCGCAGAAAACAAGCTTTCTCCATCTTCCAGGTGGCAGCCTTTAAAATATTTAAAGATGGCTATTGCATCACCTCTGATTTTTAAAAAAGGAAATACATTGATCGGACAGACCTGCACGCGTTTTTAACATGCAGGGTGCAAGTTCCTGAGTGATTTTCAGTGGTTCTGCCTGGCTGAGGAAGTGGAGGGCTGTGAACTGGCCCCAGCTTTATTTATTTATTACATATATATTCCACCTTTCCTCCAGGTTCCTCAAGGAATCCTACATAGTCCCCCTTCTTCCTGTCTTATCCTGTCACAACCCTGTGAGGTAGCTCAGGCTAAGAGATGGTGACTGGGCCAAATTTCACCCACTGAGCTTCCTGGCTGAGCGGGGATTTGAATCCCTGAGTATAGGTTTGAAGCCTGGCTTCCCAGGTCCTAGCCCAATGCTCTAACCACTACACCACACAACCACCTCACCATTAGGCAGAATGAAGGCCCTCCCAACCACCCTTCTTTTAAACTCTGCGTTGGTGATGGTTTGCACTCAGGGTGGTTACACACAATCCTTTTATTACTGTTTGCACCTGCAACAGTTTGGGAGGCGGTCACTCCGATCGGTGCCTGTCCTGTAACTTCCTGCTGAAAATCCTGAAATCTTGGACAGCTGCTGCCAATCAGTGTAGAGAAAATAATAATAATAATAATAATAATAATAATAATTTATACCCCGGCCTCCCCAGCCAGAGCTGGGCTCAGGGCAGCTAACACCAATAAAATCACAGTAAAAACATAAGGGGGGGGGGGAAACCAATTTAAAATACAGGTTAAAATGCAATTTAAAATGCAGCCTCATTTTAAAAGTAGCCGATAGATCAAGACCATAAGGGGAGGGAAGACATAAGGGTCAGATTGAGTCCAAACCAAAAGCCAGGCGGAACAGCTCCGTCTTAGAGGCCCTGCAGAAAGATGTCAAATCTCACAGGGCCCTGGTCTCTTGTGACAGAGCGTTCCACCAAGTCGGGGCCAGTACTGAAAAGGCCCTGGCCCTAGTTGAGACCAATATAACCACCTTGTGGCCTGGGACCTCCAAAATGTTGTCATTTGTGGACCTTAAGAGCTAGCTGGGCCCCAGTGACCTAGCATGATCTACGGCAGCTCCTGATGTTCCGATGCACCAGCTCAGCACCTACAGGTGTAGTCATGCACCTATCTAATAGAGGTTTCACGGAATTATAGTGTCAGAAGGGACCCCAAGGGTCATCTAGTCCAACCCCCTGCAGTGCAGGGATCCCAGTGAAACCATCCTTGGTTTGCTTACTTGCTTGCTTGTTTCTGCACCCATAGATCTCATGGCAGTTCACAACCTAAACACACACACACGATGCATAATTAAAAATAAGAAGGCGAATAGAATAGAATTTTATTATTACGGTCACAGACCAGTTCCGGGTCACTTACAATATCAGGAAACTCATAAAACACAACAGGAATACATTGAATTGCAATTGGGTAACAGAGACAATTCAGATATAGCAGCAGTTAAAAAAATTATTAAATCTTGATCACTAAAATATAACCTAAAATTATCATTTTTAAAATTATAATTTTGGTAGTACAGCTTGTTCCCTAAGTTTTATGGCAGTCGCACAGAATTTGGCCACCCTTAGCGTGGTCTGTAGATCCTTGTCCTCTACCAGGAGTTTTAGCCATTGGCGTTCGGACCCATTTGGAGATTTTTGTATAACAGGAGGGATAAATACCGAGCGTGTATCCCCATAGAAACGAAAATAAGAAGGTGGGATTGCGGGGGTCAGACTAGAAGACCTTTGGGGGGTCCCTCCTCAGCTTCTACAGATTTTTTTCCCCCTCCCCGGCTACCTGCTCAGGAAAACCCGCTTCTCTCTCCGGGTGGGGTGGGAAGAAGGCGCTTGGCCAGGTACTGGGGTGGGAGTGGAAGGGACCCAGGCGTCCGAGGAGCAGGGCGGGGCGAGAGGGAGTCTGCCTCCATCCCGCCCAGCTGGTCCCCCGAGGGAGAGAGAAGGAAGGGGGGGCGGAGGGAGAGGGAGATCGGGGAGGCTGCGCAGACGCGCTCGCTGCCACCGCCGCCCTAGCCGGGCATGTGCCGGCTTCTGCCGCAGCCGTGATGGCCCAGGCCGGAGGGGAGGTCGCCCGGGAGCTGCAAGGTAGGGACCTGCCTTTTTTGGGGGGGTGGGGGTGGGATGGAGTGGAGAGATCCCCCCCCGCAGGGCTTCCCCTCTCCTCATCCATCCTCATCCCCGCAGCCCCCAGCACCATCCAGGGCACAATCTTTGGCGACCCCCCTCCTCCTCTCTCCATCCCTCCAGCAACACTCCTCACCCCTCAAATACCCCGGGGAGAAATGGTCTAAAGGGTTAAATCCACCACCCCCCATTTAAAACACCTGTGGGCCCCCCTCCCGCACGCTGCCTCCCCCCCCCCCCAATTCTAGCGCCCCATAAAAATTTAGGGCCACCCTCCCCAGTTCGCACCCTCCCCGGGGAAATCTCTCTCCCCCCCGGGTTTGGAAATATAGCTGCGTCCCTCTCATTCCCCCCCTCTCTCCAACAGGTGAATTGGCTCTTCCCAAAGCACCCCCCCTAATTCTCAGGGCGAGCAAATGGTTGCTGCCCCAGAAACGCCCCCCCCACATGGTACCCAACCCCATCACAGGGAACTACGTTGGCTCCTCTTATTATTATTCCTGCCCCCCATGGATGGAGGGCACTGCTCCATTCTCTCCCCCCCCCATAAAGACACTCCAAGGCTCCTAGCCCCTGCCCCACCCAGGTCAAGATCCCCCCCTCCCTCAGTGCAAGGAAAAGGTCTCCCCTCCTTTTCTACACCTAGACACCCCCTCTTTACCTTCAGTCGCCTCCCAACCCAGTTCCTAGGATGTGACCACTGTGATGCAGGCTCTCCCCACAGATATACTCACCCCCCCAGCTGAACCTCCAAGCTGTCTCTCTGCTTCTCTCAACACCCCCCCACCCAATTAAATCCCACCGTCTTCCCAACCTACCTATCACCTTCCTGTCATTCCAGCTCCAGGGATAATCCAAAAGTCCGTGGGGAGCAGTGTGTAAATCCTACCTGCCCCCCATCACCCCACTTCTTTCCTCCCCCCCCCTTGAAAAATACCTCCCTCAACCCCAAACCTTCCCTCCCTCCAATCTCCTGCAAGCTCTCATCCAAGGGGAATGCCCCCCCCCTTGCAATTGCTTTTATGGCCATTGCAATTCATTTCTCTGCAAACGCCCCCCCCCCTGCACAATTCCCTGTTCAGGGGCCTGGATTTTCCCCTGCCCACCCCCTTCCCTGGTACTTAAGCCCCTTCCCATCTCTCTCTCTCTCACACATAACATTCAATCTTGCAGGCTGTATCACTTAATGGCTCTTCAGGAGATAGCTGGGTCTCCCCTGGGGAGGGGGGAGGGCCAGAACTCCTGGGTTCTTTCCAGGGGTAGAGTAGAGTGGGGGTGGGAGGTATGGGGTGGCCCTGATCCAGGACTCCTGGGTTTCCGCGCTGGGAAAGGGAGCTGTTTCTCTGTATCTGCTCACACTTCCTGCTTGCTATAATAGTTGATTTATTGCTGAAGGCTGCCTGTGGGTTAATGGGTTGTCTCTTGAGGCTGTATAGGCTCTGGTGTGCCTCTCTCTACACACACACACACACACACACACACACACACACACACACACACTCTTCCTGCTGTTGTCACTCCTGGCGTGTCCCTGCTTGGATATCTGGGAACAGAGAGGAAGAGAAGGTGTCGAGACACAACTGGGATGGTGTGTTTGTGTGTGTGTGTGTTTTGCCATATCCCTTTTGTGTGCATGCGTGTGCACACACCCACACACCAAGGATCTCCCCAGGAGTCAGAGAGAAGCACGCAAAACCATGCACGCAATCCTGCACCCCCCCCACTTGAAAATGAAAAACACCATTGACACACCCAAAGTTCAAGTGAATTTCTCATCTGCCTATCTACTACTTTGATCCGCTGAGCCGTGGTGGGTCATAGGAGAAGCTGGCTGCTAGCAGCTCAGACTGCTTGCCCCCCTCCAGCCCAGGATTATGGACTCTGGCTGAAAGCTCTTTTCCAGGGTGTCAGGTGGGGCGGGGGGGGAGAGAGGTCTTTCTGCCCCCCCCCATTATTACCTGGTCTCTGAACCTTTGGAGGGGCCTAAAATGGGCCCCTCCCCAAATAGATCTGAGCCCAACAAATGCCATTCCAAACACCCACCCCGTGACCCATATATCCACATAATCTGGCCTTGCCCAAGCGACCCACAGTTTTCTCACAGGGGTCGGCTCCCTCCTTCCCGATCTCTGTTTCCATTTGCCAGCCTGTCTTTTTAAGGCCGGGCTTCGATGTTAGTCCTACTCAGAGGAGACCCATTGAAATGAACAGGCCTCGGTTTGCCCCCAATCCCATCTGTTTCTTGAGTGTGCGAAAGGGAACAAATTGAAGGAAGCTTATCCTTTTTTTCTTTTTTACAATGCTTTCTCTGGTCAATTTCAGTTGCAAAAAAGAGAGAGCGAAAAAACCTGTGTGTGCGTGTTTATGTGATGCTTATGAATGTTCTAGATGATAGCAGGAGAAGCTGCGAGCGCCTTCGGCATCTTCACACACACACACACACACACACACACACACACACAATGCAACCGCTTTGCTTCACGACAACAGCAACGAATAAACACATCTTCGCTCCAGAAGGAGAGCTTCCGGGGCTTATGCTTACGACTTCAGAAATCCAGTTTCCCATCTTGGCCACGTGGCGAGGCGGAAGGTGCTCTCTGCACGTGCTCAGAGGCATTCTCTCCCCTTGCAGTCACTGCACAGAGCCCAGCAGCAGGTGTTAAGTAAACACCGTGTTGCTGCTTTCGCCTTCTGCATTCATAAAAACCAGGCAGTAGGGCATGACACACTTGGAAGGTGCAAAGGCGATGTCACACTTCTTCCTGGGATTTCTCTCTCTCACACACACTTTCACACACACACACACACACAGCCTGCCAGATAGTAAATAAAATGAATGGAGACTCCTGTATTTAAAGAGGCGGGCACACATGACTGCTGTGTCTAAATGGCTGCTTTCAACTCCCCTCAAAATGAGCGGGTGGAACTCAAGACGGTGACAGAGCAGACTGTGTCACTTCACTTGGCAGAGAGGGGGTGCTGCTATTCTATTCCCCCCCCCAAACACACAGGAAGGTGCCATTTGTCCACCTAGCTGAGTAGGTCTACACCACCGTTCTTCAACCTTGGGTCCAAAAACGCTGTTGGACTACAAAGCCCATCATCCACAGCCAGCTTAGGCAGCGGTCATGGATCATGGGAATTGTAGTCTAACAACATCCGGGGATCCAGTAGGTTGCATGACACCCAAAAGATGCTTCATGAAGCCATGACTCATTGGTGGGGAGGCTGTGGCCCCCCGAAGCGTGTTTGACCACAACTCCCATCGTCCCCGAGCTGTGGGGCACATAGCGTCCAAAATGTTATTTAAGGTAACTTACTATATTCCTGAATCGGACCTAGACCAGGAAGGGAGCCCTCCCCATCATTCCTTTAAAAGAAATTCACTGTTAATTTATCGCTTGCACATTTAACAAGGGACAGAGAAAATGAAGAAACGAGGTGAATTAAAAAAGAAAAGGGAAAGGGAACGCAATCATAATAATATGCAAAAAAAGTACTAACTACAGCAGTAAAATATTGGAGGCAGGAATCCTTCTGAATGCCAGAATGCCACAGGAGAGGAGAGGGATCTTGTGTTCAAATCCTCCTTGCAGGTTCCCCACAGGCTTCTAGCTGGCTGCCGTGAGAACAGGGCACTGGGCTGGGGGTGGCCATAGGCCTCATCTAGCAAGCCTTCCTTATTTTCTTAAATCGCCCTGCGGACACAGCAACCATCCAGACACGGATCTTAAATTGAACATCAGCCCTCCAGGCGCCATAGAGGGATCCAAACAAGTTTGATGTCTACATGAAACAAGTCGCCGAAGCGCTGAGGCCCTCAGACCATTGTGTGATAGTTGGCGGGTGCTTATCCTTCCAACGCATAACTCTCGGAGCAAAGTCCCTTCTGTTGTCCCATCAGCCATGACGACTGAGGCTGACGGGGGTTCCTCAACCACCCCACATGCCTCCTCTGCCTAATGACAGGACCGGCTCTGGCCCAACCTAAACAGAATGCTCTGAAAAGACTGGAAGTTTTGTTTCTGGCCTTTTCCCTAATGATTCCCTGTGTGAAGTCCGTCTTTTTCAGAGCTGCCCCTCTCTGGGTTGGCATTTTCATTCAGCTATTCACCGTGACCCTGAGTTCCCTTCTTGGGCAGTCGCCACCAGCCCAGGCCCCTGTCAGTGCATATTTGAGGGGGGGGGGTTTACATCCCTTTACATTTACATTGTATTTCCTTTCCCATTTTAACCCCCACCCCCCCGGTTTAGAAAAATCCTTTTGGAGCATCTTACCATCTTTTTAGGGTTGCGGGTGGCACTGTAGGTTAAACCACAGAGCCTAGGACTTGCCGATCAGAAGGTCAGCGGTTCGAATCCCCACGACGGGTTGAGTTCCCGTTGCTCGGTCCCAGCTCCTGCCCACCTAGCAGTTCGAAAGCATGTTAAAAGTGCAAGTAGATAAATAGGTACCGCTCCGGTGGGAAGGTAAACAGTGTTTCCGTGCGCTGCTCTGGTTCGCCAGAAGCGGCTTAGTCATGCTGGCCACATGACCCGGAAGCTGTACGCCGGCTCCCTCGGCCAATAAAGCGAGATGAGTGCTGCAATCCCAGAGTCGGCCACGACTAGACCTGATGGTCAGGGGTCCCTTTACCTTTACCTTTACCTTTACCATCCTTTTAGGTACACGGGTGGCGCTGTGGGTTAAACCATGGAGCCTAGGACTTGCCAATCAGAAGGTCGGCAGTTCGAATCTCCAGCCACTCTAGGCAGCTTCCAACAAAATATTAAAATACAGTAATGCATCAATATTAAAATATACAGAGCCTAGGACTTTGCCGATCAGAAGGTTGGCGGTTCGAATCCCCGCGACAGGGTGAGCTCCCGTTGCTCGGTCCCAGCTCCTGCCCACCTAGCAGTTCGAAAGCACGTTAAAAGTGCAAGTAGATAAATAGGTACTGCTCCAGTGGGAAGGTAAACGGCGTTTCCATGCGCTGCCATGGTTCGCCAGAAGCGGCTTAGTCATGCTGGCCACATGACCGGGAAGCTGTACGCCGGCTCCCTCGGCCAATAAAGCGAGATGAGCGCCGCAACCCCAGAGTCGGTCACGACTGGACCTAATGGTCAGGGGTCCCTTTACCTTTACCTTTACCATCCTTTTGGGGGGGTGTCACCTGCAAACGTGGGTCGCCTCACTGCTGACCCCTAAGTTGAGCAAGTTCAAAAGCACAAGTCCCCCTTCAGATCCTTAGAGGACACCTACTTCCTACTTCCCTCCGTTGTGAGAACTGTGAATTTGTGCTTCCTGTTCTTTAGCTAGTTCTCCATCCCTACTCATCCTCTCACTCGGTTGCTCCTAAGATTACGAAAAAACCTTTGGAACTTGTTGAAAACTCTTTTAAAGTCCAAGTGCACAATGTCTACCCAATCAACACTCTCCTCGTGCTTATTGATACCCTCAAATAACCCCAAAATGTTAGAGAGGCGGGACTTCCTGTTACGGAAGCCATGCTGCTTTTTCTTCAGCAAGGCTTGTTCTTCTTCGTGCCTGATCATCTGAGGCCTTCTGCCAGTTTACCTGGAATGCCGCATTAAGCTAACTCGTCTGTAATTTCCTGGATGCTCCCTAGATCTCCTTTAAAAATTTTTTTAAAAATCAGTGTTAGATTGGCTACTTTCCAGTCCTCTGATATGAAGACAGACCTAGGATCAAGTTAACATATTTTTGTTAGAGGATCAGCAGTTTTGCATTCAAGTTCTTGGGTGGATGCTATGTATCTCTACGGAATGATTTGTCAATTGTTCGTTTTGCCAAACCTCTGCTTACCTGACACAAAATCGGTTTTTCAGATCCCACCCCACAGAAAAATGGGTTCAGACGTGTGTGTGTGTGTGTGTGTGTCCTACATCATCTTAAGTTAGACACAGATTAATCCTGCTTTTCTATAACCTCCATGTCCTGTCCTTTCGCTCCCTTGCTGCCTAGTGGTCTAGCCACCCCAGCCCCTGATGCTTTAAATACCGTATTTTTCGCTCTATAAGACGCACCAGAGCACAAGACGCACCTAGTTTTTGGAGGAGGAAAACAAGAAAAAAAATATTCTGAATCTCAGAAGCCAGAACAGCAAGAGGGATCGCTGCACGGTGAAAGCAGCAATCCCTCTTGCTGTTCTGGCTTCTGGGATAGCTGCGCAGCCTGCATTTGCTCCATAAGACGCACACACATTTCCCCTTACTTTTTAGGAGGGAAAAAGTGAGTCTTATGGAGCAAAAAATACGGTATACTGTTTTGGTTGGCCTTAATACCTTTATCAATATGCTGCCCAGATTTCCTCTTCACTTCCTTGCTCGCCAACGTCACATTTGCTTCTCCAGGTTTTGTGCTTCTTCTTTTTCTGTTCTCCGCAGTTGGGCAAGCCTTCAGGTTTTTTTTGAAAGAAGCCTTTCTTCCCCTTTTCATAGCTTCCTCGATGCTGCTAGTTAACCACATTGGCATCCGCTTCAACTTGACAGCATTAAAAAAAAAAAAAATAGCTTAAGCTTCTACTAGGGTGGTTTTAAATAAGCTCTGTGCAGTTTGGAGAGATTTTGCTGGATTTATCTCCCCTTTCAGCTTTCTTTCTATCGCCTCCCTCATTTTGGAGAAGTTTATTCTTTTGAAGTCAAATGCGACTGTGCTTGGAATCATATCTGGCTGTTGTCTGCTTGCGTTTGTGTTGAATTGCATTGCTGGTTGCTGCTTCCATTCGGTTCAACGATATGCCCATCTCATACCAGGTTCTAGGTGCTACTTCAATTATTATTATTATTAATATTAATTAAAATTTTATACCGCCCTTCATCCAAAGATCACAGGGCAGTACGCAACATACTGTATTTTTCGCCCTATAGGATGCACTTTTCCCCCTCCAAAAATGAAGGGGAAATCTGTGTGCGTCCTATGGGGCGAATGCAGGCTTTCGCTGAAGCGTGGAGAGCGAGAGGGGTCGGTACGCACCGACCCCTCTCACTCTCCACGCTTCAGGAAGCTATCAGCAAGCCTGGGGAGCCTGCGGGAGTTCCCACAGGGCTCCCTAGGCTGCGGATAGCAGCCTGCTGCCCAGATCGCGGGGCGCGCTGAAGCAAAGCGCCCCGCGCTTCGGGCAGACATCCGCGGCTGGGGGGGGATAATTTTTTTCCCTTTATTTCCCCCCCAAAAAACTAGGTGCGTCCTATGGGCCGGTGCGTCCTATAGGGCGAAAAATACGGTATTAATATATAATGGTCAGGGGTCCCTTTACCTTTACCTTAGGGCTCAAATTATTTTTCCGATTCAGTATTCCTACTCACAGTAGGTATAAGAGGTAATTTAGGTCATACCTGCACCATGAGCCAAAAACCCGGTCATAGCAGTCCTGGGGAATCCTGGCAAGTGTAGTTTGTTAACCTTGCTGGGAATTGTAGCTCTGTGAGGTCAGCAACCATCCACAAACTACAGTCCCCAGGAGTCTTTGCGGGACGTAGAGAAGCTGTGACAAAGTGGTACAAGAGCGCTCTAAATGGATGTTGTGTCTGTGATGGACTGATGCTAGAGAGGCAACTTACACACCATCCGAAAACAGGATAAAAGAGGGTTTAGATTTGTGTAAAATCTGTATATTCTGATTCATATGCAAGTTTAGAAAGAATTGCTGTAATTTAGATAGAAGTGTGATCCATCTCGTCATAGTGGGGGAAGCTATGTTTGTTGTTGAAGTGCTAACTGTTGATGGGCAATTTTGCTCTCCCTTCTTAGGGTTTTGTACTGGTTTTGTACTGGACAGCCTTTCAGATAGAGGAGCGCCTGTTTAAAGTAGGGCAGCCAGCCTCAGTTGCTTAATACTACTACTAATAAATTTATTATTTATACCCCGCCCATCTGGCTGGGCTTCTCCACCCACTCTGGGCAGCTTCCAACAAAATATTAAAATACAGAAATGCATCAAACATTAAAAGCTTCCCTAAACAGGGCTGCCTTCAGATGTCTTCTAAAAGTCTGGTAGTTGTTGTTCTCTTTGACATTGGGTGGGAGGGCGTTCCACAAGGCGGGTGCCACTACCGAGAAGGCCCTCTACCTGGCTCCCTGTAACTTGGCTTCTCTCAGGGAGGGAACCGCCAGAAGGCCCTCGGCGCTGGACCTCAGTGTCGGGGCAGAACGATGGGGGTGGAGACGCTCCTTCAGATATACTGGACCCAGGCCGTTTAGGGCTTTAAAGGTCAGCACCAACACTTTGAATTGTGCTCGATGTGCTCCTCACTCCTCCTCTGACCTGCCAAATTCTCTTTCCCGTCGACGATTTCCTAAAGCGAACCAGGAAACCGTGGTTTGCGAACCAGCCGTGGTCTCAAGGCATCCAGGGCCGGCTAGTCTCAGTGCAGATGCAACAGTAAACTGTGGTTATAGCAAACTATGGGAGGGAGAAGGGGAATTTGCATGTTAGGTGGGAAGAGGAAAGGGGAGCATGCAAGCTTCTGCCACATTCCTGCTTGTGAAACCATGGTTTGGCGTGCAGAGAGGATTGCCCCTGAAACCAGATCGCTATCACCGCCAGAAGAGTCTCGGCTCTTACAGCTTCACATCTGAAATCCCGAGACCTGCAAAATGTCTCAGCCCACGCTGCTCCTTGATGCGCCAGCACGGAGGAATAATTTATAAAGATGCCATCAGTAATCCAAAACACGGACCTCTCTGCTGGGACTGGCTCTTAAAGAGCGTTCAGGAAAATGCAGATGTGTGCGGCGCAGAGCAAATAGGAATCCATCTCAAATCACCCCCCACCCCCGTCTCACATGTACAGCGCTAATGCTGCTTTTAACCAAAGCACACCAGCTCTAAGCGCCCATTTAAATCCCCTAATCCGGCTCAAAACAAAATTGCAAAGGTGACCCTACCAAATCACTAAAAGGACACGCCGCAGGTTGGTGTTGCTGTGTGTATATTTTTTTATTAAAAGGCTGCAGGCATCTGCCAGGGCTTTCGGTGTGAAGCAAAGGGGCGTTTGTTGCCTCAAGCCTTACGATATGCATTGGCAAAACTTCCTCCCGCCTTGAGGTTTTGTTGCCCAAGTGCCTCTCTGGGTGTTTTTGTGTGTTTTTTTGTGGGGGAGTGGGATGGGTTGCTTCTCCCCCCCCTTTTTTCTTGAGACATAGCACAGTTCAGACAGGAAGAAGCCAAGACATGGAAATCTAAAAATGAACACCGTTTCCCCCTTTCCCTGAGCATAATTGCTCACGAGAGAAATTAGGTCACAGCACCCCAATCCTAGATGCTGCTTCTTCTTCCTCCCAAAAAAGGACACTGTGAGGGTTGCTGCTGTTGCGATCTATTTGTCCCGCCTTCGCGCTGAGAAGCACTGGGGCCAGGATTTGGGGAGGGGGCTTGGCACCCTCTGATGGGGTATAGAATCATAGACTCATGGAACCATAGGCTTGGAAGGGACCCCAAGGGACATCTAGTCCAACCCCCAGCAATGCAGGAATCTCAACTAAAGCATTCATGAGAGATGGCCTCCCAACCTCTGCTTAAAAACCTCCAAGGAAGGAAAGTTCGCCACCTCCCGAGGGAGGCCAGCTCCTTACTGCCGGAAAGTTCTTTTTGATGTTTCGTTGGAATCTCTTTTCTTGTAACTTGAAGCCATGGGTTCGAGTCCTACCCTCCAGAGCAGGAGAAAACAAGCTTGCCCCACCTTCCACATGACAGCCCTTCAGATATTTGAAGATGGCTGTCGTATCTCCTCTCAGTCTCCTCTTTTCCAGGCTAAAGATACCCAGCTCCTTCAACCGTTCCTCATCAGGCTTGGTTTCCAGACCCTTCATCATCTTGGTTGCCCTCCTCTGCACACACATTCCAGCTTCAATCCTGGCACCCAGAACTGGGCACAGTGATCCAGCTGTGGTCTTGAGCAAGGCAGAATTTGGGCGGCGCTATTACTTCTCTTTATCCGGACGCTATACTTCTGCTGATGCAGCCTAGAATAGCATTAGCTATTTTGGTGATGCATCACAGTGTTGACTCATGTTCAGCTTGTGGTCCACCAAGACCCCTAGAATCCTTTTCACATGTACCGCTGGCAAGCCGGGTGTCCCCCATCTTATATTTGTGCACCTGGTTCTTCCTGCCTAAGTGCAGAACCACCTGACATTTGTCCCTACTGAAATTCGTTTTGTTCGTTTGGGCTCCAGTTCTCCAACCTATTAAGGCCACCTCGAATCCTGATTCTGTCTCCTGTGGCGTTGGCTACCCCACCCAGTTTGGTGCCACCTGCAAATTTGATGAGTATCCCCTCAATTCCTATTTTGGGAGAGCTGGCACCTAGCAGGCCACACCTGCTCGCCTCTGATTCTCTGTGCAAAGTGGAAATTGTTGCACCCTTAGGGTGGCAGACCCTGGCAATAGTCTCACCATACCACTTTCTTGAGCTTGGCCCTGCCTCCAAGGAGCTGTGGGGAAAGTGCACGGTTCCCCCCCACTTCAGGCTGGGCTGAGAGAATGAACGTGAGCGGCTCAGGGTATTGAAAGAGGCCGAGTCAGACCGATGAATCACACAGATTCAGCAGCCATCTTCCCCTGGGGACGGGTGTTTGGTGCCCGTAATACCCATTACACAGTTTGGGATGTAGCTGGTGATTCGAGAGATTGATGGCAGAGATGGGCTATCGTTGGCTAACAGCTAAACCAGGTGATTCAAAACATCAGCGATCAGAAGCAAGATGCTTCTGAACAGCTGTTGCTGCAGGAGACCTCTGCTCACTTGTGGGAGAAGAAAAGTCTCAGGAGTAATAATAATAATAATAATAATTTATTTATACCCTGCCCAACTGGCTGGGTTTATCCAGCCACTCTGGGCGGCTTCCAGCGGAATATCAAACTACAATAACCTATTAAACATTAGAAGCTTCCCTAAACAGAGCTGCCTTGATTTTTAGAAGACATCTGGTCTTCTAAAAATCTGGTAGTTGTTTTTCTCTTTGACATCTGGTGGGAGGGCGTTCCACAGGGTGGGTGCCACTACCGAGAAGGCCCTCTGCCTGGTTCCGTGTAAGTTGGCTTCTTGCAGCGAGGGAACCGCCAGAAGGCCCTCGGCGCTGGGCCTCAGTGTCCGGGCAGAACGATGGGGTGGAGAGGCTCCTTCAGTAAACCATACACAAATCCGGAGTCCTTAAGACGGTTGGATGGTGCCTTGTTCACCTCCTTCCAGCAACTCCTGCAGCTGAGTTGGTGCCCAACGCCTTGCTCTGCTTTCCTTTGGACCACATCAGCGAGACTGGCAGGGGGGTCTTGTCATCTGGGCAGCCCAGGACCTCCAGACACCCTGGCCAGGCTTGTGTGCCAGGGAGGTCACTTTTGTGCTGCTAGTGCGGCTGTTTGTGACTTCACCCCCGGAGGTACACTTCATTGTCTCTGGAGACAGACAGATGCCAAGCACGCAAGCTAAAGATCACCCAGCGCATAGTTCAGCTATGGAATTGGTTCCCACATGGTGTGGTGATGCCATCAACTTCAGGCGAAAAGAGGATCAGAGAAATTTATTCTCACGTTCTTACACCTAGATATACTGGAGGGGTTGTGCCTCAGACCCTAGACGCTTGTCGTGCGAAGCCCAGTGGCCTGTTGCAGAGCTATGGCCCGTCCCCCTGTTGAGGGAAGGCCATGCTGTGTACGCTCAGAGGCACTCTTTTTGCTGTCCGCTCTGCGTGTGCTCAGGAGATGAATCCTGGGTTTCTTGGCTACTTACGGCCGGATGGAAAGAGGGATTCTTCAGATGAACAGTTGTGAGAATGGCGCTAGGTGGTTGTCGTGAGCTCTCAGTACAAAAATAGGATTGGGGTCAGCAAACATTTTCAGCAGGGGGCCGGTCCACTGTCCCTCAGACCTTGTGGGGGGCCGGACTATATGTTGCCATGATTATGACCTGCATTTTTGGCAAAAACACTTACTGGGACCAACCCCAATGTTGCCCGAAAGCGATATTTTTTTGGGCGGGGGTGTTCCCTCATACACCCAGGCTGCTTCCTTTGCGTTTTATGCGTTGACAGTTATTATTTCTCTCGTAAGGAGGGGTGGGGGGCTGAGGTGAGCGCGCCATTCCCGTCAGCCCTGGAAAGTGTGCACACATGTGTGGGTGAAGGGAAAAGCCGTTGGCCACGCTAAGTCAGACCGGCGCCGCTCAAGCAAAAACGTTCTTTTCCCCGCGTGAGAGAAGACGAGGCGGCGGCTATTTACCTTTCCATGGCTCACACCGTGTAGCTAACAAGCGCCCCCCCCCAGCAGAGCGCATAAGTGCTTGGGAGTGCAGCCGCCCAGGCGCTCCCTGCTTCCTCTGGCGGGGAGCACCGCCGCCACAGACACCAGCGGGTGTTGCTTCCGAGGCGCCTCCGAGCCCCTGTCGCTGTAGCTGCCCTTCCTGAGGTCAGTCGCCCACAGCTCCATGGTGGAAATCCGAACTGTGGCTCCTTTCCCCTCTTCCCCACCCTGGAAGAAAAGATTGCTGTGCGAGTGCGACGGACGGAGAAGGTGCCTGTCTCAAGCAGCCGTCCTCCTCACTTTTGACCCCCAAGCCTGGCTGAGTCGCAAAAACCATGGTGCGCGCACTATGCTGGCTGCCTGGATTCCCAGACCGTCCGTGGGCTGGATCTAGAAGGCAATTGGGCCTGACCCGGCCTGTGGACCTTAGTTTGCTGACCCATGAGTATGATCTTGTGCTAAAGCAGCGGTTCTCAACCTGTGGGTCCCCAGATGTTGTTGGACTACAACTCCCATCACCCCTAGCTAGCAAGGCCAGAGCTCAGGGATGATGGGAGTTGTAGTCCAACAACATATGGGGACCCACAGGTTGAGAAAGGGTGTGCTAAAGGAAGGCACTGATCCTAATCTATGGGGATGCTCATAACTGCAGAGCGGTGACTGCCCAGGCAAGAGGAAGGAGTTCGGGAATCCCAGGCAGACTAGAAGGGGTAAACGAAGGCAGGGATCAGCACCTTGGAGAGCGATCTAGGTGTGAGTTTCAGAACCATGGCCAGCGATCCTGCAGCAGAAGTAGGGCATGCATGTTGTCTCAGCAGAGCAACGGGCAGAGGCCTTGAGCTATGCGTTTACTGACTGAGGCTCTGCCCCCTGAGAGTTGCGTTGGGCCAAGTAAAGAGCTGCTGCCTTCCTCTTTGACCAGCGGTTGGAGGGTGCAGAGAACCTCTTTCACTCTGAGGACTGTGTTCCATGGTGAGCAGCCCTCGGGTTGTGGGCGGGGCCAGAGGCAGAAAGTGGGCGGGATGACAGAGGCATCTCTTTCTTTCGTGTAGTTGGTGACTGTGCAGCCATGAAAAGGCCAGCGGTTCCTACAACCCCTATGTTTATCTCTCCCATTCTTCATTCAGGCAAGCAAGAGGTATTGTCACACACCCGGGGAGGCTCCCGAAGGCCGGATAGAGAGAGCTGGAGGGCCACATTCCCATCCTGCCCAAGATCTTGGGGCTTCATAGAATTGTTGAGTTGGAACAACTCATCTAGTCATCTAGTCCAACCCCCTGCAATACAGGAATCTCAGTTCTCAATTCAAGCTGTGCAGATGTCTCCTCCGGGTTCTTCTGCTCCTTCAAACAGTCTGTCATGCCCTCCACCAGCTCCAGTCAGCATCCCCAATGGTCAGGGAGAATGGAAACTGTAGTTCAACAGCGTCCGGAGGGGACCCTGCTGGCTTCCTTGGAGCTGCGCACTCCTATGCTGGAGGCCTGGTCTATTGGTGGAAGCCACGACACTTAGGCCAGTTTGAAAAGCCGTGAGGAAAATGGCCTCCAAATGGCATGGCCACTCCTAGTGCTGCTACTTGCCTTTTATATTCCTTGATCTTGCCAACACTCTCCCTAATGGTCTTCAGCCAAATTTGATTTCCCATCTAGGCCTCGCCAGCAGTGATATTGGTTTCCTTTTCCCTAAGATGGGGAAACCACCCAGGGGGGAAGCGGGTTTGATATTGCTGGAGCGTAAGAAGCCGTCTCGGGTAACATTAGTTTTTCCACCACACTGGCTTGGATCTTGTCCCAAAATAACAAGCTGAGGAATCAGACTGTAGTAATATCGCAGGCTAATTTCTTAGCAGAAGGTGTATTGTCCGATCTTCATGTCATCTCTAAAACAGATGGCAAACAGTCATTGCTCTGCGGGGAAGGGGAGAACTCTGCATTTGCTCAGAGGCATATTATCATTATCATTATCATTATTATTATTATTATTATTATTCACTCATTCATTCATTCATTCCCTATGGGGAAGGGCTTTTAGCTCAGAGCATGGAGCATCTATTTTGCAAGCAGAAGGTCTCAGGTTCAGTCCCTGATAGGACTGGGAGAGAGCCATGCCTGAAACCTCCAACAGCGGCTGCCAGTCAGTGCAGACAGTACTAAACTAGAGCTAGTGTAAGGTAGCTTTCCATGATCTTATATTGTTCCATTGTCGTTAGCGGTATTTAGCTATCATTATTATTCTCAGTATTGCGCGGATTAATCAATCAAGCTTTAGTTTGAGTCGGAATCCGCTCATTCTCTCTTTGTCGTTTTCGTCCTGGGGTCCTGGGGAACCCCACCCAGTGTGGAAATGTTGTAAGGGGAGAAGATTCACCAGTGGGATTTCTGCCTGTCGTGCAGCTGCTACGTAGAGGTAACATGAAGCAGACTGAGCCACTTGTTGGACTCTTGTCCGCCCAAGCCGGCATGACCATTGGAGTAAGGCATTATGGGAGCTGTACTTCAGGGCAGGGCAATCTTAAATAAGGCCCATTAGTAAGCCCGACTGACTCACTAGCAGAGATGTGGGGCACAGATTTGTTTCGTTTCTCTCTTGTTTCTCCCCCCCTTCCTATTAAGTTTTATTGTAATTTTATTCATGTTAGCTGCCCTGAGCCCGGTTCTGGCCGGCGAGGGCGGGGTAAAAATAAAAAATTATTATTATTATTTATTAAATGCAACCCTACCTAATTTATTCTTTCCAAAACAAGAGGCCGTCTGAAACACAGCCATGGACTTCATGGCAGGGTGTGGATTTGAACCCGGGTCTTTGCAAGCTCGGGACGCAGGTGGCGCTGTGGGTTAAACTACAGAGCCTAGGGCTTGCCGACCAGAAGGTCGGCGGTTCGAATCCCCGCGATGGGGTAAGCTCCCGTTGCTCGGTCCCTGCTCCTGCCCACCTAGCAGTTCGAAAGCACGCCAAAGTGCAAGTAGATCAATAGGTACCGCTCCAGCGGGAAGGTAAACGGCGTTTCCGTGCGCTGCTCTGGTTCGCCAGAAGCGGCTTAGTCATGCTGGCCGCATGACCCGGAAGCTGTACGCCGGCTCCCTCGGCCAAATAAGCGATATGAACCCAGAGTCAGCCATGACTGGACCTAACGGACAGGGGTCCCTTTACCTTTACCTTTGCAAGCTCTCATCCAACACTAACCGCCATGCCATGCATCACGCAGCCTGGCTCGATGGCACGAGTCGCCTGTAGTTATTTGCTCCGTTCCACCATGTTTTTTTCCTTTTGGTTTGGGCCGATCGGGTAGGGGAGCTAGTATGGCGTGTGAATTGCGGACCTGCATTTAGACACGACCGAGGGGGCTTCAACCGGCCCTGATCATCTCAGAAAGACATAGCCGACCTGGGAGCTTTGTGGGCCTCACAACGCCTGTGTGTGAGGGGTGGTGGTAGGGAAAACCTCAGGGAGGCCTCGAAGCCTCTTTCCCTTCTCCAGAGGAACTGGGTCCTCCCTTCCTCAGCTGTCAGGACCAATTTGTCTCGGCCGCCAGGCCTGTCACCTCCAATGCTTCGCCCCAGTTCCCTGCACACCCAGCCGAGGACACCACACACACAAAACACACACACACACAAACACACACTCATTCTCTTTCTCTCAGCTCACACCAGACAGAGGCGGCCGGTGGCCTCAGTTTACCCCGAGGCGTTGTGAGTCGGAAAGAAGCGGTAGTGGGGGACGGTTTCATTCTGTATGCTTTTGCTTGGCTGAAGCGGAGAAGCTACCCGGAGCAAAGCCATTGATTGAACGGTGCCTGCCTGCCTCTGGCGGGTCGATCCGAGCTCCTGAAAAGTCCTCCCTTCAGCTCCCAGGACAACGCGATGGAGCAATGCCATGAAGAGAATTCCCCTGGGCATGCGCAGAAGGCCTTCCTCTACTCCACGTCGCTCCTTAACACATTTGGGACCCCCGGATCGGGGAACGTAATTTGCAGGAGCCCTTGACCCCCCCAGGACCTTTAGAAACTATGTGTAGGGTTTAATTTGATCAAGAGTGCAACATCTGAAGGCAGCCCTGTTTTTAATGTTTAATACTGTATTGTGGTTTTTAATATTCGGTTGGGAGCTGCCCAGAGTGGCTGGGGAAACCCAGCCAGATGGGCGGGGTATAAATAAATTATTATTATTATTATTATTTGGGTCTCTGTGCTGTAATAAAGATTATTTATTTATTTATTATAATTAACCCCAGAATCTCTTTCTTTTAAAGTTTTTGCTACAAAGGCAGGGGCCCAGAATGCTTGAAAGCCTGATAAGAAAGAGACCACTATTATTTTACTTACCGTACATTCTTATCCAGATTTTCTTATTCCCCCTCCTGTTTTATCTTCACAACAACCCTGTGTTGTAGGTTGGGCTTAAGAAAGTGGCTGGTTTAATGTCATCTAGTCAGCGTCATAGCTGTGTGGCTATTTGAATTTGGGTTAGGAAAGGGCTAAAAGGATGTAATTTGGGGCGAGTGCATAATCTCTCCAGATTCTCAGTCACATTTCGTTTACCCCTGGTGTGTAGAGGCTGAAATCATGATTATAACTTTATATCCAGTAGGGCATTTGTATGTTCTGGAAATGTTGCAAAATTTTTGCTTCAGGACTCAATCTTTGAAAAGCTTAAATGCTTTAAGCAGTTGCGTAAACATTTTCCTGGAATACCCCAGGATTCCTCACAGGCAACCCTGAAAACTCTAAACTAGGAGAACGGATCAGTCTTAGTTCTTTTTGCAGACATGAAAAAATACGTTTAGAGGCAGCGGTTACCTTGGTGGGGGAGGGAAAGGCACTCTGCACAAGCTCAGTGGCACCCTTCTCATTTATTCGTTCCCAAAATCCCAGACCCTTGCTTTTCTTTGGAAAGCTGACCTGAATTTCACTTAAGGGAAGGGCAGACAGGGCAACTCAGCGACTGTCCTTCCTTCCTGACACTGGACAGCGGGGGCTTATAGGCTCTGGCTCCCCCTACTGGCTGCCTCCTTGCATTCTGCCCAACCAGCCCCACTGAGTCCCAGCCTCCAGATCCTAACCTGCTACGCTTCCTTTCCAGACAGCATCCGGAAGTTCCTGAACCGGCCTCCCATCCACCTGCTGGTGAGGGTGAAGCTAGAAACCAAGCCGAAGAAAAGCGAAGACAGGGTGCTGGTGAGAGACTCCCGGGGGGTTGGGGGACCAGGTGGTGGTGGTGGTGGTGGTGGGGAAATACCGTATTGTTCCATGTATAAGACAACCTTTTTTCCCTGAATTTTTTTTGGGTGATAAATTGAGGGTCGTCGTCGTCATACACGGGTTAATATGCTAAGATCACTGCAGATGGTGACAGCAGTCACGAAATTAAAAGACGCCTGCTTCTTGGGAGAAAAGCAATGACAAACCTAGACAGCATCTTAAAAAGCAGTGGTTTTCCCGGTAGTGATGTATGGAAGTGAGAGCTGGACCATCAAGAAGGCTGATCGCCGAAGAATGGATGCTTTTGAATTCTGGTGCTGGAGGAGACTCTTGAGAGTCCCATGGACTGCAAGATCAAACCTATCCATTCTGAAGGAAATCAGCCCTGAGTGCTCCCTGGAAGGACAGATCCTGAAGCTGAGGCTCCAAGACTTTGGCCACCTCATGAGAAGAGAAGACTCCCTGGAAAAGACCCTGATGTTGGGAAAGATGGAGGGCACAAGGAGAAGGGGAAGACGAGGACGAGATGGTTGGACAGTGTTTTTGAAGCAACCAGCATGAGTTTGACCAAACTGCGGGAGGCAGTGGAAGACAGGAGTGCCTGGCGTGCTCTGGTCCAGGGGTCACGAAGAGTCGGACACGACTAAACAACAAAAGTGAGGGCTGGTGCTGCGGTGATAGCAGGGAAATGTTGGAGGGGAGGCTGCTTACCCACTCTTCCCGGTTTGGGAAAAGTTTTTCATGAGTGCCAGTATGTGGTGTATTACGGCACCAGTTCCGTCAGCCGGAGCGGGGTGGTGGGGGGATCGTGGAGAAGCTGCTCAACAGCTCAGTGAACTTACAGAAGAAGCTCAACAACTGCTGAGGGCTCCCCCAAAATAGGGGTCATCCTATACATGGGGTTGTGTTATACATGGGGAAATACGGTAATCCCGGTGGTGGCTGGACTGCTTTGCAAGCTGCTGGTTTGCCCTGGGCTGCTGGTGCCAAGGCTCTGCTCTGACAGGTATCTGCAGCGAGGCCCCCCCACCCAACCCAGCTCTTTGGACCCGCTTCCTCCTTTTCACCTTTGGAACCACCTGCCACTTGCTCTGGGCGAGGTGATGGGGGGGCGGCTCAGGAGGAGAAGCTGCTGTTGTTATTATGTTATGTCATGTTTGTATTTTATAAGTTTTTATTTCATTTTACTTTTTATGTTTTTGTTTTATCTTACTTTAATGTTTTTATTCTATTGTTTTATTTTATTTTAATTCATTTTCTTTTCTTTTATTATAATTCCCAGTGCTTTTTTACTAAAAAAAAAAAAAGTTTAGAGGTATTCTCATTTTGACTCAAGAAAATCACCATTTTGAAGTTCAAATCGGGAAAAATAAATACAGTAAATGGACAAAAGTAAAAAGATTCACAAAATGTTTAGGAGTATGCGTACCCCCGCGTACCCCCAGAAAAAAATCACTGATAATTCCCATGGTGGGATAGCTCAGTTGGTAAAGCACGAGACGTGGGTTCGAGTCCCACACTGGGCAAAAAGATTCCTGCATTGCAGAGGGTTGGACTAGATGACCCTCATGGTCCCTTCCAGTTCTACAGTTTTAAGATTCTCTGTTATACTTATTTATTTATCACACTGATGTCTTTTGTTCTGAGGTGGGGGAAATAAATAAGGGAGGGACCCTGGGCCACAAATCGTAGGTCAACTCCACATCTCACTCATCTCACACCCCCCAGCCCAGAGATAATTCCCCCCTTCTCAGATATACTCCCAAATACGTAGTTTATTTAATTTCATACGTGCATCTTCCTCCCCGTTTTATTTATCTTTACACCACTGATTGTAAATAATATCTATGTGGTGAACAAAGGAGTTTATAGAAACAAAGAAAGAAAGAAAGAGCGGTATAAAATTATTATTATTATTAATTGAATTTATATATCCTCTTATATACCAGGAGTCTCAGGGCAGTTCACAGAATAAAATCAAGATATAAAACAACAAAGTGCACAATAAAAATAAAAACAACAACCCAATAGACCCCCGCAAAAAGGACATAGGATGTCAAACAGAAATCAAATTTCATCTACATGACAACCCTGTCAGGTAGAGTGGGCTGGAAGAGTGACTGGTGTAAGGATTTGAACCCAGGCCTCTCCAAATTCCTGGTCTTGGGCTACATACACCCCAGGCATTTAAGTGTCTGGGGAACGGTGCAAGGAACTGTAGCTCTGTGAGGGGCAAACTACAGTTCCCTGGATACTTTGGGGGAAGTCCTGCGCTTTAAATAATATGGTGACACCAGGCGCTATTTCAGCTCCCTCTGACCGCTGCTTCCTGGTCCCTTAAGCAAACCAGAGGAACAGAGACGGAAAGGGCAAAAGACCCTCTAAACAAAGTGGGAAGTTTCTGAAATCGTTCTGGGGGCCACTCACACTGGCCCCTGTCCTTCCTCCCAGTGGTATGGCCTTGGGGAGCGACTCACGGCCCTTCTTCCCTATTCCTCCCCCTGCCCAACATTTCTTCTCTTCTCTCGAACTCTCCAGCTCTCGAATCCTGTCCTTGCAAATTAGGTCAGGGTTTGCAAATTTGCTGCTGGCAGCAAAAGTGGAGGTCGCAGGCAGGAGCAGACAGGGGAGGGGGCTGGCGGAAAGGAGAGGGGGGGGGAACTTTGCATCGGCTGATGCAAAAAGAGCCTATAGTTTTCCCCCACCCCATCCCCCACAAGGATTCGGGGGCAAAAATGGGGTTTGGGCCAAACGTTCTGCAATGGTGCCTTGAGCCTGTGTGTGAATTTGCCAGGCCAGGGTCCGCCTCGCAAGGGTGTTGTGATTGAATGATACAGAATAAAGGCCAAAGGATCTCCCAGGGTGGGAGGGAGCTGATTTGCGGGTGGCCAAGCGATGAGGAGGTTTGGTGGGGGGAAGGCTGTGGGTTGAAATTAAGGGGGCATCAGGAGCAGTTAACTTCTAGGGCAAAAGGGGACAGGACACCCCCCTCAGCTAAGGGGCAACAGGGTGATCTTCCAATCACTGAATCAGAGGAAGCCCCCCCCACAAAGGTTGCCACCTCCCCTCCCCTCGTGGGTGCCAGGAACACCGGAAATCCATGCCTTTAAAGCTTTGCTACAGGCCAGTATTCAACAGGTGCAGCCACGGGGGTTGAAACGCTGCACCTGTTGAATTTCCACCTTCTGCCCCACACTGTGATTTAAGGCGAAATGTGGTGATCCCATTTACGGGTCTGGAGAGCGAGCAGAGCCAGTGTGAGTTTTCCCCCTAGTTAAGTTCTAGCACAGGGGCCAGCAAACGTTTTCAGCAGGGGGGCGGTCCACTATCCCTGAGACCTTGTTGGGGGCCGGACTATATTTTTTTGGGGGGGGGGGAAATGATCAAATTCCTATGCCCCGCAAATAACCCAGAGATGCATTTTAAATAAAAGGACACATTCTGCTCATATAAAAACACACCGCTTCCCGGACCATCCGCGGGCCGGATTTAGAAGGCGATTGGGCCGGATCCGGCCCCCAGGCCTTAGTTTGCCTACCCATGTACTAGCACATACGCACTCTGTTTTTTCCGATTGGCACAAAGTTACACATTTGTTTCCTTGCTGTGAGCCCCTGATTTCTGGAGTGCCCTGAGTGCGGATCTTACCATTATGGCTTAGAGATGGAGGAGGAGAGCGAGAAAGACTTGGCAGGCTGGGAAATCAGTAATTCACTTCCCAACATTGCAAATGTGATTTCCAGCAACTAGCATAATTTTTAGCTTGCTAAAGGTTTCTGTAGGTTAGCAGCTCTTGCGCAACTTACTCGTGAAGCTGTCGAGAGCTCATGCGCTGTAATAAACAGGATAATAAAACTGTAGCGTTGGAAGGAACCCTGTGGGTTATCTAGTCCAACCCCCTGCAATGCAGGAATCTCCAGGACAGACAGCCATCCAACCTCCGTTTAAAAACATCTAATGAACGAGAGTCCACCACCTTCATTTCACCACCACTGCACATGGTAATATTTTAATTCTGAATTTTCAAAAGTTTTCGCCACGCACCCTGGGACCCGCAGGTTGGAGGGCAGGTAATAATGACACTAATTGTTAAAAGGCCAAATGGCAGACTTGGGGAAATGGAACGCTTCCCTGCCAGAATGTTGCGTCAGAGGCAAAATGTCTTCCAAAATAAACAAGTTCAACGCTCATCAGTATTCTAGAAGATCCAGGTTGGGAAGACATGTTTGGAGAGAGGTGGTGCCAATTCAGGTCTGGAGAGACACAGATAGCAGAAGGCAGAAAAAGCAACGCAATATCCACATGAGGATTGTGTCTTAAAGGGAAACAAAAAAGGATTGTGCTGTTGTTCACGTCTTCTGTGCTTCGCTCTTTTTCCAACAGGTGCTCACCACTTGGCGAATCTATCTCTTTGGGCTAAAGGTACCAGCCAAGGTGAGTAGAGGAACAAATGAGAGATTTTGTGTGTGTGTGTGTGTGTGTGTGTGTGTGATTTAAAATACATTTATACCTCTTTACACACCGTACATTTAAAGCACAACAAAGTACAGTTTTCTGTTTGGGAATTGTAACTCTGTGATGGATAAACTACAGTTCCCACGATTCTTTTTGGGAAATAAAGTGCTTTAAATGTATCATTGTGTACAATCCTATCTCTGAGCAGTGAGAGACTCTTTGGGTCCCAGTGCTTACCCCAGAGTTCGGTTTCCTTGGGACGAAGGTCCTTAGGGACAATGGTGTTTTTAAGATAAACGGTTTTATTTATACACATGACCTGGCTCACTCCCAGAGATCTTGCTTCCCCATTAGGTTCTCAGGGAAGCCCCAAATAGATCCCTTTGGGATCTAGCACACAGAAAGAGAAGCCTCTGGGTCTCCGGCTTCCAGTGTCAGCCAAAAAAACATACACCTTGGCCTATTGTTCTCCATCGGGTGAGGTGGGAGAAGGCCCGTCTCCATGGCAACAGGGCAACCTCTTTGGACATGTAAATGGCGGTACTTAACTGGCCAGCTAAAGCCGTTACCTTCACAAAGGAACTGGCTTGGGTTTCTTCTTATCCATTCTAACCTCACGGGTACAGGATCACAGGCTTAGAAGGGACCTCTGGGTGTCATCCAGACTGACCCTTGAGGCGTTCCCAAAGTAAAGGAAGGATTGAACTCTGATTAATAAGAATACACACAGAGGCTTGAACCAGCAAGACTCTGGGAAGGGTGCATATAATCATCTCTGTCTCCACCCTCCGTCCCAGGTCATTTTATTCACAAAAGAACTTTTTACAGAGTGTTCGTAAGAGCCAATCAGATTTCTTCTGAGCATTTCAACAAACCCCACGTGGGGACAAAGTTAAACTACCAAAACTAATTAAGCACACATATTTCTGGGGTAAACAAAACAGAACTACAAAGGAGTGCATTTGGCAACCCCTGAGGTCATAAACAAGCAATACACATGATAAGAAGGATGGCCAGGAAGACAGCGATCATTATCACCTTCAGGTGAGATCTATTTCCTGGCCCTAAGATTAACATATCGGAAAAGCTACATCAACGAAACTTGCCCACTATCTTTATGGCCCAGGATGCCTTCCTGGCAAGCAACTGGAAGTAACTGGGCTGCATACGTGACTGGTCAAGAAAGAGAAATGGGCAGTAGAGAAAATGGCCAGAGATGCAGAGGGTTGTGGGATTTGATCAGAAATTATTGTCAATGAATTAAACCCAGTCAACACAATGCATTCATCGTGGACACAATGGCTTGATGCATATTTTATAATTCCTCATGGTAATCCCACCTGACCCCACACTCTGGATATTTGCACTCCTACAGACCCTCCCCAAACCTATAGCAGTATGATGCGTATGCAGCCTAACAGTCATAGCTTCCTCCAGAAAATCCCGGGAACTGTAGTTTATTTATTTGTTATTACATTTATATAGCCACCTTTATCTTCCAAGGATCTCTAGGCTTCTGGCTCTCCTCCTCCATATTTCATCCTTACAGCAACCCTGCGAGGCGGTTGTTTATCCCTCAGAGAGCTACAATTCACAGCATCCTTAAAACTCCCGTTCCCAGGATTCTTCAGGGGAGGTTATGCGCTTTGAACGTGCGCCGTGGGCGCGACATTCGCTTCTGTCGCGTCGCAAAAAGTGACTCTTCTTTTCCCTCCTGCACAGCTCGAATGCTCGTTCAATGTCCTGGAGATCCGAGCCTTAAATGCCCTGCATCACAACCAGGTAGGAGCAAGGGGCATCTCCCGCAAAGGGGTGCTCTTACGATACAATCATCTTTATTGTCATTGTCCCATACAGAACAACGGAATTGAAAAAATCTACATCAGACATTCAAAAACCAACAAGCTTCCTATCCCAGCTATCCCAGCCTGGTTAACCCCCTAAAAACTCTGATACCCCATAATTAAATACAATATACTCCCACAGAGACTACCTTACACTGCATTTAAAACCAAAATTGCATTTGGATAGAAACTGTTTCTCAGGTGGCTAGTCCTAGTCTTTATAACCCTGTACCTTCTTCCAGATAAGGGACACGGGTGGCGCTGTGGGTTAAACCACAGAACCTAGGACTTTCCAATCAGAAGGTCGGTGGTTCAAATCCCCGTGATGGAGTGAGCTCCCGTTGCTCGGTCCCTGCTCCTGCCAACCTAGCAGTTCGAAAGCACGCCAAAAAGTGCAAGTAGATCAATAGGTACCACTCCGGCGGGAAGGTAAATGGCGTTTCTGTGCGCTGCTCTGGTTCGCCAGAAGCGGCTCAGTCATGCTGGCCACATGACCCGGAAGCTGTACGCCGGCTCCCTCAGCCAATAAAGCGAGATGAGCGCCACAACCCCAGAGTCGGCCACGACTGGACCTAATGGTCAGGGGTCCCATGACCTTCTTCCAGAAGGCAGAAGCTGAAAGAGATCATTTCCGGGGTGCGCACTATCCTGCGCTATCTCTGCAGCTTTCTTATGGCACCTGGAAGCATAGATTTGATCCAAGGTGGGAAGAGTGCACCCAATTATTCTCTCCGCAGTCTTTACAACCCTGGACAGCATTGTTTTCCCCCGGACTGTGCAGTTCCCAAACCACACATGATGGCGACATTGGTGTCTGTCGGGTGCTGACGCCTTTTGCCTTCCTTCCGCATTCAGATCCTGGTGGAGACGGAGAAGGCCAACTACAGCTTGAAATTCCCCACCCCGGAAAGCGCTGACCAGGTCACGAGGCATGTCAACACTTCCTTAGCCAAAATCTTCCCTAGCCCAGCCTCTGTGTGAGTATGAAGAAGCCGTAGGGTGGGGAGAACATTGGCTGCGGGTGGCGGGGTTGCCAAATTCAGTCGTTCGCCATAACAGCGCCTCTCACGACAACTTGTGTGTGTGGGCGTGAGCAGAGGACCAAGGTGTGCTTCCGTGTTGTGGAAAACATGGAGGCGACGACGATGATGATGATGATGATAAACTACGGTGGTACCTCAGGTTACATACGCTTCAGGTTACAGACTCCGCTAACCCAGAAATAGTACCTCGGGTTAAGAACTTTGCTGAGAACAGAAATCGTGCTCTGGCGGCCCGGCGGCAGTGGGAGGCCCCATTAGCTAAAGTGGTACCTCAGGTTAAGAACAGTTTCAGGTTAAGAACGGACCTCTGGAGCGAATTAAGTACTTAACCCGAGGTACCACTGTCTAGAAAAGACCAGAGTCACACAGCACAATTCAAAGTGTTGGTGTTGACCTTTTAAGCCCTAAACGGCCTCGGTCCAGTATACCTGAAGGAGCGTCTCCACACCCATCGTTTTGCCTGGACACTGAGATCCAGCTCCGAGGGCCTTCTGGCGGTTCCCTCATTGCGAGAAGCAAAGCTACAGGGAACCAGGCAGAAGGCCTTCTTGGTAGTGGTGCCTGCCCTGTGGAACGCCCTCCCATCAGATGTCAAAGAGATAAAACAACTACCTGACATTTAGCAGACATCTGAAGGCAGACCCAGTTCAGGGAAGTTTTTAATGTGTGGCATTTTAATGTATTTTTAATCTTTGTTGGAAACTGCCCAGAGTGGCAGGGGAAACCCAGCCAGATGGGCAGGGTACAAATAAATTATTATTATTATTATTATTATTATTATTATTATTATTATTATTTTATTTCTTGTCTGTGTGGAACTGACTTCCCTTCCTAAATTCTAATGTGGAATGTATAGGATTTTCACCACAGAGATGCTAAAGGCTAGACTAGCAGCCTTCCCTCGCACCCGGTACCCTCCAGACATCCAATTTCTTGAGCTTTCATCCTGATCTGCTTGTGCATAGCTTTAATTGCGCACCCAGCATTAATTCTGATTTGTCTGCAGGGTGTTTATGCAATAGCTCCATGGCTAGGTGCTTCTGAAAACCAGTTGCTGGAAGCCGCAGGAGGGGGAAGTGCCGTGTTTCTGTTGCCCTCAGGTCTTGCTTGCGGGTTTTCCTTGCTTGGCCGCTGCGAGAACAGGCTGCTGGACTAGATGGGCCCCTGGCCTGATCCAGCTGCCAGTCTCTTCTCATGCTTTTAGACGTCTCCCCATTAGCAATCCATAGCCCATCATTCTCCAAGCCACAAAAAGTCTTTCTCTTTTTTAAAGTGGATTTTTTAAAAAATGCTAGGGCGTGAGAGTGCTTCAGACCACTTTATATCTGCGAATCTCCAAACTCCCGGAATGCACTTGACTCCCTCTTGTGCGCCCCACAACTCCTGTTCATTCCAGCCAGGCGCCAGGGGCGCTGGGAGTTGTAGTTCAACTTGATTTGGAGGTTAGAAGAGGTTGGCACAGAGAGAGACCACCCTGTGCCTGCTGAGAAATATAGCTTTTGACAGTGGGGTTTCTCCCCCACCCCCCAAATTGTTTTCACACTAATTGATTTCTATCTTCTGGGGTTAACAACATCCTTGCAGTGGCGGAGATGGCTTGGCCCCCAAAGCCACCCCCCCCTCGTACCTACGGGACCGCCTCTCCTGGTATGTCCCACGGAGGAACTTACGGTCTTCAAATAAAAACATCTTGGAGGTCCCAGGCCACGGAGAGGTTAGGCTGGCCTCAACCAGAGCCAGGGCTTTTTCGGACGTGGCCCCGATCTGGTGGAACGCTCTGCCCCAAGAGACTAGGGCCCTGCGGGACTTGACATCTTTCCGCAGGGCCTGCAAGACAGAGCTGTTCCACCAGGCCTTTGGCCAGGGCACAGTCTGACCCCCTCCTTTGGCAATCCTCACAGAACTCTAGCCCAATGGTTGCTGTTGGTTTGATTTGAATTAATTTTATAATGAATGGTTTTAGAGTGTTGTGTTGTGTTGTACTGTTGTACTGTTTTATTGTTGTTAGCCGCCCTGAGCCCGGCTTCGGCTGGGGAGGGCGGGATATAAATAAAATTTATTATTATTATTATTTATTATTATTATTATTTTGTCATGCCTCACCCTTAATCCCAGAAAGCCTGACTCCATGGTTGTTCTGGTGCCCCCCCCCCCATCGCTGGTGTCTCATAAGCAGAGCCCTGCTGGAACAGGTCAAAGGCCCCTGTGGCGCAATGGGCAATGCATCTTGCTGTTGACCCGAAGGTTGGTGGTTCGAGCCCACCAGGGGCGGCTGTGGGCAGGATGCCTGCATTTCAGGGGGGTTGGACTAGATGACCCTCGGGGTCCCTTCCAACTTCTCAATTCTATGATTCTAAGAGTGGGGGGTGGGAAACCTAGTCCAGTATCCTGTTCTCACAGAAGCCGCAGCGCGAAGCCCAAAAACAGGACCAGCGTGAAACAGTGGCAAAGCTCTCTCCCTGCTTGCAATCCCCAGCAACTTGTAGGGCTCCATTTCCTGACCCAGACAGCTGAGTTCTCTTGCAGGGGGATTTAAAAAAACCCTTTTTGAAAGAGTGGAAGGAGGAGGCAGGCAAACAGGCGACAAGCTGTTAGGTCGGGGCGGGCAGACGTTTGGCCCTCCGGACATTGCTGAACTACTGCTGCCGTCATCGCTGGCCATTGGCAGTGCTTGCCGGCACTCATGGGAGTTGTGGTTTGGCAACACCCGGAGGGACCGAAAAGGGTCCCCCACCGCTGCGTTAGGGAAGAGGCGACCCCCAAATTTTCAGGGGTGTGCGCATATCCCTCGCAATTTCAGTGTGGCAGAGTGGTTTATGGAGAGTAGGCCTAGGAGTTCAAATCTCTGCTCAGCTATGAATCTTTACTGGGTGACCCTGGGACAGTCACAGTTTCCCAGCCTAACTTATCTCACCGGGTTAGGATGTCCCTATTTTCATCGGAGAAATGTTGAAAGGTGTGGATTATTGTGAGGATTAAAGGGGGGGAACCACGGATACCACTTTAAGCTCCTTGGAGAATGGACGAGTGGATCAATAACTTGTCGTGCTTGTGTGATGCAGTATTTAGACAAGACTATCAGATCAGTTAAAGCTTGGTGGTGGTGGTGGGACTGTTAATATGATTATTTTATTGTTATGCTGTCCATTGTTGTGCTTTTTTATTACAGTGGTATCTCGGTTTTTGAGCTTCTCAGAAGCCAAACGTTTTGGCTTTCGAACACCGAAAACCCGGAAGTAATTGCTTCCATTTTCGAACACGCCTTGGAAGTTGAACATGTTTTTCCACTGCACGTTTTTCAGTTTTTCCAATTGAACTTGCAGCCAGCCCTTTGCGCCTCGGTTTTCAAACATTTTGGAAGTCGGACGGTCATCTGGAACGTATTACGTTCGAGAACCGAGGTACCACTGTACTATGCTCCGTAAAATGTGTGTTTAATGTCGTACACCATTACACTGAGATCTTTTGATAAAGGGCAGTATATAAATCGAATAAACGATAACAAAATAACTCAGGCAATGCCTTCCTTCTCCTCCCCTTGTCGCAGCTGCCTCATACGCCATGGGACCGTGGAGACCCCAGAGACGCCGCGGGACATGTCCCCCAACTCTGAAAGCTCCAGCTCCACGACGCACAGCATTTGCGGTGAGGGGGGAAGATGGGGAGGCGAGGGAGGGGGAATGTTCCGGAACCTGCCAGGGTTTTCCTCCCGCTTCCCAGCGCCCTTTGCGTCCCAGAGAGGCAGGTGGTGCGATCTTCATTCACAGGAAATTATATGAAATTTTAATTACAGCCGCTGCATTATGCACTTAACCCACTGACCCGAATCCCGGAAGGGGTGTCCTGAAGAAAACACAAATTGCTTTCCTGGATCGGGCAGAAAAGTGCATTTAGCCCAGCCTTCTGTCTCCAGGGCTAGCAGCCAAATTGGCCTCAGAGGCCCAGAACCCAGGCTTGGCGGTCAGAGGGATCCTCTCAAGCCTGCCTCTTAACAACGGGTAATCAAAGGTATATTGCATCAAGGCAGGCAGAGGTTTTCAGCCTTTCTGAGTCCACGGCTCCCTTGATCAACTGCATTCTTTCTGCGGCACCCCTGTGGGGCTCAGGAGCCCAGTTATGTTACCCCTTGCCCTTCACCCCTTTTCAAACGCCCTTCTCTCGGATTCCCCTCCTTGGGGAGTCCTCTGGGCAGCCGTTCCGGGTCTCTGAGCTGCCCCCCATGCCCCATAGATAGGTGCTTCTTCACACTGCCCCACAGGGGCCTGGGACTTGCCTGTCCACTCCCAACGTGGGTCGTATGTGGCCTGGGACCCATGTACCTATGGGACCGCCTCTCCTGGTATGCCCCGCAGAGGACCTTAAGGTCCACAAACGACAACACTTTGGAGGTCTCAGGTCGCAAGGTGGTTAGATTGGTCTCAACTAGGGCCAGGGCCTTTTCAGTACTGGCCCCGACTTGGTGGAACGCTCTGTCACAAGAGACCAGGGCCCTGCTGGACTTGACATCTTTCCGCAGGGCCTGCAAGACGGAGCTGTTCCGCCTGGCCTTTTGTTTGGACTCAGTCTGACCCTTATGTCTTCCCTCCCCTTATGGTTTTGATTAATAATAATAATAATAATAATAATAATAATAATAATAATAATATTTATATCCCGCCCTCCCCAGCCAAGGCTGGGCTCAGGGCGGCTGACAAGCAATAATAAAAACAAGTTGAATGAATACAACTTAAAAACAAGATTAAAATACAACATTAGGACATTGAAACATTAAAATGCAGCCTCATCACAGGAGGAGAAAGGGCTACTACTAAAATGAGGCTGCATTTTAAATTGTATTTTAACTCATATTTTAACCCGTATTTTAATGAACTGTTTTTCTCTTTTTCTATTGCGTTTTATTGTAATTTTATTGGTGTTAGCCGCCCTGAGCCCGGCTCTGCCAGGGAGGGCAGGGTATAAATAAAAATTATTATTATTATTATTAACAGCAAGGGCTGAGGCCAGCACCTGACTCACTTTGGGAGGCAGCAGTGGACCCTGCCAGGCCTGCATGGTGGAAAGGCTCCCCCTCAGCACTGGCAGGCATTGCACACAGCAAGCCCAAGAAAGGCCAGCACAGCGCCTGCCTGCCTGCCTGCCTGCCCAGCTTCCCACCTATCTGTCCATTCCCAACAGCAAGCGCTGGCAGACTGACTGGCCGGACTCCCTCACCCACTTGCCTGCTTACTCTGAGGCCGCCTCAGCTGCTGCCAACCAGCCCCCCCTGGCCAGCCCCAGAGGCACCATTTGCCTGCGGAGCTTGTAGCCAGGGCTGCTGCAACAAACAGCTGTGCAAGCCTTTGGGGGGCAGAGACATGAGAGGGCGTCAGAGGATGGAGGGAAGGAAAGAAATTTAAAAATTAATCCAGAATGCGGCAGCCAGACTGGTGACGGGAAGCGGCCACCAAGACCATATAACACCTGAAAGACCTGCATTGGCTCCCAGGACGTTTCCGGGCGCAATTCAAAGTGTTGGTGCTGACCTTTAAAGCCCTAAATGGCCTCAAAGGCCCAGTATACCTGAAGAAGAAGAAGAAGAAGAAGAAGAGTTTGGATTTGATATCCCGCCTTTCACTCCCTTTAAGGAGTCTCAAAGCAGCTAACATTCTCCTTTCCCTTCCTCCCCCACAACAAACACTCTGTGAGGTGAGTGGGGCTGAGAGACTTCAAAGAAGTGTGACTGGCCCAAGGTCACCCAGCAGCTGCATGTGGAGGAGTGGAGACTCGAACCCGGTTCCCCAGATTACGAGACTACCGCTCTTAACCACTACACCACACTGGGTCTTCACCCCCAAGGAGCGTCTTCACCCCCATCGTTCAGCCCAGACACCAAGGGCCTTCTGGCGGTTCCCTCACTGCGAGAAGTGATGTTACAGGGAACCAGGCAGAGGGCCTTCTTGGTAGTGGCGCCCGTCCTGTGGAATGCCCTCTCACCAGATGTCAAGGAAATAAACAACTATTTTATTTTTTAAAGGCATCTGAAGGCGGCCCTCTTTAGGGAAGTTTTTAATGTTTGACGCTGTATTGTTTTTGAAATTTGGTTGGAAGCCGCCCAGAGTGGTTGGGGAGACCCAGTCAGATGGGCGGGGTATAAATAATATATTATTATTATTATTATTATTATTATTATTATTATTATTATTAGAGGGACAGAGGCCAGTACTGCCCACGTCCCCCTGACTATCATTCAAGGCACCCCAGGGTGTCACAGCACACTGGTTGAGAACGACTGAAGACAGGGAAGCTCCATGTCAGCCTAAGACATGGGTAGGCAAACTAAGGCCCGGGGGCCGGATCCGGCCTAATCGCCTGCGGATGGTCCGGGAATCAGCATATTTTTACATGAGTAGAATGTGTCCTTTTATTTAAAATGCATCTCTGGGTTATTTGTGGGGCATAGGAATTCATTCATTCCCCCCACCCAAAATATAGTCTGGCCCTCCACAAGGTCTGAGGGACAGTGGACCGGCCCCCTGCTGAAAAAGTTTGCTGACCCCTGGCCTAAGAGATTCCATTTTCTCGCTGCCTGAGACAAATAGGGGTTTTGGGGAGGTTTGGATTGAATTTGACAGTGACTCCCAAATCCCCCCCCCCAACGGATGACTTCAAAATTCCTAAGGGTCTTGACGGACCACTTAAATTGTTTTTCTACCTGTGGTAGCATTTGTAATGTACTGTGCTAGGGAATTAATGCTTCTTAATCTTGTTTTTATCACTCCTTTTATTTCTCACACCCTTCATTTTATTGTATTGCGATTTCAATCCCACAGAATCCAAATTGCAATACAATAAAACCAAATGTGAGTGATAAAGATCCAATTGCAAATCAATAGGAGCCTTGAATGCGACGGGTGTGCCGCTCCCGTCTCCAAACACCAAATCCACAAACCACCTGAATGAAGTTTGTGGATTGCTGGTGGTCCACAGACTACAGCTTGGGAACCTCTAGTCTGATAGATTTTCAAAGCTCTTCCGAGCCAGCCTTTGCCGCTGCGTCTTGTGGCTTGGAGTTCCACATGCTGTTTTGCATGGGGCAAGGCTTCCTTTTGCTTCTCCTGCGCAAACCAGCATGCTTGCAGCCGACCAAGATAAAGATAGCACACCAGCTATTTAACAGCAGTCGATATTGGGTGGGTGGGTAGGGGGATATATGATCCTGTGACCCACATGTGTGGGGTGAATAACCAAAGAATCGGTGGGTGTCTAGATTCAAAATGCTGGGCTTTACACACTCTTTAGCAGAAGAGGAGCCCCAGCAGCAGAATTTAAACTCACAACATTAAGCAGCAGTATCGTGGAGAACGCAGCCTCTTGAACCCCTTTCATATCCCATTTAGTTGCATACAGCGCTCCCCATTTTCTACCCCTCCAAGCATTGATCAGACTACACCAGTTTAGTAAACTTAAAATGCTTTACTTACTAAATGTTCCAAAAGTCAGATTTGTGCATTTATCCAAGCAGCAGCAAGGAGAACACGGGCAGAATATTCTTGGGCAGAAAATACAGAAAGATATCTTCAAACACATGCTCCGAGCATGTGTTTCTCAGGGAGAAAACGTCCTCCCTGGTGGATGACATGGCACAGAAAGGAAGGAACAGGAAGAGAAGGCTTCACTTCCCCTCACTGGAGAAAAGGGGGTGTGACCTAGCTGAGTCTAGGAATCGGCCTCTGTGGTCTTAACCCCTTCACGCATTAACTAGCACTCGTGCATAGTTATGGTTGACTGCAATTTCCCACACACCTTGGCGAAAGAAATGCATTTTGCAGGGAGGAAGAACCAAGAGAGGCATGAAGAGGGCGAAGGAGGAAGTAGTGTCACGCAGGCACAGTCTCAGATTTCTTGGGGGAAACTTTGGAGAGAAGGGGACTTAGGCAGCTGTGGGAAGCTTCAGTCTCTGCAACAGCTTCATAGGACTTAACAGATGGACATAAAAACCAGTTAAGAGACTTATGCTGCAAGATTGGAAAGGCAGTCCTGGTTGGATGAAAATCTGACCTGCTTACACCTGTCCGTTTCGTTTAGACATCTCTTTAGACTGCTGATATTAATGTACAAATTTAAAGCACGATGGATGAAATATTCCTATTACCCATCGGCTTTTATTGTAGTGGCTTTAATAATTATTATCTTTTCACAACGACAATGATTTTCATATTTAAAAAAAATAAAAAATAAAGGGAAAGGAAAACATTGGGTTGGATTCAAGTTTTCCTCACCAGGAGGGGAGAACCATGTCCGCCACCTTTTTTTGCTCCTTGGAGAAAAAAGGTGAAATGGGAATGCAAGATACAAAGAAGTTGGCCGTGTCGATTGGTTTCTGTGGGTCTTCTCTGAGTAGGACTTACGCCAGACGTTCGGGTTGTATTCCACTGGCTTTCCCTCAGAGCACACCCGCCGGGTTGAACAGCCGTGGCGAATTCAGGCCTGTGAATTCCAGTAGGTCTACTTGGAGTAACAGTTAGCTGAAAGATGAGAATGTTTACAAGAAGGAGGCCTTCGTACGGAGGATCCTGAGCGATAATATGCGCCCTTTTGCTTTTCCTCAGGAGGCTTTTCGGAAACCTACGCGGCTCTCTGCGACTACAACGGACACTCTTGCCGCGAGGAGGTGCAGTGGGTAAGTCGTTGGACCCGATTCTGAGGTGCCCTCTCCGATAACCTTGAGCAGAGAGACCCCCTTCGCCAGAGCAAGGGGGTTAGCGATTGTATCCTGAAAAAGAAACCGCCAGGAAAGTAGCAGTTGCTCAGGATGTGGCTGCTTTGCGGCTTTCTCACCTCCTTGCTCGCCACAAGGCCTTTTAGGTGGAGCAACTCACACAGGGTGGCAGTTCCCCCCCCCCTTCCGCCTCGCCCAGGGGTTTGGTGCAAATCGAGACACCTTCGCTCGGTTTCCAAAACCCTCATTTCCTGCTCTTCTGCTCAGAAACAATATGCAAATCTGCTCTGGGAGGTTTCTGGGCAAATGTGACAGGCAAATCCAGGTCACAGTCAGTGATGATGGCAGCCTTGGAAAAATATGTGTGTGTTTTTTTTGGTGGGGGGGTTGTAGCGGGAAGTTTGGGCTGGAAATAGAGAACCTGGGGGGTGGAGAAGATCTGGCAGCAGAATGGTTTCGTGTGTGTTTTGTGGGTGTATGAAGATGGATATATTATCTTGGTTTTTGTGGTGGGTTTACCTCTTCCTCCATTCAAAACTCTGAAACTCACTGGCTCATCTTGAGCCTACCTCACAGGATTGTTGTGGGGGGACAGGACAGGAGGAGAAAACCTTTTTATGTTGCCCTGAGCTCCTTAAGGGAAACTATATTAATCATCAACTGATTTCTTTTCTTTCTGGCTACCATCTTATCCTGTAGGACGTTGACACAATTTACCATTCCGAAGACAACCGGGAATTCAACCTCCTCGATTTCTGTCACCTGGAAAGCCGGTAAGGAGAAGCCACGTAAAACCATCTCTGTTAATAATAATAATAATAATAATAATAATATATTATTTCTACCCTGTCCATCTGGTTGGGTTTCCCCAGCCACTCTGGGCGGCTTTGAACATTAAAAACTCGCATACCCCTACCCTACCCTGGTCCACCCTCCATGTAGCCCCACAGACCTCAAATCCATCCTCAAACTGCTATGCGCTCACTAGGTGACCTTAGGCAAGTGCCTCAGTCTCTCCCCCTTCTATCTGCAGTATGGGTCTAATAGTGCCGGCCTACCTTGGAAGGCTGTTGTGAAGATTGCCTTGTGAAGCACCCAGGTCACCCACACCATACATTTAAAGTACACGGCTTCCCCCAGAGAATTCTGGGAGCTGTGGTTTGTGGAGGGTGCTGGGAATTGTAGCTTGGGCCAGGGGCAAACTGCAGTTCCCAGGCTTCCCCTGAGGGGAAGCGATGTGCGTTAAGTGTACAGCCAGTGCCAGATTTATGTATAAGCTAAACAAACTATAGCTTAGGGGCCCCCTCTCTTGAGGGCCCCCAAAAAAATTAAAAGAAAAAAAACCCTGGATCTACATTTCCAAAATACAAGATAAAACACAAATAAAATGGCTTTAGATACCTATTAGGTCCGTAAGTATAGCATATATTCAACACAAACAACAGCAACAATTTGTTGTTGACAAAGGACAACTGGACATATAAAGGGCCCCATTACCTTCAGTAGTTGATGGCCTCATCAAACCTAAATCCAGCCCTGTTGGGCCAACATAATTAACAGGGCACTGAAATATTAAAGAGGTCGAAACGAAACATTGCTAAGGGAAGTCGGATATAAAACACGCATTTCAAACGGCACAATTAGCAAGAGAATAAAATCAGAATAGAAGGTATCTGCTGCTGTCGCCGATGGTGGTTCATGGTGGGCAGAAGCGGCTGCAGAAGCTCGGGCCCCGTGACTTGAGTCTGCACTGAGAGGCAGCCAAGATTGGCTCAGCAGCCTTAGCTTTTTGCAGCTGGAGTCAGTCCAGGCAAGGATTTGCCACTCCCTCCCCTAATCCCATTTCCCTCTCCCCCCTTTCTGCTTCTCCTCGCAGGGACTTGGCTCTGATCGTGGCTGCTTTGGCATACAACCAGTGGTTCACCAAACTCTACTGCAAGGACTTGCGGCTGGTAGGTCTCCCAAACCGTGGGCAGGCGGCTGGGTGCTGATTGGGTCTGGAGGCAAGGAGGCTACCACTAGGTGGCACCAGAGCCCACAACCGGCAGAGCCAAGTAATTAAAGTTTGGTCCTCCTCTCTGCCGAGTCCTGCAAAGGCCACTCTTGAGACGAAGGAGGAGGAATTCTGACAGCCAATGAAAACCCCGGGACTGGTTGTTAAGCAGGAAGGCAAGTCGGGGGCTGGCCGACAGCAGTGCAGTGTAGTGGTTAGCGTGCCAGACTAGGATCTGGGAGAGACCAGGGTTCAATTTCCTGCTTGGCCCACAAAGCTCACTACTGGGTGACCCTGGGTCAGTCTCACTGCCTCTCAGCCTAAGGCAAAGGTAAAGGGACCCCTGGCCATTAGGTCCAATCGTGGCCAACTCTGGGGTTGCGGCGCTCATCTCGCTTTATTGGCCGAGGGAGCCGGCGTACAGCTTCCGGGTCATGTGGCCAGCATGACTAAGCCGCTTCTGGTGAACCAGAGCAGCGCACGGAAACGCCATTTACCTTCCCGCCGGAGCAGTACCTATTTATCTACTTGCACTTTGACGTGCTTTCGAACTGCTAGGTTGGCAGGAGCAGGGACTGAGCAACGGGAGCTCACCCCGTCGCGGGGATTCGAACTGCTGACCTTCTAATCGGCAAGCCCTAGGCTCTGTGGTTTAACCCACAGCGCCACCCGCGTCCCTGCCTCTCAGCCTAGCCTACCTCGAAAGGCTGTTGTGGGAATTTAAATGAGCAGGGAGAACTTGTGTACACCACTTTGAGCTCCTTGGAGGGAGAAAGGTGGGGGTAAAAATGCAGTAAAATAAAAATAAATTTTAAAAAGAATGATTGCCTCCACTGAAAGGAACCAAGTGGGTGCGCGGAACAAAGAATTTCCTTCAATCTTAGGATAACCCACACCTGGGATTTTTGCTCCTCCGCCAGTCTTAGAGGCACAGGTGCCGGTTCAGAGGAATGGCTGCCAGCTTTGGCAATAATAATAGTAATAATAATAATTTAATATGTGTACCTGCCCATCTAGCCGGGTTTCTGCCGCCACTCTGGGCGGCTTCCAACAGAAGGCATCAGCGATGCTCGCTCCAGGTTTGCCCTTAGCGTCGCCTCCCACCGTTAACTCCCTTATAATAATAAGGAATAAGAATAATAGTAATAATAATAATAATTTGATACAGTGGTACCTCGGGTTAAGTACTTAATTCGTTCCGGAGGTCCGTTCTTAACCTGAAGCACTTTAGCTAATGGGGCCTCCTGCTGCCGCTGCGCCCTGGAGCACGATTTCTGTTCTCATCCTGAAGCAAGGTTCTTAACCTGAAGCACTATTTCTGGGTTAGCGGAGTCTGTAACCTGAAGCGTATGTAACCCGAGGTAGCACTGTATGTGTACCTGCCCATCTAGCTGAGTTTCTGCCACCACCCTGGGCGGCTTCCAACAGAAGGCAGCAGCGATGCTCAGTCCAGGTTTGCCCTCCCGCCGTTTACTCCCTTCCCACCCCGTTCAAAGCACCCACCAAAACCTTCCCTGGCACCCACACCTCTTCTTTCCTCCCTAGGGCTCCGAGGTCGCTGAGCAGGTTCTTCACACGGTGAGCAAATCCCACCACCTAGAGGAGCTGGTGCTGGACAATGCGGGGTTAAAAACGTGAGGCATTGCTAGATTCACCTTTGCGCCGCTGCATGCGGATTGGGGGCGGGGGAGAGAGAGTCTTCCGGTTTCCGTAGGTTCCTTTCGGCCGGGACCAAGCCCATGCGCGATGCTGAGGGTATGCCGCAAAGTTCGGGTCCAGTTTTTGCGGTGTGTACCTTCAGCACTGGACTTTCTGCACATTGCTGTACTTTCAGTCTCAGAGAGCCTATCGCTATTTCTATTACTATTTCATCACTTGCAGTCTGCACCGGTGGGAGGGGCTTGGTTGAATGGGAGGGGCTTAGTGGAATGGGAGGGGCTTGGTGGAATGGGAGGGGCTTGTGGATGGTATCCCCTGATGTTTCCTGTTCTGGGCACGTAATGCAGGTCTTTCTGTACCTGCGCACTCACACCTTTTCAAAGAAATATTCAAATATCCCAGTAATGTCATTTGAAGGTTGCAGGTTTTCCTCCCCGTATGGGGCAGCTGCGTATTCCTGCATCGCAGCGGGTTGGACTAAATGATCCTCAGGGTCCCTTCCAACTCTGCAATCCCACAATTCTTTGAATACTCTGGGGTTTTGCTGCATTGCTGCAATAAAAGCATACCACCTTGCAAAGGTGTGTACACCCTAAAAGATGGGTTTAAGGGGGGGAAAACAACCTGTAAAATGAATATCAGTTGTGTATACAAGCGCATATGCTAGCAGCCTTGTTTACCATGGTTTGGAATGGGCAAAATTGAAGTTTATTCTGGTTTCCTTGCGAGGGGAGATAGTGATTTCTTTCTTTTTGAAAAAAAAGAAAACAGTACTGAGACCTTGTGGAAGGGTGATATTCACCTGACTTAAGACTTCCACTATCATCTGTCTATCTATCATCTATCTATCTATCTATCTATCTATCCATCCATCCACACCAGGCATAGGCAAACTTGGCCCTCCAGATGTTTTGAGACTACAATTCCCATCACCCCTGACCACTGGTCCTGTTAGCTAGGGATCATGGGAGTTGTAGTCCCAAAACATCTAGAGGGCTGAACTTGCCTATGCCTGATACACACACACACACACACACACACACACAGCTGTACCTCAGGGTCACGGGTCCGAGCCCCACATTGGGCAAAAGATTCCTGCATTGCAGGGGGTTGGGCTAGATGACCCCCAGGGTCCCTTCCAACTCTGCCGTTCTGTCGTTCTGATTTTATGTGTAACTCCCTTCTAAACATGCTGAGATTCAAGCACATCTTCCACATGCGGCTGTGAGTATCAGTTGGTTCCCTCAGGCTGCTGTGAAACAATATAGCAAGAGAGCTTTTTTTTTAAGCCTGAAATTAAATTTTAAGCAGCAATTAAATTTTTATTTTTGATTTTCATTTTTATACATTTCAATAATCTTACAATCGTTTTAACATTTTGAAACTTGACTTCCTTCCCTCTCTTTCTGCGGTTCCTTAAATATTTTTTTTTATATTTTATGCATATTACAAATTAACTTACTCATTTATTTTTCTACTTTAAATATATACTGTACTCACATAAAATGGTAGGCTATTGCAATAATCCTGCCAATGTTCTTATCTGTATACTGTTTGTTTGTAAATATTCGATAAACCATTTCCAGTCTTTTATAAAAAGTTTGTTACCTTGATTTCTTGTTTTTCTGGTATTTTTCGCCAATTCTCTGCAGTTTGGGTAGTTTTGTCCCTATAATTCCCAAAAGGAAAGCTTATTATTATTATTATTTACAAAAGTTATTTTAAACATATTTTTCAATTCATTATATATCATTGAAAAATATTGGCTGGCCTTTGGACGATGACAACATCACGTGGACACAGGGTGGGGGGGGGACGACCCCTTTTTGCATTCTGAACAGATTAATCTGCTTTTATTTTGCTTCATATCCCCATTTTCGTCGGGAACTCAGCACGCAGAAAGCGGAGGTTTAACCCTTCCCTTCGCCAGCTGTGATCCTGACGGAAAGCCGTCCTTTCCCACCACCTTCTTTCACCCCTGGTGACAATTTTTAATTCGGGAAGGGTTAAACCTGATTTTAGAATCGTGTGTGCAGTTTTGCATCTGGAAGCCTTTGCGCTCTTGAGTTCAGCGGATCTCAAGAAAGCGATTGGTGGTACATGCGTGTGTGTTCAAAAAAGAAGCTGTTATATACCTTCGTGCAAATTAATTGAAACAAACAATGTAGTTTATTGTACAAAACTCACTTATACATGTATAAAACTCACATATACGTACATTAGTAACGGATATGACCTTCGCTGTTTTTAAGCAGCATTTGAACACGGTTTGGCATGGAGTCTACTAGTTTTGAACAGTTACTGTTGATTTTCGGATCCCTGTGCCACACTTGAATCAGCGCCTGAATGGGCTTCTCTATAGTCGTACAGTCTACAGCACGGAGGCGACTTTTGCACATAGCCCACAAATTTTCAATGGGATTTACGTCCGGGGAATTCCCCGGCCAATCAAGTACCTGTATTTGCTGCTCTGTCATGAATTTCTTCATCACTTTCATGTGTGACAGGGGGCTAGGTCCTGCTGCAATGCCCCATTATCATCAGAATTCCTCGGGTTAAGTACTTAATTCGTTCTGGAGGTCCGTTCTTAACCTGAAGCACCACTTTAGCTAATGGGGCCTCCTGCTGCTGCCGCGCCGTTGGAGCACGATTTCTGTTCTCGTCCTGAGGCAAATTTCTTAACCTGAGGTAATATTTCTGGGTTAACGGAGTCTGTAACCTGAAGCGTATGTAACCTGAAGCGTATGTAACCCGAGGTACCACTGTAACTCTTTTCCATCTCTGGAGTACAGTGGTACCTTGGGTTACATACGCTTCCGGTTACAGACTCCGCTAACCCAGAAATAGCGCTTCAGGTTAAGAACTTTGCTTCAGGATGAGAACAGAAATCGCGCGGCAGCAGCAGGAGGCCCCATTAGCTAAAGTGGTGCTTCAGGTTAAGAACAGTTTCAGGTTAAGTACGGACCTCCGGAACGAATTAAGTACTTAACCCGAGGTACCACTGTAACTCTCGTAGAACCTCAATATATTGTGGCGAGTGCATCATTCCTTCTATTGGCTGCTGGCTTCTGACACCATAATGATGAACTGGCTTTTTGTGTTTGTTTTGAGTACAGGATTATGGGTAAGATAGAAAACATGCTTTGTTTCAATTAATTTGCACAAGGGTGTGTATGAACAAATGCAACCATCTTAATTATGAAAGGAGATCTCACTCCTGTCTCATCTTGGCCCTGCGACCCTTGATTCAATCCAGCTTCCCCTGTGACTTCCCTGCTGGGGAGCTTTCCTCTCACTTGTTTTCATCTCTCCGGGTCCATTTGCAGAGATTTCGCCCTGAAACTGGCCTGCGTCCTGGCAGAGAACCCAAACGCCGTCCTCCATGCCCTCACCCTCTCCCACAACCCCTTGGAGGACAAAGGTGAGGAGGGATCCTGAACCAACAAGGCCTTTGGGGGTAAAAAAAGCTTCTCTGCTCTTTGCTCATCTTCACCCCACTTTGCTTCTCGTCCCCCTTGAACAGGTCTCAGCGCCTTGAGCCAGCAGCTTCTGTGTTTCCCCAAAGGCCTCAGCAAACTTTGCCTTTCCAAGACCAGCATCACTGCTAAAGGTACGCTTGGCAGGGGTGGGCAAGCTCATAGCTGTCAACCGTCCCTTATTTGGCGGGAAAGCCCTTTATCCCAGTGCTGTGTCCCGCTGCTGTCCCTTACTGATGATGTCCCTTAAATTTCCCGGGTTTCAAAGGAAGCAGCTCCTCTCTCTCCCTCCCTGCCGGCCAGGGAGGAGGGAGGCTCCAACTGTGTTGCTTGGCTGCGTTGCTCACCCAATAAGGAGCCTAAGAACAACTGGGGGGTGGAGCTTGCATGCCTTGTGCCGATCAAATCGGCCGCGTTGCCTGGGGACTCGCCTTTGCTCAGCGCTTCCCAGCAGAGAGGTGACGGCGGTTTTCCCTGCTGCATCCCCTTTGCCGGGTTGCTGCGCTGTGGGAACCACCGCTTGAGGCTTTGTTTGGCTGCTGGCTGGGCTTTCTGCCTTTGGCTCGGAGGGTCTCAGAAGCTGAACATACCTGTGCCCAGAAAATCCCTTATTTTGGCTGCTGATCCCTTATTTTCGAGGCTGCTGGTCCCTTATTTTCAAATCTGTAAGTTGACAGCTATGGGCAAGCTAGAGAGTCCATACATCCAGAATTTCCCATACATATCTGTGGGAATGTTCAGGGTGGCAGGAGAGGATATATTGTTTATTAATATCCTTCCTAACTTGCGCTAGCAAGTTCCTTTGCTTAGCAGAGTTACATTCCCCTTTTTACATGCACAGCAGATAGCTGGTCACAGGCTCGTACAAGCCTCTCGCTATTATACAATTCAGTCTGTCTTCGGATTGAATTGTACGTTCCTGGCAAGTTGCCTTGAATCCCGCTTAAAAGAATAAAGACGCCACAATCTTATGCAAAGTCAATAAAAGAAGTTTACTTACATGAGTTCACAGTTGGATTCCTGAAGGCAGACTTAGTTACAAATATGTACATGTGGATCTACCCCATATGGGGGAATAATCCCAGTGCTTCTGCTAGCAGAGCAGTCCTAGCTAAAAGCTGGTCAAACGAAGAAGGAAGTCAAAAAAAGGAAAGGTTGCTGCGTGACTCGTCCTTTTGTTACCTGGACAGGTTAGGCCACACCCACCTTCTATCACATGCAAAAGGAAGGATGCTCCAGCCAGGAGGAACAGGAAGTTTCGACTGGCTGAACCAAACTTTCCCTCGCATGTCTCCTCTAGCATTTCAAGGAATGTTGTACTTGACTGCCTCTCATGGATCACATCCCACAATATCTGGGATTCATCTGTTGGAAATTGCAGAAATTACAAAATCGGTGAAGATGTCCGGGAAAACACAGACATGTGGCAACCTTTGTTGGAAGAGCTGGGTTTTTTGGGGGGAACTTCCTAAAAAATGGCTCAAAAACTTGTGTGTCTGGATTTTCACTTTTTGAAATGTGGCAAGCTCAGTGGGCAGAGTGGGCACAGGAAAAAAGGAGCGCTCACAGCACTTTTGGTCCAGTTTGCATTTAAAGGCAGCCTCAGGCGGTTCCTATATTATTAATAGCTGCAGTATTTAGTAGATTGACGCATTATGTCAAAATTCATTTGTTTGTGTATTTGTTCTATTATGTTTTTGACATTTACCGGCTGCCTCATGAGCAAAAAAACCAAAGAAGATTTATCTGACCTGGGGAGAGGTTTCACCAGTTGGTTTTCTGCCTGTCATGCAGCTGGCAGGCAGAGGCAATGTGAGGCAAACTGAGCCAGGGACCTAGGGCACAGGCACCTCAGTCAACATGGCCCTTGGAATGAGGCATGATGGGAGTTGTAGTCCTGAAACATCTGGAGGCCCAGAGGCCTAGAGCTGTGCAGTCCCAGGAATGTTTCCTCATAAGTAAGCTGCACTGAATTCCCCAATAAGACTGACTCACTATTAGGGGTGGGGGACAAATTAAACTCATTTCTTATTTAAGGATAAACCTAATTTGCACTTTGTGAAATAATATGCAAACCGAAATTTAGCTATCCTTCAAAAATTGGCTTATCTCTGAATTTTGCAGTGGAGCTCTTTGGCCGAATAATTTGTACCAAAAAAATATATGCATAGACATGAGATAAAATGAGCACAAAAATGCATATATTGTGAAGATAGCATTTATATGGGGTGTATTAGGCAAAATTGTGTACAAGGAACAGGTTTATAAGGAGAAATTCAGACTCAAATACTGAGGAATGTTGATAAGGTTTATTTTTTTTTAAGTAATAGTCGTGAACCGCTTCCCTCACGAGTTGTGAATGGGGAAGCGTCCAAAGAGCTACATAAATTGAATGGTGGTGACAGTTTGTGGGCCTGTTTTCCTTTCCCAGGACTCGCCATTCTGTGCCAGACCTTTGGAGCCAACCCAGCCTTCACCAGCTCCCTCCGCCATCTTGACCTGAGCAAAAACCCAGGGTTATTGGGGACGGAGGAGGCAAACGTGAGTGACCTGTAACTTTTGCGGTGACGCAATTGTGGTGCATTTGTCTTGGACGGCCACACATAGCTCTGCTTTCCTAGTTTTTCTGCTTAGTTTCCTTAGTGTTATCACCCTGGCTACATTTGCACGATACATTTAGTGCTCTATGATACTGCTTTAAGCAGTCCTAGGCGTCCCCCAAAGCATTCTGGGAGCTGTAGTTCAGTGAAGGTGCTGAGAGTTGTTCGGAGACATCTATTCCCCTCACAGTACTACGATTCCCAGAGTTCCCTGGGAAGAGAGTGACTGTTAAGACACTCTGAGAATTGTAATTCTGCGAGGGGAATAGGCATTTCCTCACAACTCTCGGCTCCCTTGAACTACAGCTTCCAGGATGCTTTGGGGGAAGAAAGATTGATAGATAAAAATCTTTATTTGCATCAGCCGCAAGCCATGGCAAAGGAATCAAATACAGCAAAATACTGATATAGCTAGATGGCTGGCTATACAAAATACAGTGGTACCTTGGTTTACAACCATAATCTGTTCCGGAGGTCCGGTTGTAAACCAAAACAGGTTGTAACCCAAGGCGCGCTTTCGCCAATGGGGCCTCCCCCCAAAAAAGGGGGGTTGTAATCCCAAAAAAGGGACACGCACTTCCGGGTTTGACGTGGTTGTTCTGCCTGGTGTCACCACCGCTCCACATGCTTCGTCCCCTCTCACCCCTTTCCTTTCCCCTCTTTTTTAGGGCTTCTATTCCTTCCTGGCCCAGCCCAACGCACTGGTTCACCTGGACCTCTCGTCCACAGACTGCGCCGTGGATGCTGTAAGGTTTTAAGAGAGCCGCAGACTCCGGGGGCGGGGGCAAGGGTGACGTGGAAAGCCTGCCGGGTTACGAGGTGCCGATGCGGGAAAGAGGGATGGCCCCAGCCCTTTGGCGACCGGGATAATTACTCACTATTCCTCCTCCTCTTGGGTGTCCTTTTTTTTTTTAAAAAAAAATATTTTTATTAGTTTTTTTAACATATCATTTCCAACATTCATATAACATAATTTCTTATCTTATACAATATTTTTGACTTCCGTCAACTCCTCTGATGATTTTCCATTTTTATCACTTGTTCTGCATTTCTTAATTTCTCTATTACTCTTAAATATCATTAACTAATAATTCTCCTCATAGTCCTTCTTGCAATATTTCAAATAATCCTCCTTACAAAACGTCTTGCAATCCTACTGGCGTAGTCTGTTCATTACCATTACTTTTCAAATAGTTCGTATATTTACTCCGGTCTTCTAAGAATCTCTGGTCCCGCAGGTTTTGAATCCTTCCTGTTAATTTATCTAACTCTGCATAGTTCATCAGTTTCATCCTCCATTCTTCTTTCGTCGGTAATCCTTCTTGTTTCCATGTTTGTGCCAATAATATTCTTGCTGCCGTCATTGCATATAAAAACAACTTACAATCCTGTCTATTTATATCATCTCCTACAATGCCAAGTAAAAATGCTTCCTCCTTTTGGGTGTCTGTCTATCTTGTCAGTGTCTGTCTTGTCAGTGTCTTGTCAGTCAGTGTCTGTTTGGGCGTCTGTCTATCTTGTCAGAGAGCCAGTGTGGTGTAGTGGTTAAGAGCGGTGGACTCGTAATCTGGGGAACCGGGTTCGCGTCTCCGCTCCTCCACATGCAGCTGCTGGGTGACCTTGGGCCAGTCACACTTCTCTGAAGTCTCTCAGCCCCACTCACCTCACAGAGTATTTGTTGTGGGGGAGGAAGGGAAAGGAGATTGTTAGCCGCTTTGAGACTCCTTCGGGTAGTGATAAAGCAAGATATCAAATCCAAACTCTTCTTCTTGTCTATCTGTCCCCATAGCTCTTTGGGGCCCTGCTTCACGGCTGCTGCCCACGGCTTAGCTACCTCAACCTGGCACGGAACACCTTTTCCCACAGGTAAGGAACTCCCTTCGTCTCTCTACCCTCTTTCCGGGAGACCCTCCGGTTGGAACAACTTCTGGATGCTCAGAGCGGCGGCGGCGGGGTGGGGGTGGGTTAAATGGCTTCTCTGATGGCCTTTGGCTTGGAATCAATTTGATTCCCTCCCCCTCTTTCTTTCTTCCTTTCCCCTTCAGTGATAGAACTCCTATTTGGGGACTTCCCTGGCTTTTTTCTGTCCCACGTAGGACCAGTCTGGATAGTTAGCTTTGGTGAAGACTTGACATTTTCATCCCCCAAAAAGTTTTTGATTTGAGTTTCCACTGAAACGAGGCTGTGTTTTAATGTTTCAATGTTGTCTTTTAATCTTGTTTTTAAGTTATATTTCAATCAATTGTTTTTATATCTGGTGTTAGCCGCCCTGAGCTCGGTCTTGGCTGGGGAGGGCGGGATATAAATAAAATTTATTATTATTATTATTATTATTATTATTATTATTATTATTCCTCTGTCTCCCTCTGCAGGAAAGGAAAGGGACTGCAGCCATCTCTCAAGCAGTTTTTCTGCAGTGCCTATTCCCTCACCTATGTGAACCTGTCAGGCATCAAAATGCCCGTGGAGGCATTAAGGTGAGCACTTGCCCGCCCTGCACCCTGTCGTTCCGAAAACACTGTGCATGTGTGCGTTAGGACTCTATTCCGCCATTAGGTTTTCCAGCTGGCCACTTTGAGCTCCCCCCTCTCTCAGGTTGCCGGGTTTCTGGAACACAGAAAGACCCCTTAAGGTTGAAAATAACAATAATTTTATTTGTATCCCGCCCTCCCCAGCCAAAGCCGGGCTCAGAGCAGCTAACATAATAAAAATCAGACAACACGCATAATACAATATGCAAGTAAAATAACATTCAACATTCGTTAAAATAATATAGACTATTAAATATGGCAAATCAAAATGGAGGATTTTGCAACACTGAACAAGATCTCTTTGATTTTATGAGTAAAGCAAGAAGAAAAAAGTATTATAGGATTCAAACAAGAATGAGCTTCCTTTTTTGAGTCGGACCTTTTGGTCTGTCTAGCTCAGCATTTCGTACACTGACTGGCAACAGGCGCCCAGGGTTTCAGACAGGGGATGTTCCCAGCTCCTGGAACTTGTCTGCGTGCAAAGCTCTATCCCTGAGCTGTCTTTGAGACTCATGAGATGGGGTGTAGTGACCTCAGGCCAAGGGGGACCTCATGATGTCATGGGGCAAAACCCTAATACATGGAATGTGGTCCAGTAGTAAGGACAATGACATTATTATTATTATTATTATTATTATTATTATTATTATTATTATTATATTTGTACCCTGCCTAGCTGACTGGGTTGCCCAAGCCACTCTGGCCATCATCCAACAAAATATAAAAACACAGTAAGACATACACCTGACATTAAAAATGTCCCTGTACAGGGCTGCCTTCAGATGTCTTCTGAAAGTCAAGTAGTTGTTTATTTCCTTGATGGGAGGGCGTTCTACAGGTTGGGCGCCACCACCGAGAAGGCCCTCTTCCTGGTTCCCTGTAACTTCACTTCTTGCAGTGAGGGAACTGCCAGAAGGCCCTCGGAGCTGGACTTCAGTGTCCAGGCTGAACGAAGAAGAGACACAAAGACCTTGGAGGATGAGAGCATTTCTGTGCCTTGCCTGTTGCTCTGGGCTTCTTCATAACTCTCAGCACCTTTAACTACACTTCTCAGGATTCTCTTGGGGAAGCCATTTCTGTTTAAAGCGGTATGATACTGCTTTAAATGCATAGTGCGGATGGGACCTTCAACACGTGGACATCGCCAGAGTGAGGATAGCTGGTGTAGGGTAACAGGCTAGCTAGCTCCCAGGACTTCTGGGAAACTACAGTTTCCCGCAACATTCTCACATGATTGCCATGACAAGCCTAAGACTGGTTCAAGCTTCCAGTGCCACGTCCATGGGCTCTGCTGCCCTCTGCTGGAGGGAGGCCCCGGCTATCTGAGTGATAGCCAACGCCTCGGAAAGCTTTAAACTTTGTACTGTTTTTTATGTTGTTAGATTTTTACCGTGTACAGTGGTACCTCGGGTTAAGTACTTAATTTGTTCTGGAGGTCCATTCTTAACCTGAAACTGTTCTTAACCTGAAGCACCACTTTAGCTAATGGGGCCTCCTGCTGCCGCTGCGCTGCTGTTCTCATCCTGAAGCAAAGTTCTTAACCCGAGGTACTATTTCTGGGTTAGCGGAGTCTGTAACCTGAAGTGTATGTAACCTGAAGCGTATGTAACCCGAGGTACCACTGTATATATATTGCTGCACAATGCTTTATTATACTGTGTCTATAGAAACACAAATGAGGGTTAGACAAATTCACGCAGAACAAGGCTCTCAGCGGTCACTGGTGACAATGGTTGTCGTCCCTTGCGCAGAGCTCAGTGGCAGGAGAGGTCAGCCAAGCAGCCAAGTCTTGGGGGGGGTGTACTTGGCCGGAGGCAGAGTCTATCTACAAGGTCCAGTCCAGTCCTAAGGCCAGGAGTATCTCAGTTCACTTAGTCAGAAGATCCGGGGGTCAAGAAAGTTGAGGGTTGCAAGAAGCAGCAAGGTCCGGCCAGGAACGACAAACGTCATTTCCAGCAACTGACTGAGGCTGGAAGCCCTGTTTAAGAACCAGCTGGTTCACATCAGGAGCAAGAAGGCTGATCAGCGGCAGGTGGAGTCACTCTGCTTCCTGCCCCTTCAGGCTGCTGCTCAGCAGGTGAAGCAAATTCCTGGCCCGTGACAACAATGGCTGTTCTCTCCCTCTGCGTCAAAGGAGCAGTCAGTAATCAGACAGGCCAAAGATGGCGTTAACTCTTCATCAGCAAAAATACAACCTCCACAGACTTGGTTGAATGTCAGGCCTCATGAGCATAGCTGCTCGTTCCCGGTGGTCTTCCTCCGTGGAAATCATTTGCTGAGATTGAAAGTCCTCTCCGCCTCCTCAGGGGTTTTCCCCAAGGAATCGGAGACTGCGCCTGCATGTAGCCAACCTCTCCTCCTCCCCTTTCATGCCTCTTCTGGTTCGCGGTAGGCCACAGAATACCGGTTTCTGAGAACCGCCAGCAGAAAGAGTTGATGTTGAATTTTCTGCATGCAGAGCAGGATTTCGCTCACTCAGATGTCCCTAGTTCGCTTGTTCAAACCACAATATGTCCTTGCCTTCCTCGCTCAGGTCTCTTTTCCAAGGTCTGTCGGCCAACACCCACCTCAGCGAACTCCACCTGGACCTGAGTGGATGTGAGGTAAATCGGGGTGGGGCGAATGGGGTGGGCTTCTTGAGCAGACGTCTTCTCAGAGAGGAGGCGTTGGGGGCCGAGCTGCTTCCGTGTGAGGCGATTTACCTCAGAGCTTCCCAGCATCCATTTGATACGATAGGCCTCTTGAGCTCCCTTTCCTCTCTGAGTCACTCATTAAACCTCTCTCTCTCTCTTTCTCTCTCTCCGTCTTCCTTTCCTTCCTACCTAGTTGCGCTCCCCGGGTGCTCACGTCCTTCAAGAGCAGCTGTCTGGAATCAGCGCCTTGAGTAGTCTAGATCTTTCTGACAATGGTGAGACCATGATGCTCCCCAGCTGCTGCTCCTGCCTTAATAATAATAACAATATTTTATTTATATCCCGCCCTCCCCAGCCGAAACCGGGCTCAGAGCGGCTAACAACAGTAAAATATTGTGTTTGCCCTTCCTTGTTGCAGATATTGTGCAGTCTGAAGTGACTAGAAGCATAAGAACTGACTCCTTCTGGAATAAATCATTGTCCAGACCCATTTTAAAAAAATATTCAAACTTTTACTAGCAGATCTCTTTAAAATAAAACAGAATAAAGCAAATCATGTGTCCGAAATATCCATACAATGCCTTGTGCTCTCCAGCACAGGCTCAGCATCTTGCAAAATATGAAATAATCGAAACAGACCTATAAGCAAAGGTTTCTCTCTCTCCACAGCTTGCATTCCAGCCTCCAGGCTATTTACTCTCCCTTGAGGAGAGCTTCATTTTACATCTTCACGGTTGAGTTTGGGAGAAAAGACTCACAAAGGCAGCTCCCTTCAAAATGGAGATTTGCAACCCAATACCTCTCACAATATGATCTAAGGTTACAACCCTTATGTGTTAGCTACCAGAGAAACAACAATCAGTTAGTTATTCATTAACTTAGCAAAAGCTCAGAGTGCTCTCCTTGGCTTTAATATAGCCCCATGGTGGGGAAAAACCCCTTGTTAAATCTTCTGCAATATACCTTCAGCCATTTTTCATTTCTGTGTCAATTAAAGCATTGTACTTAACATTCCTGACCTATCCTGCCACTCCCTCCTCCTCCTCCTCCTCCTCACGCCAGGCTTCGACGCCGACTTGCTGACTCTCGTCCCGGCGCTAGGCAGGAACAAGTCTCTGAAGCACCTCTGGCTGGGCAAGAACTTCAACGTCAAATCCCGGTGGGTTTATTTATATATTGAATTTATATACAGCCCTATACCCGGAGGTCTCAGGGTGTTTCACAAAACCTGGGTTACATAGAGGCGGATTTAGGGGAGCGCAAACGGTTGGCTCGCACTGGGCGCTGAGCCAAGAGGGAGCTGCAAGGTACACTGCAATAATGACGAGCAACAGAAGATGAGAGGCATTTGGGTGCTGAATGTTGGTGTCACAAAGGGCACCACTGAAATTTTAAAGCCCAAATTACGTCCCTGGGCCATGCCCCTTGGTTGGGCGATCTAGGACTATCCAGGGCGACGGTGTCATGCTGTCGTTTAGTCACTAGGGGGCGCTGCACTTAAGTTGCTTCTTCATTTGGAAGGTTTGTGAACCGTTTGACCATAGAGATCTCTGATTGATGTACGAGATGTTGATAAAGTGCGGATGAAATCCACAATTTTAAAAAAGAAATATGCACAAGTTGATGGTCATTAAAGCACAGGGGAAAACCCAGCGGAACTCTAAAAACAAACAGGAGGTTCCTTTTTCTGGAGAGATTTGTCAAAAGGCAAGCTTGGTTCCATCTTATTAAGTTTATTCATGAAGAATCAGAAGCCCCACAAGCCCCTGGTGATATATGCAAACATATGGAGCAGTTCTGCAGCGGAATCATTTCAAGATATACTAAAAAAATCACGCATCCACTGTTTCGTGGGGCCGCAATGGTGCAAAAACGTGGTTACAAAGCACAGATCCACATGGATCCTCAGGATTTTTGCATTGGGTCACCCCAAATTCACATCAGATCACATAGCACGTCCATGGCTACAGCCTGCACCAAAAAAATCACACACCCACTGTTTCGTAGGGCTGCAATGGCGCAAAAATGTGGTTACAAAGCACGGATCCACATGGATTCTCAAGATTTTTGCATTGGGCTACCCCAAACTCACCGTCAAATCACATGTCTGTAGCCACAGCACGAACCACAAAAATCATACATCCACTGTTTCATTCAGAATATTTTTTTTCTTGTTTTCCTCCTCTAAAAACTAGGTGCGTCTTATAGAGCGAAAAATACGGTGCCTTATAGGGAGCAATTTGTAAATGGAATCAAATAAACAAACTGCCCTGACATGCCCACGTTGCTCTTGTTCCTCAGTCTGACGTTCCCCCTGTTGTCTCTCTGTAGGACCTTGGAGGAAATCCTTCAGAAGATTGTGCAGATGATCCAGGAAGAGGAGTGTGTAAGTCAGGGGTCAGCAAACCTTTTCAGCAGAGGGCCGGTCCACTGTCCCTCAGACCTTGTGGGGAGCTGGACTGTATTTTGAAAAAAAGAAAGAAAAAAGAACGAATTCCTGTGCCCCCAAAATAACCCAGAGATGCATTTTAAATAAAAGCACACATTCTACTCATGTAAAAACACGCTGATTCCTGGACCATCCGCGGGCTGGATTGAGAAGGTGATTGGGCCAGATACGGCCCCCGGGCCTTAGTTTGCCTATCCATAGTGTAAGTCCTTTGCTGTGCAAAAGTGGTGTGGTGGTTTGTAGACTGAAGAGTGGGGCAGGTGGAGGGTTGCAAACTGAAACCTGTGGGGGAAATCAGAGCGACAGTGTGGGTATCTCTGTGACTGGGTTGCGCAACATGTTTTCTTTACTTCCACTAGTGGAGTTTGCTTGGGTTTTTCCCCCAATTTGAACAGGGAAACAGAGATGAGGGCAGAGTAGATTTTAACCACCGCCCTGCTTTTTCCTGATCTAAATGGACCCCCAACACAGACACACAAATCTACTGTTAGTCCCTTTGGCACCACGAATGCTGGGGCCTGTATTTTATAGGTTTTTAAGATAAACGAGGTTGGCTTCTAAAACAAACATACCTTTATTTATTGTCGTTGATTTATTAAATTTGTATACCGCCCTTTATCCACAGACCTCAGAGCGGTTCACAACATAAAATGACGATATAAAAAACACAGAATACATAACAAAAATGAGAACAACAACATCAGTGATCCGCCCCACCCTTCCGCAACACGTTTTAAAAGGGCATCGGATTTCAGTCAGCCAAAGGGCTGGTTAAAGAGGAACATTTTCGTCTGGCTCCTAAAAGTATACAGTGGTACCTCGGTTTACGAATTTAATCTGTTCCGGAAGTCTGTTCTTAAACTGAAACCGTTCTTAAACTGAGGCGCACTTTCCCTAATGAGGCCTCCTGCCGCCCGTGCCCTTCCACCATTCGGATTCCATTCTTAGACCAAGGTAAAGTTTGCAAACCGGGACACTACTTCCGGTTTTGCGGAGTTCGTAAACCAAATCGTTTGTAATAATAATAGTAATAATAGTAATAAATTTTTATTTATACCCCGCCCTTCCCAGTTCAGAAAACTGGGCTCAGGGCAGCTAACAACAAATTTAAAACACTTAATTGATGCAACAAAAAACAGCATAAAATACAAAACATGAATAACAATAAATTCAGAATTCAAAAATCAATTTAGGGGGGAAATCTATTCAATAAACATTAGATGATTACTAGTGCTAGCTGGCTAAATTAATCCTACTTGGGCCAGTGAGGAGACAAGGGGAGAATTAGCTGTGGGATCCCAGAGCGGGTAATCTTCATAAAAAAAAGGGGGGGGAGGAAGGGGAATAAAAGATCAGGCTAAGTTCAAATTGAAAGCCAGGTGGAATAGCTCTGTCTTACAGACCCTGCGGAAGGAAGTTAAATCCTGCAGGGCCCTAGTCTCATGGGACAGAGCATTCCACCAGGTCGGAGCCATCACCGAGAAGGCCCTGGCCCTGGTGGAGGATAGTCTGACTTCCTTAGGGTCCGGGACCTGTAAACTATGATTATTCATGGACCTTACGGTCCTCTGGGTGCATACCAGGAGAGGTGGTCTGTAAACAGGACTGTTGTTAAACCCAGGTCCCACTGTATAATGAAGGCGCCACAACCTCTTCTTCACACTTTCTCTTACTGCCTGTGTATCTTAGGCTATCTATCAATATATATCGGTACCACAATGGCGCAGGCAATTCTTTCCCTTCCCCTTTTATTCTCACAACAACCCTGCGAGGTAGGATAATCTGAGAGGCGGTGACTGGCTTACGTTGACCCTGTGAGCATAGTGGCTGAGTGGCAATTTGAACCCTGGCCGCTCTCCGCCCCTAGTCCTAATCTGGCACTCTTAAGCCCTGTGCCACGATGAGATGCTCCCTCACTCTGTCCTTTTCTTCTTCTTCTTATTCTCCTCCTGCCTGCTACCCCGAAGTCCCTGCAGTCTTTCTCCGTTGCCGACTCCCGGCTCAAAACCCGCACCAGCATCCTGATCAACGCCCTGGGCAGCAACACTTGCCTGACCAAAGTGGACCTGAGTGGGAACTGCATGGAGGACATCGGAGCCAAGATGCTGTCGAAAGCCCTGCAGATCAACAGCACGCTGAGGTGGGCGGGGGAAACCGGCCGGTCAGGCAGGGCAGGGGCTTCCCGGTTGGTTTGCCCAGCCTTTGGATATCTGGGGTACGCTTGCCCCCCCCCAAAAAATTTTGCCACACGGACCCGAAAATGCCTGACTGGGCTTCTTTGAGAGGGAAGGAAATTTACCTCAGCGCTCTCTCCAACTCCTCCCCATCAGCAGAAGGATTGCTGCTCGCAGAATGGGATCCGTGCAAGGATTAACGCTGGGATCACTTCTCTTCTCCAGATCTGCACTAGCAAATCGAGGGAACCCCCTATAATAGATTTAGAGGGTGAATTTGCGGAGGAGGAGAAGGGGTGGGGAAGTCCAATGGCAATAGCCTTGCGCTGAGGGATGCTCAGTTAGGGTAGCGTTGTGTTGGCTGCAACCCCCCCCCCCAAAAAATCCCCAATAGTATGGAGGTTTGTATAATCATAGAGTTGGAAGGGACCGCAAGGGTAATCTGGTACAACCCGCTGCAAAGCAGGAATCTTTTGCCCAATGTATGGCTCGATCCCACAACCTGGAGGTTATAAGTGGGGGATGAAATAGGAAACCAGGGAAGGGAACATGTAATGGAGTATTCTAAGAATGGGCTCCTGGTCAGGTGTACTGTGTCTTCCTATCTTCTTTGGCGATCACTCATAGCCGAGTAAGATTGTCTTCCATAAACACAGCTTTATCAGTGAGTCCGTAAGTGACTGTGGAGGCCAATTCTAGATCCACACGTCCTTCCACAGTGGGGACATTGGTTTCCGGGTGGGAGTTGATCATGGTGAGCGTTTGCCAAGCGTGCCTTCCTCTTAGCACATTTCTCCCTTGCGTCCTGAGTTCGAGTGTCTTCAAAGCCCACGACACCTTTGGTAAAGGCTGTTCTCCAACTGGAGCGCTCACAGGCCAGTGTTTCCCAATTGTCGGTGTATATACTACATTTTTTAAGATTTGCCTTGAGAGAGTCTTTAAACCTCTTTTGTTGACCACGAGCATTACGCTTCCCCTTTTTAAAGTTCGGAATAGAGTAGTTGCTAATGGAGGCTGTTTCACATAACTGCTGTTTGGCAGGCAAGGAGGGAAGGAACTCAATTGCTTGTTGCGGGTCAGGAATTGATAAGTCAAAACAAGAGATGGGATCACAACCGCTACCTGTTCCCCCACCCCTTTCTTGCTTTCAAGGAGTATTTCCTGGGATAAGAACAATACAACTGCACAAGGCTTTCAGGACATCGCCAGGGCCTTGGAGAAGTGAGTAACTAGAGCGGTTTTGTACTCCTTTTCCTTGAGGGAATAGGGGGGCGGGGGGAGTCGAAAGCCAGTGTGGTGTAGTGGTTAAGAGCGGTAGACTTGTAATCTGGTGAACCGGGTTCGATTCCCCGCTCCTCCACACGCAGCTGCTGGGTGACCTTGGGCCAGTCACACGTCTCTGAAGTCTCTCAGCCCCACTCACCTCTCAGAGTGTTTGTTGTGGGGGAGGAAGGGAAAGGAGAATGTTAGCCGCTTTGAGACTCCTTCGGGTAGTGATAAAGCGGGATATCAAATCCAAAACAACAACAACAAAAAACATGGCTTCTCATGCTCACATTTTCACGAGAGAAAGAGAGTACGTGGCTTAAAGGTTTCTGAAACGTTAAATGGTTTATAAATGCTTTCGAATAAATAAATAAAACGGCCTCTTCTGCAGCAACTACACCCTCAAGTTCATGTCCTTCCCCATGAGTGACATCACGGCGGCCTACCGAAACGCCCCTGAGAGGACGGACGAGGTGTGGCAAAAGGTGAGCCCTGCCCCTTCCCTACGGGCCTTGGGATGAGGGGGATAATTTGGTCCCGTTTGCATTTTAGCGAGAAACTACCCAACTCGTTCCTCTCGAACGATCCTTAAGCACTTGCACTTCTCTGAATTTTGCACTTGCCCCCCCCAACCAAGTAATGTGTGTAAAAAATGGACATATGGGGAGAAAGTCTGGCTATAAAAGCCTTTATCGGCGGAAATAACACGCAAGGTGCGTTTTATGAGGGAGAATTGCTTGAGAAACCGTGTATAAAATGGTTCCGTTCCGGAAGACCATTCGACATCCGAAATGTTCGAAACCCGAGGCGCAAAGGGCGGTCTGCAAATTTACAGAGAAAATTGAGAACAATACAGCAGTACCTCAGCGGAAGCCATTCGACTTCTGAGGTGTGTTCGAAAACGGGAGCATTTACTTCTGGGTTTACGGCGTTCGAGTTCTGAAACGTCCGTCAACGGAGACATTCGAGAACCGAGGTACCACTGTATCATAGCTGTCAACGTTTCCCTTTTTTAAAGGGAAATTCCCTTATTCTGAATAGGATTCCTCGCAAGAAAACGGAAAAGTTGACAGCTATGCACTGTATTGGGTGGAGCAGCATACAGAAATTGAGGGCAAGAGAAAAATTAAGTTTTTGTGAGGATTTCTTTAGAAATCATCATCTGTGGCAGTTGTAGAGGAGAAACTTGAAACGAATGGATTTGGACCGCTGGAGAAATGCCCACTTCCTCTGCTGGCGTGCAAATCCCAGCTTTGGCATGATCCCTTCCCTGTCTCTTTCCCCCCTCCTCTCTCCCCTTCAGATCCAGTGGTGTCTCCTCAGGAACAACCACTCGCAGAAGTTCCCCCAGGACCAAGCCTTCCGCCTCCACCAGGGAATCGTCACCAATAGCGCCGAGCAAGTAAACGTTCCCATCTCCCTGTTCGGCACACACTTGCCACCCCTTCCTGCAAATTCCCGTGCGGAACGAGCGGGGCCTGTCCGCCCCACGCCCAGAGGGGCTGCTGTGATTGGCCGGCCAGCGGGTTCGGGACTTGGCGCCTTGGCGAGGGCCAGGAGCTAATGGCCCCCTGTGTCTTGCCCCTTCCCTAGATGATGAGCCGCCTCTGTGTCAGGGTCCAGGAAGAGGTGCGGTTGCTGCGGACCTGCTCCGCCGACCCGATCCAGGAGGAAGTGCTCTACGCCCGGGAACTCATGAAGGAAGCCAAGAACTCGCGGGCGGTGAGCTTCATCTATTTATTTACATTCCTAGCCCCACGGTTCCTCCGAGGATCTGAAGGCGTTGCGCACGTGGTTCATTTCCCCCTCCTCATCGACATACCTCACGACAACCCTGTGAGGTAGGTTAGACTGAGAGGCAGTGACTGGACAAAAGTCACCCGGGGAATTTTGTGGCTGATATAACTTCATATTGAAATTGAATTGAAATACCTTATAGTCACTTGTACAACTTGTATACAGTGAGATTACACGAGCACCCCCCACTCAGCTCTCTTAGTCTTAATTCCCCACATTTACTGACACACAAGGGACGCGGGTGGCTCTGTGGGTTAAACCACAGAGCCTAGGACTTGCCAATCAGAAGGTCGGCAGTTTGAATCCCCGCGACGGGGTGAGCTCCCATTGCTCGGTCCCTGCTCCTGCCAACCTAGCAGTTCGAAAGCATGTCAAAGTGCAAGTACAGTGGTGCCTCGCAAGACGAAATTAATCCGTTCCGCGAGAGTCTTCGTCTAGCGGTTTTTTCGTCTTGCGAAGCAACCCTATTAGCGGCTTAACGGATTAGCGCTATTAGCGGTTTAGCGGCTATTAAAGGCTTAAAGGCTTAGGGATTAGCTGCTAAAAGGCTATTAAAGGCTATTAAAGGCTTAGCAGATTAGATAAAGGGGGAAAAGCGAAAAAATCTCAAGACTCGCAAGACATTTTCGTCTTGCGAAGCAAGCCCATAGGGGAATTCGTCCTGCGAAGCAACTTCAAAACGGAAAACCCTTTCGTCTAGCGGTTTTTCCGTCTTGCGAGGCATTCGTCTTGCGGGGCACCACTGTAGATAAATAGGTACCGCTCCGGCGGGAAGGTAAACAGCGTTTCCGTGCGCTGCTCTGGTTCGCCAGAAGCGGCTTAGTCCTGCTGGCCACATGACCTGGAAGCTGTATGCCGGCTCCCTCGGCCAATAAAGCAAGACGAGCACCGCAACCCCAGAGTCGGTCACGACTGGACCTAATGGTCAGGGGTCCCTTTACCTTTACCTTTTACTGATGCACACCCACCAAACCCGAAAGTCAGTTGCCCTGTTGTTATCTTTTCATTCAGCAGCCTACCAGCCCATGGATAGAAGCTGTTCTTTACCCTGTTGGTGCGACTAATCACGCTTCTATATCTTCTGCCCGAGGGCAGGAGATCAAGAAAGTGCCGGCCGGGGTGTGAATCATCCCTGATAATTTTCCTCACTCTCCTGAGGCAACGTTCTTCCACTATTTCATCCAGCGGATTCATGGGACAGCCCATAATATCTTGTGCTGTATTCACCACCCTTTCTTCGCCTTGTCAGCTATTTATTTATTTAAAGGGATGCGGGTGGCGCTGTGGGTTAAACCACAGAGCCTAGGACTTGCCAATCAGAAGGTCGGCGGTTCGAATCCCCGCGACAGGGTGAGCTCCCGTTGCTCGGTCCCTGCTCCTGCCAACCTAGCAGCTCAAAAGCATGTCAAAGTGCAAGTAGATAAATAGGTACCGCTCCGGCGGGAAGGTAAATGGCATTTCCGTGTGCTGCTCTGGTTCACCAGAAGCGGCTCAGTCATGCTGGCCACATGACCCGGAAGCTGTACGCCAGCTCCCTCGGCCAGTAAAGCGAGATGAGCACCGCAACCCCAGAATTGGCCACGACTGGACCTAATGGTCAGGGGTCCCTTTACCTTTACTAAATTTCTCTCCCAAACGTTCTCTGTGAAAATCCGTATCCAAACCGAAACTGTAGAAAGGTCTCTGTAGGTGTGTTCCTTGTGTGCTTTTTAATGATGATATTTTTACTGCAGTTTATTGAATAAAAAACACACAGAGAGAGAAAAGCACCTGCGAAGCATCCTATCTCTTTTTCTCTCTTAGCTCTTCCCCAGCCTGTATGAGCTTGGGCACATTTTGGCCAGCGACGGTCCAGTCCGGCACAGGCTAGAATCAGTGGCCAACGAGGTCTCAAAAGCAGTCGACAAGGAACTGCAGGTATTGCTGTTTTCATTTTGCTTTTCTATTGTTCATTTATTGCATTTAAAAACCCCACTTTTCTTCTAAAGGAGCTCAAGGGCGGCATACGTTGTTCTCCCCACTCCTTGTTTTATCTCCACAACAGCCCTGTGGGGTAGATTGGGCTGAGCAGTTGTGCATGGCCCAAGGTCACCCAGCGAGTGCCCCATGATCTGAACCCAGGTCCTAATCCATGCTTCCTCAAACTCAGCCCTCCAGGTGTTTTTGGCCTACAATTCCCATGATCCCTAGCTAGCAGGACCAGCGGTCAGGGATGATGGGAATTGTGGTCTCAAAACATCGGGAGTTTGAGGAAGCCTGTCCTAATCCAACCCTCTGATCCAGGCTCCCAACAGAATATTAAAAACACGATAAAACATCAAACATTAAAAACTTCTCTAAACAGGGCTGCCTTCAGATGCCTTTGTTTGTTTCCTTGACATCTGAGGGGAGGATGTTCTACAGGGCAGGCGCCACCACCGAGAAGGCCCTCTGCCTGGTTCCTTGTAACCTCACTTCTTGCAGGGAGGGAACCGCCAGAAGGCCCTTGGAGCTGGACCTCAGTGTCTGGACCGAATGATAGGGGTGGAGACGCTCCGTCAGGTGTACTGGGCCTTTGAGGCCGTTTAGGGCTTTAAATGTCAGTACCAACACTTTGAATTGTGCCCGGAAACGTCCTGGGAGCCATTGTAGGTCTTTCAGGTGTTATATGGTCTCGGTGGCCTCTTCCAGTCAGCAGTCTGGCTGCCGCATTCTGGATTAATTGTAGTTTCCGGGTCACCTTCAAAGGTAGCCCCACGTAGAGCGCATTGCAGTAGTCCAAGACGTGAGATAACCAGAGCATATTGAAGCAAGGGAATATAACCATTTATGAGCTCATTGCTGCAACTGCTACCGATTAATTGTGGGGTTCTCTTTGACTACGAAGATCAGGCATAGGCAAACTCGGCCCTCCCGATGTTTTTGGGACTACAACTCCCATCACCCCTAGATAACAGGACTAGTGGTCAGGGATGATGGGAATTGTAGCCCCAAAACATCTGGAGGGCCGGGTTTGCCTATGCCTGACCAAGATGGTGTTTGCAGAGCTTTTGGAACGGTTCACCATTGGTTCAACACACCAAGAGGCTTGAAGAAGCCAGTGGTTGCCATGGTGACCAAATAAATGGAGGAGAAGGCCCCTTGGGCCTTCGGGAACTGGTCAGCCCTCTGCAGGAACGCCCGTCGCCTTGCACGAAAGGGCGGGTTTGATTCTTGAGAAAGACACCCGCCGTGCGGTTGGCATCAAGGCATCCCAAATGCTCTTCTCTTGCCCAGCCGGCTGCCATACTGTGCTGGGCTTGGGGATAACACAAGTAATGCAGTCCAGGTCCAGTCCCAAATCCAAGGGTTCCGCAAGAAGTCAGTTCAACAGGGCCACGGCAGGACACAAGGCAGAAAACCAAGCAAGGCCAGGATCTCAGGCAGGTTCTGGCAAACAGCAATGTTCCTCCCGCAACCTGGGGCAGGGTCCGACAGCCTTTTACCTTCGTCGGGTTAGCGGTCGGTCCTGATCCCTTGGCGACTCACCTCCCTGTTTCACCCGAAGGCGAGCACTCTCCTGCGAGTACTCAGGTCTCTCCTTCTCTCAGACCTTAGTCTCTGCAGCTCGGGAGACGTCGGTGGGTTACTAGACCCAGAGGCCGCCTCAGCCTCTCCTGACCCAACCAGTAGTGGAGCAGCTGTAAGTGATGGTCCAGCTGAAGGCAACGAGGTAATCCCCACATCTGGAGCCAGGGCAGACTCAGGCCCCTGACTCAACCCAGCTGATGCTTGTCGCAGGGGAACCTGTGCAGACTGCGGCTCTTCAGAAAAAAGCCCCAGACTTGGTTCAGATGCCGCCTGGGGCAAAGGACTGAGTGCAGACTGAGACTCTTCTGGTTCCGAGCCCGAGTCCCAGGCCATCACACCTGCTTCTTCTCTCCCCTCTGCAGGTGATCCTGGAGTCCATGGTTTCCCTCACCCAGGAACTGTGCCCACACGCCGTCCAGGCGGCGGAAGAGCACAACAAGATGCTGGCGGCCGTTTCGGAGCGCGTCACCGTGCCCCAAAACTTCATCCGGGGGGCTCTGCTGGAGCAGGCTGGGCAGGACATTCAGAATAAGCTCAAGTGAGGAGCAGGAGGGCACAGAGGGGATGCCATGCGGGGACTGAGAATGGCGCTTTTCACAGACAAAGCAGGTTCTCTGCCACTGAGCTACCGCCCCACAAGCTTGGGGGGGGGGGAGGCAGTCATGCTATCTGAAGTGGGGCCTGGCCAGGGCCGGATTTAGGTTTGATGAGGCCCTCAGCTACTGGAGGCAATGGGGCCCTTTATATGTCCAGCTGTCCTTTGTCAACCACAAATTGCCGCTGTTTTTTGTGTTGAATGTATGCTGGATGGTAATTTATGGACCTAATAGGTACCCAAAGCCATTTGCACATAACAAAATATGTATTGTATCAAAGTAATTGTTGAATTCAAATACAATTAAGAAGAAGTATATTAATAGTGAAATACAGTAGAACCTCGACTTAACCACCACCCCTACTCTCGAACAATCCGACTCGTGACTGCGGCAAACCCGGAAGTAAATACCGGGTTTGCCACGATTCGCGCACGTGTAGAACGGCGCTTCTCCCAGCGACCCGGATCGACTCACGAACGGACCTCCGGAACGGATTCCGTACATGAGTAGAGGTTCCACTGTACAATTAAGGAGAAGTATATTAATAGTAGGGATGTGGGTGGCGCTGTGGGTTAAACCACAGAGCCTAAGGGTTGCCGATCAGAAGGTCGGCGGTTCGAATCCCCATGATGGGGTGAGCTCCCGTTGCTCGGTCCCTGCTCCTGCCAACCTAGCAGTTCAAAAGCACGTCAAAGTGCAAGTAGATCAATAGGTACCACTCCGGCGGGAAGGACAACGGCGTTTCCGTGCGCTGCTCTGGTTTGCCAGAAGCGGCTTAGTCATGCTGGCCACATGACCCAGAAGCTGTACGCCGCCTCCTTCGGCCAATAAAGCAAGATGAGCGCTGCAACCCCAGAGTCGTCCGCGACTAGACCTAACAGTCAGGGGTCCCTTTACCTTTACGTATATTAATAGTGAAATATTTATTAAGCTCTAACTTAAAATGATTTTTTATTCATAACAAACTTAATAATGCAAACACATTGGCATTTGGCAATAACAAAAGTTCCTTTAGAAACACAATTTACAAAGCCTCATGATCTAGTCTCTAGAAACTTGCTGCAACGTGAAATAATAATAGGTGTAAATATATGATGCAAACTAGTAATAATTATAATTAGCTTTATTAATACGAAATGAAGTGTGTTATAACTTGTACAATGCAATTGTAGTTAATACAATGCATTTTTTATATAATATCAATGTCACCATAGTAGTCAACTAATGGGCGGGGCCCATTACTTACATCATAGGAGCCTACACAACACAAAACACTGTAGGTTTTGTTTTATTTGCTTTTTGTCTTATATTTTGGAAGTGTACATCCAGGTTTTTTTCCCTTTAATTTATTTGGGGCCCCTAAGCTATAGCTTGTTTAGCTTATATGTAAATCTGTCACTGGGACTGGCACAGGGGTTTGGAAGGGGGGTACGCGAACCTCTCTGACCCTCTCTATCTCTGATCCCACGCCCAGCGAGGTCAAGCTGTCGGTGGTGACCTACCTGACCAACACCATTGTGGAGGAGCTGCTGCAGGAGTTGTACTACGCTCACAAGAGTCTGGTGAGAGCAAGCCCCATTCCGCCCCTAATTACACCCCCCCGGGGGTTCATTTAATCCAGGGCTCAGTGCTAGAAACAGTGCTGAGGGGGCATTGGACCAGGCCTCAGCCCTGACCTCTGCAAATTGCTACCTAACCAACTCCCCCCAGGGCATGTGCAGAGTGCTTGGCCAATAGCGCTAAGCCAACGCATGGAAGCCTCCCCCCGCCCCGGAATTAGCAGGGACAATGCCCCTTTCACTATCTTATCAGGAGAGGGAACGAATTCAGGCAAGTGTACCGCAAAACCCGCTGTAATTGTGTCCTATATGTATGGGTTCAATCGATTCCACTTACAAGTCTCTTCCCCTAAAAGTATCTCAAGCGATTTCTCTGTAGAATCATAGACTTGGAAGGGAGGGTCACCTAGTCCCACCCCCTTCAAACGCAGGGATATGCAGCAGGAATCGAACCCGCGACCTTGGCATTATCAAAAGCCATTCAGTGTGTGAAAAGAGCAGTTGAAAATAACTTCAGATGCCACCTATATATAATATAATAATAATTTATTATTTGTAGCCAGCCCATCTGGCTGGGTCTCGCCAGGCGACAAAGATTAAAAATACATTAAAATGTCAGACATTAAAAACTTCCCTGAACAGGGCTGCCTTCAGATGTCTTCTAAATGTTAGGTAGTTGTTTATCTCTTTGACATCTGATGGGAGGGTGTTCCACAGGGCGGGCGCCACTACCGAGAAGGCCCTCTGCCTGGTTCCCTGTAGCTTTGCTTCTCGCAATGAGGGAACTGCCAGAAGGCCTTCAGAGCTGGACCTCAGCGTCCGGGCAGAATGATGGGAGTGGAGACGTGCCTTCAGGCATATGCTGACGCTCACCTGCAGGCCTTCCTCTCTCTTGCATGGGGGAGGCCTCCCTCTCCTCTCTCAGCCCGTAATGCCTCCCCAATCTCCTCCCCAACCTCAGGCCCAGCACATCAGCCACCTCCGCCGGCTTTCCGAGGGCCAAGACAACGCCGCCCTCCTGGAGCAGGTTGGGAAACCCCGTCTCCACGACCACGAGGAGACCACGGACGACGAGCTGGGCTCCAGCATTGTAAGTGGGTGAGCTCTGGGGAGGCCCCAGGCTCCCATCTAGCCCTGGAAGGGTTCGCCTGACCACTCTCTCGTCTCGCCCCAGGACACCATGGCCATCAAGAGGCGGAAGAACTGCCGCAGGATCCGGCCCGCTTCTGCTTTCATTAGTGAGTGCGGGAGCTGCTTGCCCCGAACGCCACCCTCCCAACCATACATTTCGCCTCTGGGGATGGGCCGTAGTTCAGTGGTAGAGTGTCTCTTTTGCATGCAGTCTCAATTCCCATTGATGCCAGCTGGGGCTGGAAAACCCTGGCCAGTGTGGGCCAGGGGTAGCCAACACAGCGCCCTCTGGAAGATAGGGGGCTCCAGCTCGCATCCTGACTGTTCGCCGTGCTGGTAGGGGCTGATGGAGATCTGGCTCCCAACATCTGGAGCGTTGGCTACCCCTGGTGTACCCCCAGATTCCCAGTCACTGGACTACAACTCCCATCATCCATGTCCGTTGGCTAAGCGGTCCATGGACGATGGTCGTTGTAGTCCAAGCAACGTCACGGAACCCAAGGTTGAACCCGCTCCAAATGTCTATATATTTCCCCCCCAACCAAGTCTGCATCTATAAGCAGTCCGCTCATGTGTTGTGAGTGTCGTCTTGTCATCAATCCATTCATTAAAGGGGATCATATCTTTTTATTCCTCCACCTCATCAATAACTCTCCATTGGCCAAATATATATTCCCACTGTGGAATATAACAACACAATAAAATTCAGAACAGAAACATTTAATTGCACGTTCTTTTTTCCCTGAAATCCAATTGAAAATCTTTAACGAATTCACCAAAGCTAATGAACTTGATGCGGTCATTCCAGCTCTTTGACACCCGATAGTCATTTAATAATAATAATAATAATAATAATAATAATAATATAATAAATAATTTATTATTTATACCATCAGTTTGATTTGAGTTAATTTTATAATGAATGATTTTGGTATGTTGTACTATTTTATTGTTGTTAACTGCCCTGAGCCCGGCTTCGGCTGGGGAGGGCGGGATATAAATAAAAATTATTATTATTATTATTATTATTATTATTATTATCATTATTATCATTATCATTATTATTATTATACCCCGCCCATCTGGCTGGGTTTCTCCAGCCACTCTGGGCAGCTTCCAACCTCCAGCATGCCCCCTAGGTAATACCACTACCCCCCACTTTGAGAACTGCTGCTGCAGCCGAAGCCCATCACTGTTTCTTCCATTGCATCTGAAAATGCCCACCCTGTTGCAAGGCACGCTTCCCCCCCGTCCCTCCCCTCTTAAGTGGTATAGTCTTTCCAACCAGACAGACCCCCATCCTCTTTTTGCAGGTGGTTCTGAGCAGGACGGCGACCTGGTCGTGCCCAGGATGGACTCCCCGCTGGGCTGGATCTCGCTGGCCAGCAGCAGCCAATACTTGCATTCCCGCAGCACGTCCTTCGAAGCGCTCTCTGACCTGCCGACGGAAGGGGCCCGGCTGGAACACCGCACGCGCAGCCGCCCCCGGCCGCCCCGTGCCGCTCCGCAGGGCAGGTTCCGGCCCAATGTGAGTATCCTGCACACGAGCCCCTGCGGCTTCCAGCTCTCCTGTCTGCCTTTCCGTTCCTCCGCTTGCTAAGCTTCTCCCCCCATTGCTTTCCCATCCTTGCTGGGCGCAAATTTGGCCTCTTGGTGTGAGAGGTGGGGCTGCACAATTACTTAAGGCCTTTTGCAACTTGGCTGATCTCATGCCCAATGCTATCATGTGGTGGCGAACTTCAATGTCTAAAATCCCTGGTAGAGGACAAGGATCCCGAGATCACGTTAAGGGTAGCCAAATTCTGTGTGATTGCCATAAAACTTAGGGAACAAGCTGTGCTATCATAATGATCAAGGTTTTAAATGATAATTTTAGGTTACCGTATTTTTCGCTCTATAAGACGCACCAGACCATAAGACGCACCTAGTTTTTGGAGGAGGAAAACAAGAAAAAAAATATTCTGAATCTCAGAAGCCAGAACAACAAGAGGGATCGCTGCGCAGCGAAAGCAGCGATCCCTCTTGCTGTTCTGGCTTCTGGGATAGCTGCGCAGCCTGCATTCAATCCATAAAACACACACACATTTCCCCTTACTTTTTAGGAGGGAAAAGGTGAGTCTTATAGAGCAAAAAATACGGTATATGTTAGTGACTAACTTTTAATTTATATATTTTTTAACTGTTGCTATATCTGTATTGTCCCTGTTATACCTAATTGCAAATTCAAATGTATCCCTATCGTGTTTTATGACTTTCTTGATATTTTATGTGGGATGGAACTGGTCTGTGACCGAAATAATAAAATTCAATTCATGTGGTGGCTCAAATCCCAGCTCAGCCCCGCCTTCCCACCCTCTGAAGCCCGCATTTGGGGGCTTTCTGCTGGATTCGGCCGGCAGAAGGGTCCCAGCAGAGGGGCATCTTTGCCCCATCCACACACACCAGCCTGAGGCAAAGGTCTCTCAATTTCTCTTTTCGTCACCTCCCTCGTTTCCTGTCCACAACCGGTTGAATTCACCCACTTTCCACTCACTTAGTTCCCTCATTTCTTCCTTTTTTAAAAAAGTTTTTATTTATACTTTTTTCGACTTTATACATTTTGTTAATTTTACATTCATTTTAACCTTTCATAGTTTGACTTCCTTCCCCCTCTTTCTGCGGCTCCTTAAATTTATTTTTTAATACCTTCCGCATATCCAAATTCATTTAATTTGCTCATTTAATGATCTAATTTAAATATATACTCTTCTGAAACTGCAGGTTATTACAATAATCCTGCCAGTGTTTTTTTATCTGTCAACAATTTATCTGTGAATATTTCCATTTCCATTCATTTGTTTAAAAAAGTTTGTTATCTTGATTTCTTATTCTTCCGGTAAGTTTCACCGTTTCTGCATATTTCATAAGTTTCTGTATCCATTCTTCCTTTGCTGGGACTTCTGCTTCTTTCCATTTTGGGGCAAGTAGCATTCTTGCCGCTGTAGTAGCATACATGGATAAATTTCTATACAATTTAGGTAGTTCTTGTTGGTTTCTGCTTTCCTTCACTGTGCAGCTCTGCTTGTCACGAGACAGGTGTTTACATTCCACAGTCTGTACTGTTGGAGTTTCTCACGGGAAAGGGAGACTGGATGTGACGTACACTGGTTTCCTGTTTTTCACTGTGTGTTTCTCTCCGAGCTGTCGAGGAGAGAGAGGATGCATTTTCTGCTCCGGCAGAGGCAAGATGTCTTTCTGTAATATACCAGCTTTGAACTGTAAATAAAGCTATATAGAGTATGCAGCACGTATTCCTCATCCTTCCGCTGGGCACGAGACTCTGCTTTAATTCAACACGTGGTTATGGACTCCAGAAGTCGAATCGGAGTGCCGGCAAAGGATCGGAATGCAGAGGGACGGATCGGAACGGAATCTGCTCTGCGCGTAGAGGTGATTGATGAGGTATGTGCTACTGCTCCGGGCAGCCTGCCAGCTTCAAGTTAATGGCTTTATGGCTGGACTTTGAACTTTTAAAGCCGGTTTTGCCGGGAATAGGCAAAAGGCTCCCAGGCACAAGTTACTATGCTGGGGAAATCGAAAGTAACTTTTAAGTGCGCTTTTGGAGTAAGGCAGCTGCAGCAGTGACGCAGCAAGATTTAATGCAGCATATATGACGCTGAAGGCTAATGCCAGAGTCATGATGGCCCTTCAGGATGCTTGTGGGATTCCTAAGCTCAACAAGAAAAATTACAGCGACTGGGTTCAGTATGCAGAGGCAATTCTGCGGAAAGAGGGTTTGTTTGAGGTGATTACAGAAACCCCCCCAGTTCCAGTTACAGATGCATGGAAAGCTAAGGATTCCAAAGCAAAGGGAACTCTTACATTGATAGTATCCCCAGAAGAGCTCTGTCTATTGCGTGATAAGACCTCAGCCAGAGAAATTTGGGACGCTTTGAGAGAGGCTCACTTAAGGACAGAAGCTGGATCCACTATGTTTTACTTTAACAAGCTGCATAATATGGCTCTTGCTGAAGGTGGAGATGTGCGTTTACATCTGATGGAGATGCAAAATCTGAGACATGAGCTGCAACAGAGAGGACTCAACTTTCCAGAGGCTGTGTATTCTTTCATGATACTACAATCTTTGGGTTCAGGTTGGGAGTCTGTTGCAACCCAGATTGCTGTGCAACCAACTGCTCAGCTGACAGTGGACTTTGTTACTGCCGTGATTTTAAATGAAGCAGATCGCCGGGTGCTAGCTGCATGGGCAAGGGGAGTCTTCACAGACGTCATCCCATAGTGCAGTGGAACCACCAGATGGCGCCAAAGCTTTGAAGGCAGTGAAATGCTACTCGTGTGGACGTCTAGGCCATATGAAGAGGGAATGCAGACATCCCAGGGCCAAGACAGAGCAGCGCAGCGAAAGCTCATCGCGCGGAAAAGGCCGAGGCAAAGGCAAAGGTCCGGTGTCAAGGACAACGCAGCACAAGGCTATGGTTTCACGCTTCACTCCAAAGGTTGCAGAGGTCCAGAAGACGTCTAGACCTTTCTTCGTTGTTGATTCAGCGGCCACCCACCACATGTGCAACGATAAGAGACTGTTTGTGTCTTTTACACCGCAGGAAGGTGCGATTCACCAGGCGGATGACCACACTATTCCCAGTAAAGGCTACGGAACTGTTGTTCTTCACAGTTTGGACTTATCGATACAGAATGTGCTTTACGTGCCAGACGCCAAACATAATCTGCTCAGCGTTGGACAGCTGAATGAGCGGAACATTGACGTTTCCTTCAAGAACAAGAAGTGCATCATCACAAAGAAAAATGATTATGTATTGCATGCAGAATATGTTGATCGTTTGTTTGTTTTGTATTATGATGATGTGGTGCAGGATGACACTTGTTGCATTGCAGGTTCTAACAAAAGTTTGCATGCAGAATGTATTCACGATTTTCATCGAAAATTTGGTCATTTGCATTTTGAGGCAGTATCTAAAATGCCTGCCTTGGTTGAAGGTATGACTATTAAACCCTGCAGGTACCACATGAAGTGCAAAGCATGTGCAGCAAACAAGGTCAAAATGGCTGCGAAAGGTAAGGTGTCTAGTAGGAAAGCTACAGAACCATACCAGGTTGTTCATGCTGATTTGGTTGGACCACTAGCGCCCTCTTTGGGTGGAAATAGATACTTCATGGTTCTCATTGATGCATTTTCTAGATATATTTTTGTGTACAATCTCAAGCAGAAATCGGAGGCTTTTCCTAGGTTCAAGGAATTCTGTGCTTGGTTGGAAAATGTGCATGGTAAGAAGATAAAGACTCTTTTCAGTGATCGCGGGGAATTCACTTCTCAGCAGTTTGAAGCTTTTCTGACTGAGAAAGGAATTCAACACGATTTGTCTAGTCCTCGCTCGCCATGGCAGAATGGACTTGCGGAACGGGCAAATCAGACATTGCTTCAAGGGTTAAAAACCTTGCTGCATGATGCCAATCTTCCAGAGAGTTATTGGGCCGAATCTCTCTCGTGTTTTGTTTACAGTTACAATCGCAGGTTATCTTCAGCGATTGGTTGTACCCCCTATGAGAAGATGTTTGGCAAAAAGCCATACATCAAACACATGAAGATTTTTGGTTCTGACATGTGGGTTCGCTCACCACAAAACTCCAAGTTAGACAAGCGTGGATTGCATGGTATCTTTCTAGGTTATCAGAAAGGGTCTTACAGAATAATGATGACTGACTCTAAGACAATTAAGCTCACGAGAAGTGTTGAGTACAATGCAAAGTGGGGGAGAATGTGGGAATTTTCCAATGTTATCCTGATGACGGTGATGAGACTGAGGATAGTCAAAGCAACCACAACAACCCACACCCACTGATGAAGGTTCTGAGTCTGAATCTGAAACTGAATCGGGTGATTCAGAGGATTTCGAGAGTGCGAAAGCCTCTATGCGACCCTCTGAAAGCTCTGATCAAGAATTGGAGGAACCATTGTTCACAATAGGTCGTTTTTCTCCTAAGAAGGAAGAGGAGAGTGTTGAAGACTTAAGGCTAATTCGTAGGTCACAGAGAGCCACAAAAGGCAAACCTCCAAAGAGATTTGCTGATGAGTTTGCTAAGATAGCAGTAACAGCTGTTAAAAGCTCCAAGAAGGTATTTGAACCTTCAAGTTTCCAAGAAATCCAGGGTTTGGATTCGAAGGAAGCTGAGCCATGGTTAAATGCCATGAAGGCTGAGCTTGATTCCTTAGAAAGGAACAAAACATGGGAGCTAGTTCCAGTAGTTCCAGGAATGAAACTGCTTGGAAGCAAATGGGTCTTCAAAGCGAAGACAGATCAAAATGGCAAGATAGTCAGACACAAAGCCAGATTGGTAGCCAGAGGTTTTGCACAGGTACCAGGTGAAGACTATCACGAGACCTATTCACCCACAGTGAGATATGAAAGCATTAGGCTTATGCTCAAGCTAGCTGCAGAGGAAAATCTACACATTAGTCACCATGATATTAATACAGCTTTTCTGTACGGATCTCTAGATGAATCACTTTATATGCTTCCACCTGATGGCGTACAGGTAAAACAGGGATTTGTTTGTGCTCTGAAGAAATCCCTTTATGGTCTCAAACAAAGTGCACGGTGTTGGCACACAAAACTCACTGAAGTATTGTTTTCTCTAGGTTTTCAGCAAGGGAAAGCTGATCCATGTGTATTTGTCAAAGAGGAGGGGCAAAAGAAGCTGTACTGTTTGTTTTATGTTGATGATTTATTATTCTTTTGGAAAGATGTCGCAATGTACAATAACGCCCTAGCTCAACTGAAGGAGCACTTTGACATGAAAGATCTTGGTGAGGTAAACAACTACCTATCTCTGGAAATAGAGAGAGATCAAGATGGTAACATTCTAGTACACCAGTCACGGAAAATTGCTGATGTGTTAAGCAAACTAAATCTGATGGATGCTAACCCTGTAGACACACCGATGACAACAGGTTATCAGGTAGATGACACTGAAGAAGCATTTTCTGACACTACACTGTACAGGAGTGTGCTAGGCAAGCTAAACTTCATTGCCAGATGTTCAAGACCAGACATTGCTGTTAGCTGTAATTTGCTAAGCAGACAAGTCAACAATCCTAGTGTCAAGGATTGGAAAGCTCTGAAACGCATAGCGCGGTATTTGAAAGGCACTATGCATTACAGACTGAGATTTAACAATCAGAAGTCTGGTGGTCTTGAGATATTTGCAGATGCAAGTTTTGGAAGTGACGCTACAGACAGGAAAAGTACATCTGGAGTTTGCTACATGTACAATCAGAGTCTGTTTGATTGGTCATGCAAGAAGCAAACAACAGTTAGCTTAAGTACTTGTGAAGCTGAACTGAATGCACTGTCTTATTCACTTAAGGATTGTGAATGGTTAGTACAATTGTGCAAAGATATGAAAATTCCTGTCAAATGTCCAATCCAGGTTTACCAGGACAACAAAGCATGTTTGGCTTTGCTGAAGTCTGAAGGTTGTAAGCAAAGCACAAAGCACTTGCAATTAAAGTTGCAGCATGCTAGGGAATGTATTCAGAAGGGACTCGTAACGGTGTCCTATATGCCAGGTAATGAAATTCCTGCTGATGTATTGTCCAAGATTGTATCAAGGGATCAACACTGTACCTATGTGCAGAAGTTGGGTTTGTACTGACATTGTGCAAACACGCTGCCCAGTGATGTTCACAGAAAGGGGGAGGATGTTGGTTTCTGCTTTCCTTCACTGTGCAGCTCTGCTTGTCACGAGACAGGTGTTTACATTCCACAGTCTGTACTGTTGGAGTTTCTCACGGGAAAGGGAGGCTGGATGTGACGTACACTGGTTTCCTGTTTTTCACTGTGTGATTCTCTCCAAGCTGTTGAGGAGAGAGGATGCATTTTTCTGCTTCGGCAGAGGCAAGATGTCTTTCTGTAATATACCAGCTTTGAACTGTAAATAAAGCTATATAGAGTATGCAGCACGTATTCCTCATCCTTCCGCTGGGCACGAGACTCTGCTTTAATTCAACAGTTCTGTCCCAATAATTCCCAAAAGAAAAGCTTCTGGGTGTTTTTTTTTTGTTTGCTTGTTTTTACAAAGGTTATTTTGAACATCCTTTTCAATTATATGTCATTTCCCAGTAAGCTTTAATCTTATTACAAGACTATCACACAAGACCACCACCTCATTTATTTCCTCTGCCTTATGGTGCTGGAGGAGACTCTTGAGAGTCCCATGGACTGCAAGAAGATCAAACCTCTCCATTCTGAAGGAAATCAGCCCTGAGTGCTCACTGGAAGGACAGATCCTGAAGCTGAGGCTCCAAGACTTTGGCCACCTCATGAGAAGAGAAGACTCCCTGGAAGAGACCCTGATGTTGGGAAAGATGGAGGGCACAAGGAGAATGGGACGACAGAGGACGAGATGGTTGGACGGTGTTCTCGAAGCTACCAGCATGAGTTTGACCAAACTGCGGGAGGCAGTGGAAGACAGGAGTGCCTGGCATGCTCTGGTCCAGGGGGTCACAAAGAGTCGGACACGACTAAACTACTAAACAACAACAACAAATTCCCATTTTATATTCATTTGCCCATTTGTAGGTTCTGTAGGTTGCCTTCTTGTTACCTTTATTCTCCCATTCTATGTGTTCTTTTTAACAAATCCATGCACTTTTTTCCTCTTCCTCATTCCCATTTTCCAACTTTCGGTTCGTTCACCCTTTGAACCAAACCGAACTCTAGAACAATACAAATCGGATGTACCTTTTTCAAACGTTCCTAGACAGGAAGTCTCGTCCACTGAAGGTGGGACTTCCTCTTTCCCTTTAGACTTATGAATAAGGAGGAGATGTTCCTTGTGAACTAGGCGGTGCAAGATAACAAGGCATTCATCGTCCTTCCCCATTTCAGAACCGAATCCTGGGCTCTATAGAGTCCCGAGAACAGGAGAACGGGTCGGTGCCCCGACTGGACGAGGGTCTCGATGAATTTTTTAACAGGAGGGTCCTTGCCGACAATACCGGGTGAGCCTCATTATTATTAGTTTTTATTTATTAATTTAATTTAATTTATATCCCGCCCTATATCTCAACTAGTCTCGACTAGGGCCAGGGCCTTTTCAGTAGTGGCCCCGACTTGGTGGAACGCTCTGTCACAAGAGACTAGGGCCCTGCGGGACTTGACAGAGCTGTTCCGCCTGGCCTTTGGTTTGGACTCAGTCTGACCCTTATGTTTCCCACCCCTTATGGTTTTGATTTATGGGCTACTATTAAAATGAGGCTGCATTTGAAATTGTATTTTAACCAGTATTTTAAATTGGTTTTTTCTACTTCTTTCCGCCCCCCTATTATGTTTTTATTGCAATTTTACTGGTGTTAGCCGCCCTGAGCCTGCCTCTGGCCAGGGAGGGCGGGTTATAATTTAAAAATTATTATTATTATCTGGAGGTCTCAGGTCGGTTCACAGAATAAAATCAAGATATAAAACTACAAAATACCAAATAAAAATAAAAACAGCAACCCTATAGCCCCACCCTAAAAAAAACCAAAAACATTTTAAAAGCACATAGGATGTCAATCAAAATCAACCAAAGGCCTGGTTAAAACGGAATGTTTTTGCCTGGCGTCTAAAGGTGTATAACGAAGGCGCTGGGCGAACCTTCCTGGGGAGAGCATTCCACAGACGGAGCCACTGCAGAGAAGGCCCCCGTTCTCGTGTTGCCACCCTCCGGACCTCTCGAGGAGGAGGCACACAAAGAAGGGCCTCAGAAGGTGATCTCAGGGTCCAGGATGGTACATAAGGGGAGAGGTGGTCCTTGAGGTATTGCGGTCCTGAGCCGTTTAAGGCTTCATAGATCAAAAACAGCACTTTGAATTGGGCCCAGAAACTCATCGGTAGCCAGTGCAGTCGGACCAGGATCAGTGTAATATCCTCAAACCGTCTTGCTCCGGTGAGCAACCTGGCTGCTGAATTCTGCACCAGCTGAAGTTTCCGAACCATCTTCAGAGGCAGCCCTGCGCACTGCAGTAATCTAACCTTGAGGTTACCAGAGCATAGACAACAGTAGTTAGGCATCACCCCCTTCCCCACCCCCTGGAATCTATGCTTCCAGGTGTCACAAGAAAGCTGCAGAGATAGCGCAGGATAGTGCGCACCCCGGAAATGATCTCTTTCAGCTTCTGCCTTCAGAAAGAAGGTACAAGGTTATAAAGACTAGGACTAGCCACCTAGGAAACAGTTTCTACCCAAATGCGGTTTGGGTTTTAAACACAGTGTAAGGTAGTCTCTATGGGACGTGGGTGGCGCTGTGGGTTAAACCACAGAGCCTAGGGCTTGCCGATCAGAAGGTAGCGGTTCGAATCCCCGCAACCGGGTGAGCTCTCGTTGCTCAGTCCCTGCTCCTGCCAACCTAGCAGTTCAAAAGCACATCAAAGTGCAAGTAGATAAATAGGTACCGCTCCGGCGGGAAGGTAAACGTGCGCCACTCTGGTTCGCCAGAAGCGGCTTAGTCATGCTGGCCACATGACCCAGAAGCTGTATTGGCTCCCTTGGCCAATAAAGCGAGATGAGCGCCGCAACCCCAGAGTCGGCCACGACTGGACCTAATGGTCAGGGGTCCCTTTACCTTAAGGTAGTCTCTATGGGAGTATATTGTATTTAATTATGAGGTATCAGAGTTTTTAGGGGGGTTAACCAGGCTGGGATAGCTGGGATAGCAGGCTTGTTGGTTTTTGAATGTCCGATGTAGATTTTTTTCAATTTCTTCGTTCTGTATGGGACAATGACAATAAAGATTATCGTATCGTATCAGAATTTGCAATCTAGACGCCCCAGACGTCCTTTTTATTGCACCTCCACAATGGAGAATTTTGAAAAAGTGCTAGTCCAGGGGGCCCCGTGGCTCTCCCCTCTGCAGCCACTGCAGCGCTCAAGAATCATAGAACTGGATGGGACCCCGAGCGTCATCCAGCCCAACTCCCCTGCAATGCAGGAATTGCAGCTGAGATTCCCCTCCCTCAGTTCCTTCGCCTTTTCCCTCTCGCAGGTACCCTCGGACGCCCAAGGGCTGTGGGGTGAGGCCGGGACCCTCCGACCCCCTCCCGCCCCTCCAGAAGAAGAGGAGGAGGGGCCTCTTCCACTTCCGCAAACATCGCAGCATCAAGGGGGAGCGAGACCCCGAGGACCTGCCCCCCAGCCCTCCTCCGCCACCCATGGGTGGGGACGACCAGAAGCCCCCCCTGCGCCCCTCGGGCAGCCAAGAGGAGGAGAGGCGGCTGGGGCAGGATGGCCTGGGGACGGCTGTGCCCCTTCCGGGAATGGGGGTCCTCGGCCCCAGAAGTGGGGTGAAGGGTCTGCCCAGCAGGGCTAAGCAGGTAAAGGAAGTCTCTGCTCCCGGGAATGGCGGGAGGGTAGAAAGCAGGGGGCTGTCCAAGGAGTTCTTGCGTTTCATTCGCTCTGCTCTCTTCTCTTCCCGCCCACGCCGCAAAAAGAGCTCCAATCCTGACACGGGGAGGGCGGAGCCAGACTCCAAAGGGGCGGAGCTCCTGCAGCCATCGCGGGTCCAAGGCGTGGCCCTGCCCGGAATGGGACGTGCTAAGGGGTGGAGCCTGGATGCCAAGCTGGAGGTAATTGGTGGCTTACTGGGGAGGAGGCGGGGCTAGGCAAATTCGAGTTGTCAGTGGCTGCCGGCCACTTTAGCAACCTGAGGCTGTTTGCCTCTGAATGCCCAGTCCCCAGGAGAGGGAGAGTGTCGCTGTTTCTATCAATATCATCAATTGAAACCCCTTTTGGGGAATTTTTTGTGTGAAAACGGGAGATCAGCATGTGATAGTTGCGTTTGATGACTGGGAAAATACCGGTCTATGGGAAGTGGAATAGTATTAGAGTCAAATGAGGTCGCGGGCAGGATTCGAGATGAAAGCAGCAGAAGGAAAATGATAAAATAACTATAACAGAGAAAGTTTTTGTAATGGATAAAGATATAAAGGTTTGGGAAGGAAAGGTTTGAGGAAAAACACTGTGGAGATGGGTACGGGAAGTCGTCTTGCGGAACAATGTAATTATTTGATATGAAGATTATTGTGAAAGCGTATGAAAAGATTAATAAAACATTCTACAGAAAGTGGAGTAGTTGGATGTTGTTGTTGTCGTGGAGAAAATGTTTTGAATAATTCATTTTATGCAACAGACAGAATTGGAAGCCCTTTTTCTTTTCTTCTGTTTTCTTTCTTTCTTTCTTTCTTTCTTTCTTTCTTTCTTTCTTTCTCATCACTTCTCTTTTTTATCATTTCCCCCTTTTAAATCTGTCTGTCTCAAAAAGGCTTTAATAATAATAATAACTAGTATGCAAAAAGGAGAGTTTCGCTGTTGCCCTGAAGTTCTGCTTGCGAACTTCCCATTGGGACCCCTGTTTGGCCGCTGTGAGAACAGGGATGCTGGACTTAGATGACCCCTCCCCTCCCCCTTGGGCCTGATCCAGCAACCAGCCTCCTCCGACGTTCTTAACCCACCTGCTTCCTCTTCCGGTTCTAGAGCGTGGACCTGGGGCGAGGAGGCAGCATGAGGGAGCAGCAGAGAAGGCGCTCTTCGGACGACTCAGGTCAGCATCCCACAACCCAACAACCCTTCTCCATCGATCTTCGCTCCTTCCTCGTCCCCCTCCCACTGCCCCCCCCAAGCAAAACTCTTAATAAGATGCTATGAACTGGACTGAGCAGAAGACGCTTCCTTCTGCATCAGTCGGGACGTTTCATGCATCTTGAAATTTGCCTTGTTTCAATATTCACCCCCCCTCCAGTTCAGTTTTCTCAGGGCGCTTTAAATCCCAGGGGCACGATTCTGCCAAAATTAAGCCCTACCGAGCTCAGTGAGGGAGCTGAGCAGCCCATGGGGACTCAAAGGTGCGCAAACTAGGCTGAATTGTGCCCCAAGAATTTTAGTCTTGCTTGCAAAATAAATAAATGTGTGTACCCTTTCCCCCTTCCCCCCAAAAACGATCAAAACCACAGGTTTTAGAATGATCTGATTTATTATTATTATTTTGCACGGGGTGGTGGTGGTGGAATTCTTTGAACAACTTGAAGAACTGGGGAGGGGATGTACCGTATTTTTCGCTCCATAAGACGCACCTGACCATAAGACGCACCTAGTTTTTAGAGGGGGAATGCAAGGGGGGGGGGAATTCTTTAAGGGGAACGCTGAGCAGAGTCTGTACGCATCCCAGGCTCTGCTCAGCACTCCCTTTCACAGCCCGTCACTAATGGGTAGCCCTTCTCCATCCTCAGGGAAAAGCCCCCAAGAGCCGCACACACGCTCTTGGGGGCTTTTCCGGGAGGTGGGGGAAGGGACAGAGCGTGGCTAAGCCAGAAGCTAGAGCAGCAAGAGGGGGCGCAGTGATCCCTCTCGCAGCTCTGGCTTCTGGGATAGCTGTGCAGCCATAAGATGCACACACATTTCCCCTTACTTTTTAGGAGGGGAAAAGTGTGTCTTATAGAGCAAAAAATACGGTATTTGGATCTAGAATACCTACAACTGCAATTTTGGCCCCATGTTTTAAGTGTGTGCGTGCAGGACTGCAGCTCTGGCTGAGATAGAAAGATGGACTTTTCTGTTTTCTGAACCCCACAGGGCAAGCGGGGTGGAGACCTCACCCCCCACTGCAGAGCACCAAGCCAAGCTTTGCCACCATTCGCCGGGCAGAAGCCAGCTGGGACATAGGTGGGCATGTGAGGTTTTGTGAGTTTCCTGGGTAAGATCACGGCCGACGGCTCAGATGTGATGCTCTTCAATGTGATGCGTGGTTCTTGTTTTAGGGAGCCGGCCTCACCCTGTCCCCTAAAACAAGCAGCTCCCTCGTCCAGAGCCCCCTTAGCCTGGGTCTCCTGTGCTGTGTTTGTATCTACAGGTGAAACTCAGAAAATCAGAATATCATGGAAAAGTTCATTTATTTCAGTAATTCAACTTAAAAGCTGAAACTAATATATGAGATAGACTCATGACATGCAAAGCGAGATATGTCAAGGCTTTCAGGCCAAACAAGCACAGTAATCCCATGGGCATTGAACCAGGTTTTGGTACTTTTGGCAGTGTGGGCAGCTGCCAAAGTCCTACTGGAAAATGAAGTCAGCATCCCCATAAAGCTCATCTGCGGAAGGAAGCATGAATTCTCCAAAATCTTCTGGTGGATGGATGCGTTGACCCTGGACTTAATGAAGCACAGTGGACCAACACCAGCTGATGACATGGCTCCCCAAATCAACACAGACTGTGGAAACTTCACACTGGACTTTGAGCATCTGGCATCGTGTGCCTCCCCATTCTTCCTCCAGACTCTGGGGCCTTGGTTTCCAAATGAGATGCCAAAGCTGCTCTCATCAGAAAAGAGATTTGGGGAGCCATGTCATCAGATGCATGCTTCTACTTCTCAGAGGTCCAATATTGCTCTATTTGCAATCCTTGTTTTGCTTCATTTACTATTCTAATTTTCTGAGATTGTTAGTTTGGGGTTTTCATCAGCTGCACCCCATAATCATCACAATTATAACAAATAAAGGCTTGACATATCTCGCTTTGCATGTCATGAGTCTATCTCATATATTAGTTTCACCTTTTAAGTTGAATTACTGAACTAAATGAACTTTTCCACGATATTCTAATTTTCCAAGTTTCACCTGTATATTTACAGCATTAATTCCCCGTTCTTCAGCTAAAAAGACTCTCAGAGCGGCTCTAAGGCAACCCCTTCCCTCAGGCGCACAGTCTCTTAAAAAGACACAGTACGCAAGGAAAGGCGGGTGCGGAGGGAGGAGGAAAAAGCAAGCCGAAGCACAACTCCTTAAGTTTCAGCCAATGTTAGTTAGCCAATGCCAGCAGCTATCTTGCCCCTTGATGAAAAGCAGTTCCTCCATTTCCCAGGAGCAGAACTGGCAGCCCTGAATCAGAATTCATGGAATCATAAGTTGTAGAGTTGGAAGGGACCTCTGAGGGTCATCTAGCTCAACCCTCTGCAATGCAGGAATCAACAAGGCAGGGCAGCTCCTGCCACCAGATTCTTCCCCCCCAGACATCCCTTTACGCTTCTACTAGGTAGAAGGAAATATTTTTTAAAAAAGGATTTGCCACATGCACCTCATTTTCCTACTCCTGGTCGCCAACAGCTGAAGAAAGCACGCCGAGGGAGAGCAGGGGACAGGAACCCCTCAGAGACACCCCCCCAGAAGAAACGGACGAAAGGGCCGTTGCCGTGGCAACACCGACCTCCGAAAAGGACCGACCGACGCCGCCAGCCAAGGCAAGCAGCCCTGCTGAACAATGTAACACAGCACGATGGCCAATAGCAATGGCACTAAACGCTATTTATAGACTAATACAAATGATCAGAAATACAGCCAAGGTCTCTCAATCTTCTTCCCCAGTCACGGTAGAATAATTCAAAATGGGATATATACATAATCTGTCACCGAATATTGCCAGAACAGAGTTTCCGGATAACCAATCTGTTTCGTTCAATGCTTCATCAGCCAATCTTGATCAATTCTTTGTCAGCCAGACTTGTAAGAATTAATATGAGAAGGATGCAGTTCAATTTGGCTTGGACTCAGTCTGACCCTTATGTCTTCCCTCCCCTTATGGTTTTGATCTATGGGCTACTTTTAAAATGAGGCTGCATTTTAACCTGTATTTAAAATTGGGCCCCCCCCTTATGTTTTTACTGTAATTTTACTGGCGTTAGCCGCCCTGAGCCCTGCTCTGACCGGGGAGGGCGGGGTATAAAATTTATTATTATTATTATTATTATTATTATTATTATTATTAACAACCTGAAATTGCAATATACATGTGATGAAATCTGCGTCTGAATAAAATAAAGCGCATAATACAATATGTACAACTAAAATATGCTCTGAATCAGTGCTCATATGATACTGTAGTCACTGATGCTAGTATAAAGTTGTAAAGAACATAATATAGTTAGCCACACGTGAAACTAATATGCTGTAAGGGAAATTAAAGACACGGCACAACATTAACAGCAAGAAGGCCTGACAGCCAGATGAAAACAGTTGAAAACAGTCCCCTCTGGGAGAGTGAAAACTGCAGGCGAACTGGGCCTGTAGTACTGATTTTCTCTCCTTGCCCCCCCTCGGCCCCCAATTCAGTTGGGTTTTTGCCGTCATAGAACTCAGCAGCGGGAGGACAGGAACCAAGCGAGAACGAGTTGGCTCTGCTGCTAGTTTGGCGCCATCTACTGTTGGCTTCCCTCCCTTCCCCCTTGTTGTTGTTTAGTCATGTCCGACTCTTCGTGACCCCTGGACCAGAGCACGCCAGGCACTCCTGTCTTCCACTGCCTCCCGCAGTTTGGTCAGACTAATGCTGGTAGCTTCGAGAACACTATCCAACCATCTCGTCCTCCGTCGTCCCCTTCTCCTTGTGCCCTCCGTATTTCCCAACATCAGGGTCTTTTCCAGGGAGTCTTCTCTTCTCATGAGGTGGCCAAAGTCTTGGAGCCTCAGCTTCAGGATCTGTCCTTCCAGGGAGCACTCAGGGCTGATTTCCTTCAGAATGGAGAGGTTTGAACTTCTTGCAGTCCATGGGACTCCCAAGAGTCTCCTCCAGCACCATAATTTAAAAGCATCAAGTCTTCGGCGATCAGCCTTCTTTATGGTCCAGCTCTCACTTCCATACATCACTACTGGGAAAACCATGGCTTTAACTATACAGACCTTTGTTGGCAAGGTGATGTCTCTGCTTTTTAAGATGCTGTCTAGGTTTGTCATTGCTTTTCTCCCAAGAAGCAGGCGTCTTTTAATTTTGTGGCTGCTGTCACCATCTGCAGTGATCAAGGAGCCCAAGAAAGTAAAATCTCTCACTGCCTCCATTTCTTCCCCTTCTATTTGCCAGGAGGTGATGGGACCAGTGGCCATGATCTTCGTTTATTTTGATGTTGAGCTTCAGACCATATTTTGCGCTCTCCTCTTTCACCCTCATTAAAAGGTTCTTTAATTCCTCCTCACTTTCTGCCATTAAGGTTGTGTCATCTGCATATCTGAGGTTGTTGATATTTCTTCCGGCAATCTTAATTCCAGCTAGGGATTCATCCAGCCCAGTCTTTCGCATGATAAATTCTGCATATAAGTTAAATAAGCAGGGAGACAATATACAGCCTTGTCGTACTCCTTTCCCAATTTTGAACAAATCAGTTGTTCCATATCCAGTTCTAACTCTAGCTTCTTGTCCCACATAGAGATTTCTCAGGAGACAGATGAGGTGATCAGGCACTCCCATTTCTTTAAGAACTTGCCATAGTTTGCTGTGGTCGACACAGTCAAAGGCTTTTGCATAGTCAATGAAGCAGAAGTAGATGTCTTTCTGGAACTCTCTAGCTCTCTCCATAATCCAGCGCATGTTTGCAATTTGGTCTCTGGTTCCTCTGCCTCTTCTAAATCCAGCTTGCACTTCTGGGAGTTCTCGGTCCACATACTGCTGTTGGCTTCCCTCCTTTCCCCCTTACCAATCTCAAATTGCGAGCAGGCAATTTCTTTGCTCTCATCTCAAGCCACATTGCGCTCTACGTTTAAGCACACCTCCCTTGCGAGGGGGGTCACGGGCAAAACTGGACCCTGGTGCCTGGTGCAGACAGCGTTTCTGCACCATCCCTATTTTCTTTTATCCATTTTACCTCCTTGACTCTTTAGAGCCTATCGACTTCCTTCCCTCTCGCCTCATGGCTTTCAAAATTAACTTTTATGTCATTGCCTTTTTGTACGTTTCCCAATTCTGATTGCACTCATTGCTTAATACAGTGGTACCTCGGGTTAAGATCTTAATTCGTTCCAGAGGTCCGTTCTTAACCTGAAAGTGTTCTTAACCTGAAGCACCACTTTAGCTAATGGGGCCTCCTGCTGCCGCCGTGCTATTTCTGTTCTTATCCTGAAGCAAAGTTCTTAACCTGAGGTACTATTTCTGTGTTAGTGGAGTCTGTAACCTGAAGTGTCTGTAACCCGAGGTACCACTGTAACTCAAAATTTAAATAAATATAGAAAGGTAGAAAACTTCTCCTTACAAGTCTTCGGATAACCCTGCTAGTGATGTTAATTGCTTACAATAATCTTTCAGATATCGTATAAATTTACCCCAGTCCTTTTGGACTACTTAATCTTGCTGGTTTCGGATTTTTCCTGTCAGCTTCGCGAGTTCTGCAAAGTCCATCATCTTAACTGCCACTCTTCTTTCGTTGGTCCTTCTTGTTGTTTCCATTTTAGGGCTAAAATAATTCTTGCCGCAGTTGTTGCATACGTAAGCAGTCTTTTATCTTCCCTTGGTATCTCTTCACCCGCTATACCCAATAAAAAGGCTTCTGGTTTTTTTAACAAAAGTATTTTTAAATATTTTCTTTAGCTCGTTATACACCATTTCCCAGAAAGCCTTTACCTCTTTGCAAGTCCACTACATGTGGTAGAAGATACCTTCCCTTTCTTTACATTTCCGACACTCATTGGTTCTTGTCTTGTACATTTTAGCAAGTGTAGCTGGTGTTAAATACCATCTATACATCATTTTCATAACATTTTCTTTAAGTGCACTGCATGCAGTAAAATCAATACCTTCCTTCCACAAAGACCATTGCTATTTTCGGGACGGATTCAGTCACATATCGGCTGACTCAGGTTGCATCATGAGGGTTGACTGGGAGCTGCTGCACAACGAACTCAAGAAATTGGGCTTCTTCTCTTTTTTGCTATGAGGAAAGTAACAGGGGAAGCGCAGGGCAAAAGTGTGGCACGCCAAAGCAAGTCCTTCTCACCTCCCCATGAAGGAATTATGACAAATGCCCTTTAAACAGCCCATCTAATTTCCCATCAGATCAATCAACATCCACACTCAGCAAACTGGTTCCCTAGAAGCACCCAAAAAAGTTATTAGCAAGACATATGTCAGCAAAATTCACCCAACCGAAGCTGGTCCCGGCCTGCCAGACGTTGGACTACAACTCCCATCATCCCCTGACCATCGGCCATGTGGGCTGCTGGGGATAAAACAGCAACTGCAGGGGCACAGATTTCACCAGCCCCGCTTAGGAGGCTGCCAGGAACATCTCACAAATTTAAGCAGGCCTTTGGCTGATGCCCTTTTCAATGTGTTGGCAAGATTATTGAGTTGTCTTTGTTTTCGTTACGTATTCTTTGGGGTTTTTTTATACGGTCATACCTCGTGTTGCGTTTGCTTCAGGTTGAGCGTTTTCTGCGTCCCGGGGCGGCCTGGAAGTACCGGAAAGGGTTACTTCTGGGTTTCGCCGCTCTCGCATGCACAGACGCTCAAAATGACGTCACACGCATGCGCAGAAGCGGCGAATCGTGACCTGCACATGCACAGATGCCGGTTGCGTTCTGCTCATGTTGTGAACGGGGCTCCGGAACGGATCCTGTTCGCAACCAGAGGTACCACTGTATTGTAATTTTTATGTTGTGAACCGCCCTGAGATCTACAGGTAGAGGGCAGAATAATAATAATAACAAATAACAATAATAGTAATAATAATAATAATAATAATAATAATCAGTGCCTTCCCCCCCCCCAGTGGTACACAGGGGTACACATACCGCTAAACATTTTGTGAACCTTTGTACTTTTGTCCATTTACTGTATTCATTTTCCCCCAATTTGAACTACAAGATGGTGATTTTCTTGAGTCAAAATGAAAGTACCCCTAAACATTTTTAAAGGAAAAAAGCAATAATAATAATGATGATGATGACGGTAGTGGTAGTGGTGGTGGTTCCTTACATTGACCCTGCTGAGATTGGCAGAATTCCCTGCAGGCTTCTGCGTTTCACAGAACTCTTCTGCAAAATACACTTCTGACAATATGATCTGTTTGACTCCACGATTCTCCTTTTTTTTTTTTTTTTGCAGCAATTCAGGGATCCCCCGCCCGCCCCTCGGCCTCCCAAGCCCGTCGCCCTCCCCCGGGGCCGGAAGCCCCCCAGCCAGCCCGAGAGGAGCCGCAGCAACGAGGAAGCAGGCGGCGCAGGAGGAGGGGCAGTCCCGGAGGAAACACGTACGTCCCCCCCAATTGCCCAACCCCGACGCAGAGCTGAGGAGCGGGAGAACGAAGGTGACGTGAGACTGGGGCGGCAGGACCCGACCGGGCCTTCTTCTCTCCCCCTGGGAGTTTCTGGCGGAAGGAACTCCTTCTGGGGGCCACGGATTCTGCGTGGTCCGTGGCTGTTTCCCTCCCTGCCATAAAGTGGGCTCCTGCGAACATCTCTCCAGGGTTTTTCAGGCAGGCCGTCTCTCCCAGCCCTACCTGGAAATGCCATCAGGGACTGGACCTGGGGCCTTCTGCCTGAAAAGCAGCCACCGAGCTGCAGCCCTTTCACGAAAGCTTTTGGAGTGGCAGTGTGGGGCAGTGGTTAGAGCAGTGGTTCGCAAAGGGTGTGGTGCCGGAGAGGACGGCGAGCGTGGCAGAAAGATTCAAGGACAATCATGTAAACATTTTCGCATGCTGTAGGACGCGGGTGGTGCTGTGGGTTAAACCTCAGAGCCTAGGACTTGCTGATCAGAAGGTCGGTGGTTTGAATCCCCGCGATGGGGTGAGCTCCCATTGCTCTGTCCCTGCTCCTGCCAACCTAGCAGTTCAAAAGACGTCAAAGTGCAAGTAGATAAATAAGTACTGCTCCAGCGGGAAGGTAAACGGCATTTCCGAGCGCTGCTCTGGTTCGCCAGAAGCGGCTTAGTCATGCTGGCCACATGACCCGGAAGCTGTACGCCTGCTCCCTCGGCCAATAAAGCGAGATGAGCGTTGCAACCCCAGAGTCAGTCACAACTGGACCTAATGGTCAGGGGTCCCCTTTACCTTTCGTATCAAAATATTTTGTTTTGTTTGTTTGCAGAATACGGATAGATCCTTTTTCCAAATGAGAGCAGGAGAGTACTGAGTGATAACAGAGGACAATACCAGCTGCGTTGTGTTGTGTGTTTTTTGCTTTCCAGTATATTGCTTATCAAAGTTCAATGTATTTTTTTCTGAAAGGCACGGCCCAGAGAAAAACCTTTTGAGACTGACCGGGTTAGAGTGTCGGGTTAGGGCCTCTGCGAGACCAGGGCTCAAATCCCCTTCTCCTTGCTCAGTCGGTGGAGCGTGAGGCTCTGAACCTCACGGACGTGGATTCGAGCCCCACGTTGGGTAAAAAGATTCCTGCATTGCAGGGGTTGGAATAGATGACCATCGGGGTCCCTTCTAACTCTGCCACTCTCTGATTCTCTCAGCCTTGAGGCTCGCTGGCCAACCTTGGGGCGGTCCCTGCCTCCCTCGGCCTGAGCTGCCTCGCAGGTTATTATTGGGAATAATAAGGGGAGAAGGAGAACGTCGCCCGCCACATTGAGCTCTTGGGTAGAAAAGTCAGGCTGCAAATACAATGATAAATAAGTTGGAGTTCTTGTTATTAAATATACCAAGAAATAAGCACACCAAGAACTCGGGCCAATGTAAGTTTCAGTAGTGGGAGTGGTCCCTACTCACAACACAATAATTCGTTACTGGCTTCTAATGCATAATTGACTTCTGATTTCTGTTCTGTGATTGAAACTGAGTCTCCATCTGCAAGCTAATAAATTATAAGGATCAACATTATTGTCGAGTGATAAAGAGAAAATCTTTCTAACGAATTATTGTGTTATACATATCTTTATGAGTTAGAGTTTGTAATCTTTGTTAGAATTTGTAATCTCTATTTGAGTTTGTAATTCTTGTCAGAATACATACTTTTGAATGGATTAGTAAAGGGTAAAGGGACCCCTGACCATTAGGTCCAGTCGTGACCAACTCTGGGGTTGCGGCGCTCATTTCGCTTTACTGGCCGAGGGAGCCGGCGTACAGCTTCCGGGTCATGTGGCCAGCATGACTAAGCCGCTTCTGGCAAACCAGAGCAGCGCATGGAAACGCTGTTTACCTTCCCGCCGGAGCGGTACCTATTTATCTACTTGCACTTTGATGTGCTTTTGAACTGCTAGGTTGACAGGAGCAGGGACCGTGCAATGGGAGCTCACCCCGTCACAGGGATTCGAACCGCCGACCTTCTGATTGGCAAGTCCTAGGCTCTGTGGTTTAACCCACAGCGCCACCGCATCCCTACCCTTGAATGGATTAGTTTTTGTTATTGACTATCGACTTGTGAGCAGGGACCACTCGCACTACTGAAACTTACATCGGCCTGAGTTCTTGGTGTGCTTATTTCTTGCAAATACAATGAGCCAATAAATTAATGGCAACGTTCGCCATGAGTACATCTCCTAATTCTCCTCCGGGGGTCTTTCCCGGAGAGGGGACGGCCTTTAAATACCGTAAGCTGGCCCAATTCCCACCTTGCGGTTCTGGAAAGCGCGGCAGAGATGGGGGACAGGAGACGCAAGGCTCGCTGACCCTCCCTTTTTTTCCCCTTCCAGGGGACCCTGAGGTGGGAAGGAAGGCAGCCCCCCTCAAACCAAAGAGGACGCGCCGGGCGCAGTCGTGCGACAAGCTGGAATCGGATCGGGGCCGAAACCCAGGGTCTGGAGGTGAAGCCCTTCTTCCTACAAGCACGGATCCTGCTTCCTGGCATGGGAGCGGGGGGGGATCTAAAAGGGGGTGCTGCACATTCCCCCGCTGTCTGCCTGTTGCTTCTGCTGGGCTGTAAACACACCAGGCGCTTAAAGGACATTTAGAGCATGACTCTTCGCCCCCCCAAGCATCCGGCAGAGGCCGTCGGAGATTGAGGCCCTTCCACCGAGAGAAGGAAAGCAAGAAGACTCTCACCGGCTTGCTTTCCCAAAGCGGCCCTTGCCAGATACAATGCCTTGGAAGCTGGAGGCTCCATTTTGGTGCCAGGGTAGCTGCGGAGAGGCCTTTTCGTTTCCCTCTGTACTGTGCTCACAACGTACCCATTTGAAGCCCCCTGAGGCAGGACCGGGAGAAGGGGTCAGGTGCAGGCCAAAGCGGGGTTCAAACTTGCCCACTTCTCATGGGGGCCAAATGGGCACCCCCAATGGGAAGGCAGCCAGCAGGGCCCAAGTGTAACAGCAGTGCCGCCCCCCGCGAGCCCAGAGTGGCAGGAGTCCAATTGGGGGTGGGTGGGTACAGTGGGAGGGAACCCGGGATGTCCATGGGCTAGTCATTGGGGAGCAGGGCAGTGTGGTGCAGTGGTTAGAGTGCTGCACTAAGGCCTGGGAGAGAGCAGGGTTCAAATCCCTACTCTCAACCTAATCTCGCAGGGTTGTTGTGGCAATAAAATGGGAAGGAGGAGAACGATACAGGCTGCCACCTTGAGCTCCTTGGATGAAAGTTGGGATATTATTAATGATGATTTTATTATTTAACGTGCTGCCCATCGGACTGGGTTCCCCCAGACTCTCTGGGCGGCTTCCAGCAAAATACTAAAACACCATAAAACATCAAATATTAAAAACTTCCCTATACAGTCATACCTCATGTTACGTCCGCTTCGTCTTACGTTCTTTCAGGTTACGTCCTGCGGTGACCCGGAAGTACCGGAAATGGTTACTTCCGGGTTTCGCCGCTCGCGCATGCGCAGAAGCGCAAAATGACGTCATGTGCATGCGCAGAAGCGGTGAATCGCAACCCGCGCGTGCGCAGGCGTGCCGCCGCGGGTTGCATTCTTTTCATGTTGCGAACGGGCCTCCGGAACGGATCCCGTTCACAACCAGAGGTACCATTGTATAGATCTATATCATCATCATCATCATTATTATTCTTCCTCCCTAGCTTGCATGAATCCTCCCTTGAGGACACTTTAAATTATTTTTAAAGTGTTGCGATATCTCACGTGCCAGTGGCGAACTTTGGGCTCTCCCATATCAGTGGTGCCGTGTGCAACGCTAAAACACCCCACCTCTCGCACTCCATTCTGCAGAATGGCCATGGCGCCCCCACAGCACAGCCGATCTGACCACGCGACCCAAAAACCTCCTCTGCTCACGTGCAGAACGCTTGGTCCCCGTGGCTAACTTCCTCTCGTCTCTCCCTTTCTCCCCGTCCTCCTTCACCACCTTCCTTCCCCCCCCCACCAGGTGCCAGCGACACACCCCTGCCTGACCCCCCTCCCGCCCCCCCTGAATGCGGCCTGCACAGCTGGAACTCCCGCCCCGCTGTTTCCCACCCTCTCCTTCCTCCGGACCGGACCGCCGGTAAGATTCCAGCACCTTCCTTTGCCCGTAGCGTGGGGGCCGACGAAAATGATTCACGCTCGGTTTTTTCTTCCCCCCTGCCCCACTCCTCTCTCTTCTCCCCCTTACAACTTTACAGCTCCCTCTTTCTTCAGGAACTCCCGAATCTGGGACAGAATGATGGACAGGAGATCCCTCGACGTCGCCGCCACCGCCGGAAGCTGCGATGCCCTTTCATCTCCTGGTGGAATGAGTGAAGAAACATGAGAGAGGGGGGCAGAGGTTTGGGGGGTCCTCCTCCCGCTGCCCTCAGCTCTCCCCCTCCCTCAGAAGAGGGGCTGACCTCCTGCCCTAGAGAAACTGTCCGTCGAGACCTGTTGGGTCTCCAGTGCTGCTGACCCTGACCCCAACCACCCTTCCTCCTTCCCCGCCCTCCTCCGTTTGTGCCTGTATCCTTCCCTCGCTTCTGGGTCGGAGCCACCCCCCGACCCTCGTGCCCCAGAGGGACTAGGGACACCGCCGCCACCCCTTTTGAAAATCGGGGGGGGGGGGTGAGAGAGAGAAAAGCCACAATGAACCACCCCCTCCCACCTCCTGCTCCCTTTTGCCCATAATACTTGGGGTGTTGTCGAGACTCGGGTGAAATATGCACCATTTTCCCCTGCCCCCCCAAACGCCTTTGCTGCCCCCCCTCCAAAGTCCTCTTCATAATCTGCCGGCCCCTCGCATTTCGCGCCTCCTCCCCTCCTCCCCTACATTCTTACCGTTCTATTTTAAGCTTGTACAAAAGGGATAGAGAAAAAGAATCATAATAAATTATATATGGAAATAAATAAAAGTGAGAAGCTTGTCGGGTGTTGCTGGGGCGTCCTGCCTGCTTTGGGGAACGCGCCGGGAAGGAAAAAGACCCTCCCTAGAATTGTAGCGTTGGAAAAAGACCGCGAGGAATCGTTCACCCAACGTGGGGCCACGAGTCTGAGTTTAATATCCCTGCCCCCTTGTCACCTACAGAGGCTTTCACAAGTCCAGTGGGCAGGTTGATAATTTGAGTTTACTTCCTTTTGAGCAGGGGTGGGTCACTATGCCAAATTCAGTTTCTCATGGAATTGTCGAGTTGGAAAGGGTCCCTGGGTCATCTAGTCCAACCCCCTAAAATGCAGGACTCACAGCTCAATCGTTCTTGGCCGGTGACTATCCAACCTCTCTCTAAAAACCGCCAGTGAAGGAGAGTATGTCGTTTCGCACGTTGCTCTGGTGTCCTTGAGATGCAAACTGAATCAAAGGCCTCTACTTTGGAGCAAGGTCTGTCACTGACCACTGATTAAATGGCTATTGAGCTAACTTGGGGGTGAGGAGTCTGCACTGAAAAATTCTGCCTACCCCAGTTTCCTTTTTCCAAGATAAGAAGAGCCCTGCAGGATCGGGGCCTGTGGCCCATCTAGTGGGAAACCTGCAATCAGGATTCAAACACAAGACCGCTCTCCAGCCACTGGCATTCAGAAGCATCTCTGGCTCTGAGTGCGAGTCCTTGTGTTTACAAGAGGAGAAACGCTTTCTTTCATCTGCGAATAATTTTATAAAGTTCTATCATGTCGCTGCTTACTCTCCTATTCTCCAAACTAAAACATGGAGGAAAACTCTGGCCAAAAGCAATCGGACACTGGGAGGGCTCATCCCTGAGCCTCCTTAGTGGCAGCGAAGGCAGAAAATAAGGCATATTTTGCTGCCTCCGTTGATTCCTTCTTGTGCCGTCCAGCACAGCTTTTCTGGGTAGTGTGGGCCTCTTACAGTCCAGCCCAAACGACAACGAGAAAATTGCTTTCTTGACTGTGCTATCACGGCAGCTGAATCCACCTCACACCCATCAAGTAAGACAAAAAAATATTTGCAAGTTCCTGGTTTCCCAGGCCAGGTTAATCACACCTCTTTGTCCCGACCAAATGCATTCCTGGATGGTTTGCTGTTGTCCACAGGATTATACCTGTCTGGCACCCATTTGCCAGGATGCCAGTGATTCTCTCTTATGCAAGAGGCTGCTGTGTACATAATCCTATGTTTCAGGGATTATGGTTGTCTTTTCCCAGTCCCCCAAGTCCCCCCCTTCGGTAGCCATCTTTTCCCTGAGTGGAACAACTGCTGGAAATTGTGTGGTGTCGTGCATTACGTGGTGCTTTGAGGAGACATTGTGTGTGAACAAAGGGGTTGGGGTACACACTGCGTGCTGGAGGGGCAACCCCCCTTCCAAATCATTATAAAAATTCCTGTAACAATGTGACCAGAGGAAATAGCTTTGAAAACGAGAAGGGTGGTAATACAAAGTGAGGAAAAAGTTTTTTCCCTCTAGGCCGATGGTCCCGCTAGCTAGGGATGATGGGAATTGTAGTCCAACAACAATTTGAGACCCAAGGCTGGGAAACCCTGATCTAGGCTTTAGATCTGGAAGAGATTGATGCACTGGGAGGGACTCACATCCAGTGCCCCCATTCCGCCCCCTTGCCTCCTAGCACTCCCCCCAGTAATGCCACTGCCCCCCGGGATAGGTTGGGGGTCGTACTGCCCACTTTCGGAAATTGTAAACTGCCCCCAGCTCTGTAGGTCTAGGGTTGCCATGTGTCCTCTTTTTCCAGGACAGGTCCTCTTTTCCAGGCTAAATTTCTTTCTGGGTGGGTTTTTTATATATACATATTTGCCAAAATGTTTTTGGCTATACTTTCTGGGTAAGACCTAGACATAACTGGTGGTTGAAGACTTGCTTTCCTCTCCTCTTCTCCTGCCCCCCTCAGCAATATATCACAGCTTCTATCGCCTACATATTGTAAAGGTAAAGGGACCCCTGACCATTAGGTCCACTCGTGGCCGACTCTGGGATTGCGGCTCTCATCTCGCTTTATTGGCCGAGGGAGCCGGCGTACAGCTTCCGGGTCATGTGGCCAACATGACTAAGCCCCTTCTGGCGAACCAGAGTAGCGCACGGAAACGCTGTTTACCTTCCCACCGGAGCGGTACCTATTTATCTACTTGCACTTTGACGTGCTTTCGAACTGCTAGGTTGGCAGGAGCAGGGACTCAGCAACGGGAGCTCACCCTGTAACGGGGATTCGAACCACCGACCTTCTGATTGGCAAGTCCTAGGCTCTGTGGTTTAACCCACAGCGCCACCCTTAATTCATACCTAATTTAGCAGGGACCCAGAGACCAACCCCTCCCCCCAAATTTGGCATTTGATTAAACATCACGGTGCCCATTGCTGAGTGCATGGGTGGGTGCAGCTAAGAGGCCCCAAAGAAGAGCACCCTTCCCCAATCTGGTGCCCTTGAGATTCCTGGGGTTGCAGCTCCTTCCAGCCCCAAACATCTGGAAGACCCTGCGCTTGGGAAGGCTGGTTGAGAGATAAACAACATGGCTGCAGTGCCACCAAATGGCCAGCAGGTGGCAGGAGCGGTATTGTTAAAAGGAAGGCATAGAATTTGTTCTGCATTCTTCCTTTCAGGTTTTTTTCTCCCCTCTCTCTCTTTGATATCTCCTCTTTTCCTCTTTTTTCTTTCTCTCTCTCCTTCTGCTCCACTTACTCTGAAACATGTTCTATCATGGGACCCTCAGGCCATCACGGGGCAGAGAAAACGGCCTCAGGCGATCTCAATACAGGCCCATATTACATACTCTGGCCGGCAGTCACTCTCTCCGAATCTACCTGCAAACTGATTCTTTGAACAGGAGGTGTCCAGAGGGACAGTTTCCGTTCTCTCCGTGTCTCTTGGTTCCAGCATTAAGCCCATTTCTCCACATTATTGCGGCAATTTACAAATTCTCTTCTAAAAACTCCTCACAAAAATTCTTCAGCCTTTCTATGCAGATTTCTTCTAGTAACCCCCTTTTTTCGTATGCAGCTTTGACCAAGGTACACATTGTACAGGCAGTTTCTCCTAACAGAATGCATATTTTTCTGTGACATTTTCTTCAGTGCGTTCATTATTTATGCTTTCATTCCCTCTAATATATTCATTTTTGCAAACCCTTGTTGGCTGGAGAACTGTACAGCAAATTTTGGATAAGTGCAAATTTCGAAGGAAGGCTGAGTTTTGGTTCTTGTGTTGTTTTGGAGAGCACAAATTGGGTCAATTTGGCTTTAAAGGCAAACTTCCTGTGGAGGAGGCACACAAAGAAGGGCCTCAGAAGATGATCGCAGAGTCCCGGTCGGTTCATATGGAAAGAGGCGGCCCTTGAGGTATTGTGGTCCTGAGCCATTTAAGGCTTTATAGGTCAAAACCAGCACTTTGAATTGGCCCTGGAAACTAACTGGCAGCCAGTGTGGTCTGACCAGGATTGGTGTAAAATGCTCAAACTGTCTTGCTCCGGTGAGCTGCAAAATTTTGCACCAGCTGAAGTTTCCAAACCTCCTTCGGAGGCAGCACTTTGTATAACACATTTCAGTCAGGTTACCAGAACCTAGGTGACAGACATTAGACTATCCTTTGTTATAACGTATTTTTTTTATTGAATTTTCAAAAAATTAACATATATACTTTAATACATAATAAATTTGTCTTTTTGCGAGTTCCTACCCCATTTTCCAGTGTTTTAATTCCCCCCTCTGCTGCACAATGCCTTATTTTCCTTATCCCGACACATCAATACTGTATTTTCTAATTCCTTCCGTTGCTCATATTTCAAATCCTGCTCTCAAGTCCATCACGCTATAGCAGGGGTCAGCGAACTTTTTCAGCAGGGGGCCGGTCCACTGTCCCTCAGACCTTGTGGGGGGCCGGACTATATTTTGAAGGGAAAAAATGAACGAATTCCTATGCCCCACAAATAACCCAGAGATGCATTTTAAATAAAAGGACACATTCCACTCATGTAAAAACACGCTGATTCCCAGACCGTCCGTGGGCCAGATTGAGAAGGCAATTGGGCTGGATCTGGCCCCCAGGCCTTAGTTTGCCTACCCATGCGCCATAGCATTTCCTTAAATAATCCGAAAAGGTCTTCCATTCTTCCACAAAGCAATCATTGTTCGATTCTCTTATTTTAGCTGTTAACTTCAGCCATTTTGCAGAGTCCAGCACCTGACTTATCTGTTCTTCTTTCTTGGGCACCTATTCTTCCTTCCATTTTTTGTGCATTGAGAATCCTAGAAGCTGTTGTTACATGCACAAAGAAGTTAGGCTATCCTGATTGAAA